CTACCTACTGTACCTGACAAAACCCACCTACCTACTGTAACCACTACCTACTGTAACTAACCACCTACCTACTGTACCCGACAAAACCCACCTACCTACTGTAACCACTACCTACTGTAACTAACCACCTACCTACTGTACCCGACAAAACCCACCTACCTACTGTAACCACTACCTACTGTACCTGACAAAACCACCTACCTACTGTAACCACTACCTACTGTAACTAACCACCTACCTACTGTAACCACTACCTACTGTAACTAACCACCTACCTACTGTACCTGACAAAACCACCTACCTACTGTACCTGACAACCCACCCACCTACTGTAACCACTACCTACTGTAACTAACCACCTACCTACTGTAACCACTACCTACTGTACCTGACAACCCACCTACCTACTGTAACTAACCACCTACCTACTGTAACTAACAACCACCTACCTACGGTAACCACTACCTACTGTAACTAACAACCACCTACCTACTGTAACCACTACGTACTGCAACTAACAACCACCTACCTACTGTAACCACCTACCTACTGTAAACACTACCTACTGTACCTGACAAAACCCACCTACCTACTGTAACTAACCACCTACCTACTGTAACCACTACCTACTGTAACTAACCACCTACCTACTGTAACCACTACCTACTGTACCTGAAAAACCCACCTACCTACTGTAACCACTACCTACTGTACCTGAAAAACCCACCTACCTACTGTACCTGACAAAACCACCTACCTACTGTAACCACTACCTACTGTACCTGAAAAACCACCTACCTACTGTAACCACTACCTACTATACCTGACAAAACCCACCTCCCTACTGTAACCACTACCTACTGTAACCACTACCTACTGTACCTGAAAAACCCACCTCCCTACTGTAACCAACACCTACCTACTATAACCACTACCTACTGTAACTAACATACTATAACTAACCACATACCTGCTGTAACTATCAACCACTACCTACTGTAACTAACCACCAACCTACTGTAACTAACAACCACTGACCTACTTTAACTAGCAACCCACTAGGTAATGTAACTAACAACCACCTACTTACAATAACTAACAACCCGTACCTACTGTAACTAAAAACCACCTACCCGCAGTAACATCCACTAACCTACTGTAACTAATAACCAAAAACCTAAAGTAACTAACAACCACCTACCTACAGTAACTAACATCCACCTACCTACTGTAACTACCAACCTACTGTAACAACCACAACCTGCTGTAACTAACAACCGCTACCTGCTGTAACTAACAACCACTACCTACACTAACCACCAACCTACTCTAACTAGCAGTCACTAACCTATTGTAACAACCAACCTACTGCAACAACTACTAACCTACTGTAACAACCAACCTACTTTCACTAACAACCACTAACCTATTCTAACAACCACCAACCTACAGTAACTAACAACCACTAACCTACTGTAACCACCAACCTACTGTAACAACCACTAACCTACTGTAACTAACCACATACCTACTATAACAACCACCTACGTACAGTAACTAACATCCACCTACCTACTGTAACTAGCCACATACCTACTATAACTAACAACCACCAACCTACTGTAACCACCACCTACCTGCTGTAACAACCACTACCTACACTAACAACCAACCTACTGTAACTAGCAGTCACTAACCTATTGTAACAACCAACCTACTGTAACTACAACCACTAACCTACTGTAACAACCAACCTACTGTAACTAACCACTAACCTACTGTAACAACCACCAACCTACAGTAACCAACAACCACTAACCTACTGTAACAACCATCAACCTACTGTAACTAGCAGTCACTAACCTATTGTAACAACCACCAATCTACTGTAACAACCACTAACCTACTGTGACTAACCACTACCTACGTAACAACCAACCTACTGTAACTAACCACTAACCTACAGTAACTAACCACCTACCTACTTTACTTTAACAACCACCAACCTACTGTAACTAACCACTAACCTACTGTAACTAACAACCATCTAACTACTGTGTCTAACATCCACCTACTGTAACTAACCACCCTACTGTAACAACCACCAACCTACTGTAACTAGCAGTCACTAACCTATTGTAACAACCACTAACCTAATGTAACGAACAACCGCCAACCTACAGTAACCACTTACCTACTCTAACCACTACCTACTGTAACCACCAACCTACTGTAACTAGCAGTCACTAACTTATTGTAACAACCAACCTACTGTAACAACCACTTACCTACTGTAACTAACCACTAACCTACAGTAACTAACCACCTACCTACTTTAACTAACATACACTAACATTCTAACAACCACCAAGCTACTGTAACTAACCACTACCTACTGTAACTAACATCCACCTACCTACTGTAACAACCCACTACCTACTGTAACTAAAAGCCCACCTACTGTAAGTAACAACCATCTTACCTAATGTAACTAAGAACAATTACCTACTGGCTGTAAGTAACAACCACCTACTTACTGTAGCAGCCCGCTACCTTTTGTAAATAAGAACAACCATGTACTTGCTGTAGCTAACAAGCCACTACTTACTCTAACTAAAAAAACTCTACCTACTGTAAACTGTAACAACCGATAACCCACTACTACGTGACAACAGCCTTCACCTATATAAATAGGGACACTTGGGAGGCATGCTATAGGTGAGTAACTGCCTACTTACCTACGGTAATTGAGAAAGGACAACCCAATATAAAACAAAACCACAAGGATTTTATTATTCTGATTAGTCTACAAGTTGGTACTCACAACTAGAGTATAAATGAGGCTTTATGGACTAACTTTCACTCTGCAAAACAGATTACACTCCACTCTGGTAATGAAGTGTTTAATAAACTATGGAGAGAATTTACCAACGTCATGGATACAAAAAAATAAATATATATAAATAAATATTGAGAATAGTAAAATAAAACAAGAACCAACTTTGAGGTTCCTGCTTTTTTCTGCTCTAAATTCCTGCGAGTTGGATTTGCCATTGCTCTGAGTCCCGTGATTTTTCTCAGAATTAACAGTTTATAGTAACAGTTTCAGCAAATATTCTGTAGGCACCATTTATCTTGTATAACGAACGCAAATCAAGTGGTCGTTTACTACAGACCTTTAGAATATAAAATGTACAGTCCACCCCTCACTTCTTTCATGAAAACCATTTAACATTGAATAAATGTAGCAAACAAATACACACCAACCCAGGTAATCCACGCTGATAGAGAGATGTCCCAAATATTTACCCTCCTCTTAACACTGTTTGATTTTACAGCTGAAGTGAATCACTGTTCGCTCAAGTACATTCATTCACTTCTACGCAGAACAAAACATGGCTGTCCTGTCAAACTGTATTCCATCACCATGACTTGCCCTTTGGCTGATGTGATGATCCAACCCCTGAAACATTTTGTCAAAACTCCTTTTGTCCATGTGAGAAAGTAGGGACTTACTCTGCCTGTGTACATTGACAGTGCTGCCTTAATTCACAACACAGGAGTTAAACCACTCATACCTGGTCAAAAACCACATAGCCGTTTATTTTAAACATGTTGTAGAAGTTGGATGCACTTTTAAGAAATTAAAGGAACACTATAGGGTCAGGAACACAAACAAGTATCCCTGACCGTGTAGTGTTAAAACCACCATCTGGCACAGCCTCCTAAATATAGCAAAATCTTACATTTTATTGCAGTCTGCAGCTGGCTATGCCCCTGACCTGCGTGCTTGGCTGACATCATCAGAAGTGTTAAACAAAAGCCAATCGTAATACTTTCACATAGGATTGGCTGAGACTGTCAAGGAGGCAGATCAGGGGCAGAGCCAGCACAAGCCAAACTCACTGTGCAGCACTGCCCCAGAAAGCACATCTGGAAGCCATCTGAGGAGTATCTAGTGTAGGTATCACTAGGTTGTAATGTAATCAATGCATTTTCTCCGATTATACTCCGTAGAACAAATACAATAAGCTGTAGATGTTCTGGTGACTACAGTGTCCCTTTAAACTATTTGCTGCCAAGTCTGTATCAAGTGGTCATCGTAAAAAGACAGTCTGTAAATCTCTACTGGGATAGGTGTAAGACACTGCAATCTGTCCTTGGCAGCAAAAAATAAAGCACTATGGGCAAAAAAGCAAACCCCCCCCCCACTTCCAAAATATGGAAAATGGATACAAATCAGATGTCTTTATTTATTAGACCACTAGTAACTGGAAGAAAAATATTTAGACAGTTGTGTATAAAATAAAATAAAAAAAGATCAAGGACTTTATTTTCACGTGTGAGTCTGGGTGCTTTACAAGACAATGGCCAGGTACAGAAGATGTTAACAGACTAAGTTCAACAGGGTCTCTGTAGTTGGGAAAGGGCTAAAGTGACATGACTGGTGGGGTCAACTAACGGGGTGACGCTTGGCAGGGTCTCTTACAGCTGTTGGGATAACGGTGTGACTCTGCAAGGCCATCCTTGGCAGTAAGTTAAAGGCATAAGGGGCATAGCAAGTGTCACACAGGTTGAGGGGGTGGCGCTGGTGCTGGAACGGAGTCTGGTACTTCAAGGCGGGCAAGGCGGCTCTGCTCCAGAGCAATGGCCTCTGCCGAGTGCTTACATCTCTCTGATCCACATTGACACGTAAAGTATTTACTCTTAATGTCCCAGAAACGGTCCCCGTAATCAAATCTACAGGAGGAAGAAAGATGTGGTAAAGGCAAGAGAGATGGCAGGATATTCTACATATAACGATAACTTTCATTTTCTGCAATGTGGTCATCTTTCTTGGCCCAACCCATGTCATTGGAATCTATACATATTCATTGCCACTCCTTTCATGTTAAACTTGCCTTATTCCATCCTACTTACCCCAGCTCTTCGCCATAACGGATGTCCCTTCCACTGAAGAATGCAATACGAGGGAAACGTAGGTCCTGGTGGGACATGAAGACTCGAACAGGGATTAAATTGGGTTCACACAGGTGGTTAATGAAACGACTCACATTCCCGTAATAGCGTGCATCAATACAGTACACCTCTCCATCCTAAGAGAAAAAAACAAAAAACTTAAACAGGACCAAAAAGGAAAGACAGGGGAACTGGGAGTAGGAAAAGCAGACAGGTTACTGCATAGAAAAAGGCATTAAAAGATTGCAATGCTGTTGTTTCCATCTACAGGACAACAGAACAAACCTAAGTCTTTATTATGTATAATTGAAATGCCTCCAGGAATGGAGTTATTGGTGTGATGAGCAGAGTCTGTATACTGGCACTGAGGCTGGGAAGGTCATCAGGCCAGTGGTGGGGGGGAGAAGGGAAGTCAGAAAGTGTAAAGGAGGAATGACGATAAGAACACATAGGTTTGACTAAAGGCATTTGAAGACTTCTCACTGTATACTACGCAGGCTCATGCACTAAGTTAAAGTAAGGACCTTAAAAGTAATCGGCAGTGATGAAACGGGCATTCCTATTGCTTGGCAGCTTTGACAATATGGACTAAGCCAAGTTTCCAAAGCCAGAAGTTAACACCTTCAGGACCAGTGACAGAAACATAACCCAATAAAACAACCTGCCAATACCTTCTCCTGCAAGGGTTAAAAAGCAATAAACGTATAAAAATAACGAGAAATAGTTTGCAGTCTCTGATTGCTTCATAGAATGTAGCAGTGAGCAGAGGAACCAATACCACTGGAAATAAAACACTATGTTCGTCCTGTGTCATTTACAAAGACAGGTTTTTACTTTCAATTGTTACAATATAAAGTAAGTCATTCTTCAAACACCAAAGACATCTCTCGCCAGGCAAACACTAAGAAGACTATAGCTCCCATGGCAATAATTTCTAAGGGATTAAATTTACTTAATATAAAAAGGAGTAATGCTATTTTAAATGAAAAGGTCACACATGAATAAACAATAAACATGGTCTATATCTTATTAATACACTGCTCCACCTAGTGGTGACCACATTTATTGCTGTTTAAAAGTTACACAAGTGTTTCTACGGTAATAAACCAGATGGCTCTGTAAAATTAGGACCCAACAAATAAACAAACATTCTAATTTATTTTCATAAAGACTTTACCTAAAAATGTGAGTAAAGTACAAATAGGCAAACAATAGGAAAAAGATCAAAAGTACACAATATTAGCGGACAGTTCCCTGGACGAGTAAACGATGATACAACATGAGGGAAGAAGAGAGAGACACAGAAACCTGTTATGGTTGGAAAGAAAAGTATCATGTCTTCAGAGCAGAGGAGGTTTAGGCTGTATATGGCCTGAGGTTGTATAAAATATTCAAGGAGTAGCTCTCATTTTCTCAACCAGCACAACTCCTCGAACTTTTTTGTTGGGGAATCTACCACCTTAGCATGTCCCTTTAATTTATATGCTTGAGAAAAGGTAGAAACTAAAAATGTCTCACCTTGTTATCCAGATCGAATAGATAGGAATCATCCTCTCTCACATCAGCTTCAGCATCAGAGATCAGCTCACCTACATACCTGCAAGAAGCAGAAGGTTTGTGACTCACATAACACCGAGCAACCCGGCAGTGAGGAGGCAGGAGACGGGCAGGGGAAGGTTGGACATGTTACCTATGTACTATTGGGGTTTGTTCTATATATTTAATATGTTGTTCATATTGAATATTACTACAGTTAGTCGTCTGCTGTCCACGAGTAGTGGGAGTTAGTGCGCAGAAGTTATATGTGTGTTTTTAAGAGGCAGAGTGGGACTGGTCACAAACTGGGGGAAAATTAAACCGGACTTACTCGCAGATGAAGGATCCCTGTGGAATGGCCTGCAGGGCTCTCACACCCCAGCCCATCTTAGCAGTGCGGTATAACTGGAGACGGACCCTAGGAAAGATGGAGAGTTAAAACAAGTAGCATTGGAAAAACACAGTATGCAAGTACATCCAACTTCAAGGTACTCATTTTATAAACATGAGAAGGATTACAGTCTGACCTGAGCTATCTGGGACTCCGAGATACTGCAGTTACTATTTAGACATAGCTATTGCCATCTCTATACATATTAGTCCCACTGTTATCCCTCATCTCATTCCTACTGGGTTTATGATGTGAACAGATACATACATCTCCTACAACAACTGGAAGTCCGACTTTACTATTGTAAAGAGAGTGCAAGTTCGGCACTCAGACTTACTTAATGCCGCTCTGTACCACTCGGTTTTTGCAGGTCTGCCAACAAGCACAGGCCTGGTTACACTCAAAGATGAGTGGAGGCTCGATTTTGTTAAACTCCTGGAGCAGACGCCCATCCTAAGGGAAGAGATACCAGATGGATCATTCCAAGTTCAAAGTGACAGCTCACAATCACATTAACTTCACCAGCACTCACCTTGTCATACCAGCAGCGGATGCTGAGCTGACCACATAGGCAATTGCTAGAAGAACAGTCATCAAGACAACTGCAGTTCTGAGAGAAGAGAGAAGTGAGTAAGGAATTTGGAGGTGCAATTGTAAAGAAAAGGTTTAAGGAGTGAGTGCTGTACCTGCAGGTGAGTAATATTGCGATCAATACTCATGGCTGACGTCTCGCAGTTCTCTGAAACATATTTATAGTCATCTGGAGTTAGCTCCTCATCCACACCATTCACACAGGGGATTGGGACCCGTTCGTAGCCATGTGCAATGTCCCTGAGAAGAACAATGTGAGTACAGGGAAAATGATCTGTCAAATACATGCTCACTGACAGCTTAAAATTCCACTTTCCCCTTGTTGATAATGATTATGTTGCTCAAAGTCTCCCAATAATTTTTCACTTGATAAACCCAACATTCCACAAAGTCTCATTATGCTTGTGGCCTGACCTGCTGATTATCCTCTCTGTGCGAACAGCTCGATTGGTAATGCCCTGCCGGATCTTACGGTTTAGTTGCAGGGCGTACCAAACATCTGTGTGCTCCAGGGTTAGATCTCCCGGTGTATCCCCCTCGTTATTACGAATTTCTGTGCTGGCTCCCCGAGAAAGGAAAAGGCTGCAAAGGAGGAATCAATAAAGAGAAAATTTAAAATAAATCCTCAGAAATATATGAAGGTTTTCTTAATTTTAGCTTCCTCTAAGTTATGGTCTAAGCTGTCCCCACCCCGCCTCCCCCTTTCACTCTTTATTAGTTCCTCCTCTATTTAGAGATTTTTCTGCCATTTATTTACTAAATCTTTATTTCATGATTGAGGGAACTGTGAGCTCTCACTTGACACATTGGATGAAGCCCTCGCGTGCGGCAATATGTAGAGGTGTGTCTCCATGGAAGTTCACCGCGTGGAGCTCACAACGAGCGTTGAGCAAAACTTCAGCAATGTCAGCACTGCCAGTGAAGGAAGCCCAGTGCAAACAAATGTTTTTCTCCTACAAATAAAGAAACAAAAATTGCTACTGGAAATTGAGGTTAGGGGAGATAAAAATATATAAAAATTGAGGTTAGGAAAGTTAAAAATATAATAGTGAAAGAATGTAAGTGAATTTGTGGAGAAACTGTAAGGAAGCGATTGAGGCAATCTTTCATCCCCATTTTGTTCACTAACGTTGTCCTGTAGAGTGACATCTGCACCACGAGTTAAGAGCATTCGGATCACCTCAATGTGCTTGTGTTCTGCAGCCCAAATGATCGGTGTCCAACCACCATTATCCTGAAAAGACAAAAATATAAATACAGCACCAACACCTTTCAACTTAAAGTGTCCTCCTACTGCATCACCACCTCACCTGGGCATTCACGTTGACTTGGCCTGTAGAAAGCAGGAAACTTAGCATCTCCAGATTCCCGCACTTTGCAGCATGATGTAGGCACGTAGATCCGTCCTCTTCCTGGCAGGTGAGAACAATTAGTAAAAGGTTAATAGTCGATCCCCTCAATGTCACCCTAGTTTGCTACTACCACACCTTTCATTTCATTAAAATCCCTCAGATAGCAAAACCTCAATACTCAAACCTACAGGAACGTCCCACGCAGGACATGTCAAATATGTTTAGCTCACTTGAGTCTTTACATGAAGAATGATTCACCAACAGTAACAGGAAACCAATCTGCCTTTAAATGATGGCAGAGAGCAACCTGTATTAACTTGACTAACCTGTCCTAATCTTCCCTCACCTGGTTAGATCAGGTTTAGTTCTAAAAAGCCTTCTTTACGGTTATCACAGATCTTAGTTGACATTTTGATACTACACCCCACTGTTGTAGTTTGTAAATATAAAAATCACTAGCAATATTTTTCAGAGCCAGGAGATAAATATTGAAGTTTTACACATATATTAAGGCTTTGTATTCAGTTGTTAAAGGTTTAACTGTTCAAGGAGCTCACATCATAATCTTTCAACATTAAAAGTGATTATAGGTTGGAAGTAAAGATTAGACTGAGACAAATACAGCTTATATTTCTGATTCTTTTTTCCCTTTCATTTTAAATAAATGCTAAAACACTATCTAGGGAAAACCTGGAAAAATAAACTGGTGCTCATTATTACGTTTTCCACTATAATGATTAAATAAATAAATGCATTTGAAAACTATTGATGTACAGACCAGGAATCTTTTTAAAAGATCGCAAAAGGGAGATACAGTTTTTTTTTCAGTTTTGGAACATCTACCCAGTTTCCTGGAACTAATGGCTGTTTCGAGGATTCAGAAAGGCGAGGATGTCAAAGGAATCACTGGCGTCCTGCATCAAATGTGCAGTGTGTTGTGTCAAAAGGACAGAATACCAAATGCAATGTCCAGTTTTAAAGTTGTACATTTTTCAGCATAATAACATTTATACAGGACACTACAATCCCCCCTAAAGTATCAGTTGGGGAAATATAGGCTCTGTTTAAACTTATTGTTCTACTCTCAGAATGCTCAGTAAGCCACAATTGGCTTCCAGAGCTCACCCCTAATATAACTGTGTGAAAATATACATCGATATAAAGTGATTTATCCCAAATAAAATCTACAGCTTTAAGGAAATTCTCCTCTCTAACCAAGTTATGGCAAATGTAACTGTAATTATCGCTTTACTATAATACGGTTTTCCCATTCTGGAGACGCACCACAATATTTAAACTCACAGTAATAATAGGAGTTTCCCTAATCTCCTGTGGAAGCTGAACTGATTATGCTTTTCTCTATGCCAAAATGTATTATTTTTAGTGCTAGTTATCTCATTGAGAAGAAACGCTTGCATGCCCAGGTACAGGACAGAATGGGATGAGATAGGAGCGGATATATTACCTTATGATAAACACACGCCCCACACTGGACTAAGTATCTGGCGGCTTCAATATGGTTGTTGACCACAGCTTCCAACAGAGGGGTACGGAGAACCTTGTCAGTGGCATTAAAGTTTGCTCCGGCCTGTGTGAAAAGTATGCAGCTTCAGAAATGGATGGTAAAAATGGAAGAGGAAGCAAAAGAAACAAGGGTAAAACGTTTACCTGAACCAGTACGTGAACCATTTCTAAGCTGCCCTTTTGAGCTGCTGCATGGAGAGGACTCCTTTTTAACTGTTGGTCATTCAGAAAACTAGAGTCTTGATTATCCACTGAGAGAATAAAAGGGAAGAAAATACAACATTAAAAGTATACTGAAAAAAGAAAAAGAAAAATATTTTCCTAGAATAACACACTGAGTAAAAGTGTGGTGACCAATGAACTGTAGTTTAGGTTTTCTAATGTTGGTAATTCAAGGGCAGAAAGAAGATGGTAGTAAAAAGAAGGAAATTGAAACTTACTGAGCATGAGTAAGACTTTATGCAGCTCTCCTTGTTTCACAGACAGGTAAAGTTGACGGGAGTTGTATCGAACCTTCTTCCTGCGATCTCTCTTCTGCTGAGACAAACTATGCAAGGAGGGAGCAGGAGGGGTGAATAACGACCTCCAAACCAAAAAAGACGAAGACACAAAATGGATGAATGCGGCAGCGACCAAAATACATCAAATTAAACATGGGAGGGAGGGGGGTCTTGAGAAATTAAACAAAAGTAAAGCCAGGGGAAATATAAACTAGATAAAAGAAATAAAAGTAAAGGGTTGAAAGAGTTCAAACACTAGGACACAGAGCAGAAGCAGGATGAGTATGTAGTTACACAGACAGAAAACCAGAGCATAGTAAACGGAGACCTATAGAAAGGGACGGCAGGGTGATACATTCCAGATCCCCACCTGTCTGTCTCCTGGGACAGTAAAGCTTTTCGGAGTGCATCTCGGGCTGGTCCTGGTGGTAACCCAGAAGTACTAAGAGAAGCTCCTGATGGTAGAAGAACGCAAGGACCATCTGAGCCATCACCAACTGTGGAATCATCAGAGAGATTACGCTTTCCTTCCCCAACACCACACATTCTTGCACTGAAAACAGAAGCAACAGGGAGAAAACAGACAGTTAGGAGCAGTTTGGTTTTATCCTTGCCTTGTGCCAGGACGAACGTAGATATTTTTTTCTTTTCTTACCTAGGCTGTGTCGTGTCTGCCCTACCTGGACCGCCCCCGTCATGGTGGGACGGTGCAGGAACGGCAATTGGGAGATCGGCTTTTGCTATTGTGACTTGCTCAGCTTCAGACGCGTCTTCCCCGCAATGAGGACAGAATATTACGCCGTTCAGAGGTGAGACACAAGCCTTGTGGAAACGATGATTTATCCTGAAATCTGGGTGGCATTCCAAAAATGTTCCCTGCGAAAAGAAAGCGTAAATGAACATCCAAGAGCTGGCTGCAGCCAGTAACAATGTATCTTTCCCAGAGCCGCCTGCAGCCAGTAACAATGCATCATTCCCCGAGCCGCCTGCAGCCAGTAACAATGCATCATTCCCCGAACCGCCTGCAGCCAGTAACAATGCATCATTCCCCGAGCCGCCTGCAGCCAGTAACAATGCATCATTCCCCGAGCCGCCTGCAGCCAGTAACAATGCATCATTCCTTGAGCTGCTGGCAACCAGTAACAATGTAGAATTCCTTGAGCTGCCAGCAGCCAGTAACAATGTAGAATTCCTTGAGCTGCCTGCAGCCAGTAACAATGTAGAATTCCTTGAGCTGCCTGCAGCCAGTAACAATGTAGAATTCCTTGAGCTGCCTGCAGCCAGTAACAATGTATCATTCCCAGAGCTGCCTGCAGCCAGTAACAATGTATGATTCCCCGAGCTGCCGGAAGCCAGTAAAAATGCATCATTCCCCGAGCCGCCTGCAGCCAGTAACAATATATCATGCCCAGAGCTTCCTGCAGCCAGTAATGTGTTATTCCCTAAGCTGCCTGCAGCCAATAACAGTGTATTAATCCCCGAGTTGCAGGTAATTACAATATATAAATATCTAGCGTAAGGAGAGAGTAGTGAAAGGGCTTAAAATATCACTTACAGTGCTACAGAAGTGTCCACAGCCTGGGCAGCAATGATGTTTGACCATGCGGGCGCGGTGGCTCTCACAGAGAACCATGAGTGGAACTCGACTGGAAGGCCGCATTGTTTCCCGTTTTGTGATTACAGCATTGCATCCACTTAGCTGAAGACACCAGGGAGAAACATGAAAAAATTAAGGTGCGTTTAAAATACAGCATAAAGATATAATCGTCAACAAAAAGCTTCACTTCAAAGACACTGCAAGCCACTTCGAAGACGGTCCTACTCAGAGATTCTTAATGCTGGCTTCTCTTGCATGTGCATTTTCACAACAGTCCTTGAAAGACATATGGAGTGAATGCTCTTTTCTCATCATTATTTTGCAAAGTGTTTTTCCCCCCCTGTATTAAACCGTATTCCAAGATTCCATCACTAGAGAGACTTTCTGAGACCTGGGTTCCAAGAGCCTAGTGATATACAATGATAGGAAATGGGTAGATAAAACCCCAACAAAAGACGCCAGAGCTTCAAAATCTCAGAGCTATGACTAAAGCTCAGAATAATGGGAGTGCAGACCGGGTACAAATTACATTTTGACACCATTTAATTGTAATCAGTCTGCACGGTTACTTTTATTGTTTCTTTAGAAGAAGAACATGGACCTGTAATAAAATGTGTATGTATACCGTTTTCAGTTTATTTTTTCCAACATTTGTTGTGAGAGATTGAGAAAAATGTAAAAGTATAAGTAGCAGCTTTAAAATGTAGTGTTGGTAGAGCAAGTTAGCTTCCACTACAGAAAACAAGAGTCAATATTACAGGTTTTTACCCATTCCCGATCACAGACTCATGTCACAAGTCAGTTTACAGGCTTACCCCTGCTACTCACCTCTCCATCCACACTCTCTGTGGCCATACAGACATTATTAGCTTGCTCACAGACTCTCTCCACACTGGGAGCTTCCATGCGGCAGCTGCAGAGAGGAAGCTCCTCAAACCTTTCTGTGTCCATAGAGCTGGATTCGTTGCATACTCCTAGAGAAGACATCAATGGATGACAATCAAAAGGCACTATGTTGAGGGAAATGGGAACGTGGCAGCCCCATTGTTAGCAATTAAAGTGCTCAATTTGTAATAAAAAAAAAAAAGGGAAAATGGCAGCACCATCATACTGAGAGGTGTGAGGGAAGCGAGGATGGCAGGATTTTGTTTTAAAGTTAGGCAAATACCAGGAATAAGAAGTGAAAAAAGGCATTTACCTGCATGATTGGGAGACATCGCCCCTTCGCTTGGAAGATCCAGGGCTCCCAGAGGCACCTCCGTGTACTCATTGTGTGTTCCCCCCGCAGAATTGACAGCTACAAGAGCAGGGAACAGGCTAGGACCACCAGAGAAACACCCAGCATGCATTTCATTTAATTATGTGTGCCTGCTGCCTGCACATACCTCTTCCCCTCCCCTCCAGCCCCAGAGATGTCATCTTTCCAATCATACCTGACCCAGGTTTTTCTCTCTCCCTCCGTTTCCTTTTTCTTGTAGGTTTCAGCCAAGCCTTATCCATCTTCCATTTCTTTTTACTCTTCTTCTTCAAACTGCTGGAGCTCTGAACAGAAGGAGGAGAATCACCATCAGCAGTCTATGTCACAATATTGGTTACATTACAGTCCATTAGAGTGTATTGTGGCCTACCACATGCCATCACACAGTGAAAGATATGTCACTGAGTGTAGGACAAAAATCAGATCACACTTACCCTTTCTGACTGATTCCCAGAACCTTCTTCTTCTTCCTCTTCCTCCTCCTCCTGCAGTCAACAAAATTCAATAAGGTTTCCTGTGTTTTAGTGGTGTCACTGTCCCCTTGTCATCACTCCATGGTAATGTTACACTCACCTTACTGTCACTGTCCCCTTGATCCTCAAGTGATATGCTATCATAGTAAAGGCTGAACTCATTCCCCACCTCCGGCTCCCAGTCTTCAGTTTCTGCTCCGCCAGGGTCGCGAGATGAACCAGGAGCAGGTGATGTTGGTATAGATGTACCCTGTGCGCGATAAACCGGAAGTATAATTTATGTAAACAACGGTTTCCAATGGAAGGCCCATATGCTAGATCAGTGATGGCGAACCTTAATTGAGTCAGTAGACAAAAAGGAAAGGGTGCGCCTAAATGAATAAATATAACGGATATATAAAATATAGGATAAGATAAATGAGATAAAAGTCCAGAACACTTATCAAATGTCCGTTATAGTAGTTTCTCCTTGTAGAGACAACAGATCTTGGGACGTCAGACGGGGTTGAGACTTCACGGTGATGTGCTTGAATCCAGTGAGGTACGTATATAAAAGGAAAACAGAAAAAAGGAAAACTCCAATGGTACAGTATATCAATCACAGTGTAAATATTGGAATAGTGCAAATAGTCCTACTCACACTTTTTTGGAGCTAAAATTTATCATGGATATGTAGAGTAGTGCTTTGATTGGAGAGTTCTTGGTCCGTGTTCGGTGTTCCAATCAGTTAACCCAAAATTGAGAGAATAAAAGAATAGTGCTCTCTGTTTGTAATATAAAATGGTGATATATAGAAAATTACTTACACAGTATGGGGCAGATTTGTACTGCTCAGTATAGGCGCTTAGGTGGTATAATCCCCACCTCTGGATTCTTTCAATTCTTTGTTGATGTAGGTCAGGTGCAGGTATTGATAAAATAAAATAAATTAAATATAAAGAAAATGGCAATAAAATATTTTATGCCAAATAAAATTCTTTATTAGAAATAAATAAAATACTAATAATATCTAGACGCGTTTCGCCTCAAAAGGCTTCTTCAAGTAGATAATTATAAAGGAAGGCACACCTGACATACAAGGGTTTATATAACATACAGTACTTCTACTGTATGTTATATAAACCCTTGTATGTCAGGTGTGCCTTCCTTTATAATCACTCCATGGTACTGTATGTTATATAAACCCTTGTATGTCAGGTGTGCCTTCCTTTATAATTATCTACTTGAAGAAGCCTTTTGAGGCGAAACGCGTCTAGATATTATTAGTATTTATTTTATTTATTTCTAATAAAGAATTTTATTTGGCATAAAATATTTTATTGCCATTTTCTTTATATTTAATTTATTTTATCTTATCAATACCTGCACCTGACCTACATCTACAAAGAATTGAAAGAATCCAGAGGTGGGGATTATACCACCTAAGCGCCTATACTGAGCAGTACAAATCTGCCCCATACTGTGTAAGTAATTTTCTATATATCACCATTTCATATTACAAACAGAGAGCACTATTCTTTTATTCTCTCAATTTTGGGTTAACTGATTGGAACACCGAACACGGACCAAGAACTCTCCAATCAAAGCACTACTCTACATATCCATGATAAATTTTAGCTCCAAAAAAGTGTGAGTAGGACTATTTGCACTATTCCAATATTTACACTGTGATTGATATACTGTACCATTGGAGTTTTCCTTTTTTCTGTTTTCCTTTTATATACGTACCTCACCGGATTCAAGCACATCACCGTGAAGTCTCAACCCCGTCTGACGTCCCAAGATCTGTTGTCTCTACAAGGAGAAACTACTATAACGGACATTTGATAAATGTTCTGGACTTTTATCTCATTTATCTTATCCTATATTTTATATATCCGTTATATTTATTCATTTAGGCGCACCCTTACCTTTCTTTTTGTCTATTGTTTTCTATATTTAGGGAATCATAGGGGATTCCCCTTTGAGGTGTGCTGCCTTCTTACCCATTCTGTGGCAGTTAAGCGCTGATTTTTCCTATTTTTATCCTTAATTGAGTCAGAGTGCCCAAACCGCAATACATGCCAACTTATTTTCCCTCAAAGTGCCAACACGGCAATTAAACCCGAATACTGAGATTTAAGTTTAGAAAAAACAACTCATACAGCTTTTCAAACTAACCAACAACTTTTGTTTTAAAAGAACACAACAGAGTTTTAAATAATGATATAGAAAATAGATAAAATTAAGTTTATATTGATTAGTATCTCCACCAAATGCAATACATACACACACAGTCCGCTTAATACGCGCACACAGTTTGCTGAATACACGCACACAAACATACACACAGACTGCTGAATATGTATATACATGGGGGGGCTGTGTGTGTGTGTGGGGGGATGGAGTGCTGTGTGTGTGCGCGCGTGTGTGGGGGGGGAATGGAGTGCTGTGTGTGTGCGCGTGTGGGGGTGGAGAGCTGTGTGTGTGCACGTGTGGGGGGGATGGAGTGCTGTGTGTGTTTGAGGGGGTGGAGTAGTGTGTGTATGTGGGGGTGGGGTAGGGGTGCTGCAGGTAGCAAATGTATTTTTGTTTTTTTAATAATCCTGACCTATACATAAAATATTTGTCCCACCCCCCCCCCTTCTTCTTACCTATGGTGAAAATACAAAAGCATTCTCCCCACCCCGCCAGGCGACCTATGGCCGCGTGCCCACAGAGAGGCCATAGGTTCAGGATCACTGCGCTAGATATTGTCCTCAAGGGTAGAAGCATTGCACCCACTTTTCTTGATTAAACTTCAGAACCTACTGTATAATAGTGTTTGATTTCCAACTTATTTTTCTAGTTATAGACATTTAAAATTCACACAACACACAAAATTAAATCCTGCTCTCAAACTCCACACTACTCCTTGACGGCAGCAATGGCTATAGTACACATCAATTAAAATACATAATTTTTTTTTTTTTACCTGTGCACTATCCCAAGTCCTGATGCACAGTTAAATAACCTTCCTCTTCCCCTCTCCCCCTCAAAAAAATACTAACAAACAAAAAAACTACTTATTAAATTCAGATAGAGAAGGTGGGTTGTTCATGCATGACATCATAAGCAATCTTATTCCCATAGATTGTTGGGAATCTAATCTCACCTCAATTTCACTGGATCGGTTTGCGGACGTTTCTGTTCCCAGGGAGGAGCTAGGTCTCTTTTGTGTGGAGTCTAAAGGAATAAGTGAAGAAAAGTAAGAAGAGATTAAAAAATAAATGTCTAACAATATAGGAGTTTTAGAAACATGTTCCGCTCATTCCCCTTTAGGTCAGCCTGCCCTCCTACAAAACTCTCCATGCCCAAGGCCAGCACTCCGCACCTGGGCTGTCTCGTTTCTCCATCTCAGACTCTCTTCTGGCACCTGGTCTTTCTCCATCTGGAAAGAGCGGAATGTCCCCTGTTGCCTAGGATTAGTGACATGCGATATTATTAGATGTGAAGTGCACGAAAGAACAAGATAAAAAGATTACACATTGTATGTGTTACACAATATGCACAAGGTTAGAAGAGCTTTTGTACACAAAAATGTGGAGAAAGTTGGGTCCCTTCATTGTCATCATAACAGGGGAAAAAACAACACCTGAGTGTAAAATTAAATGAGATTGACTCAAAGTGTTTTCTGAACAGGCAAAGCTAGCAGTAAAAAGGACTTAAAGGGAAACATAAATTAGAATGTCATATCCCTCGCCTCCCCTGGTAACCTAACTTCACTTTTCCAGGTTGGGAGATATTTGGCTACATACAGCAGCCAAAATATCTGAATATGGGAACATCAGTGGGATTAAATAAAATACATTCAAACTGTTAAAAGTTCCAGATGCTAAATTTACAAGTCTATAAACTATAGTCTGCTTTAGAAATTAATTCCTGAAGCTTTACCTATTAAACTTTTTTTTATTTCAAGCTATGGTGGGTCTCCTAATAAACCAGGGATTGGTCAAGATATATCTGATGCTTTCTGCTTGAAACAGGACATCACTGAAGCCCAAATGCAGGGCAGACCATGTGTTTTTTTTTATTTTTATATATAAATAATTTTAGTTATTACATTAGCTGTATAAATTAAAAAATAAAAAGATGATCAGCAAAACTGACAATGGAGATCGTCTTTAAACTTGTATCATTAGAATCAAATATGCTATAACCAAGTTCAGATTCAATACTACTTTATACATACATTGCCGGCCCGGGGAATGGTCTTCCTGGCACGGTGCACTTTGTCTGTTCCTTCCCTGGTTATACTCAGCAATCTCATAGCCAAGCTTTGGGCTGCATGTGGCAGCTTCCCTGCCCCAGTTAGAGACATCTTGGCTCTGCTGGTGACTGGAGACGAGGAAGAGGAGGGTGGTGTAGGGAGAGATTTGGAGGCATGGCCTGGGGGAAATTAATGTAATAAATATCAAACAGTTGTACACATCACCACAACACAGTTTAGAAGAGAATATAGAATATCTCAGTAGCTCATTATCCTAAATGATTTTTCTGAAAGTGGGCATCCTTCATGAATAGTTACTACTGAAAAGCCAAACCTTTCAGACCACAAAAGCACAGATTCACTAAACTACTTAATGAGACATTATGCTAATAAAAATTGATGCTGCAATTGGGAGCATGACTAGTTTCCTCCCAAGACAACTAGAAGCTACACCCACCTGCTTTAAATGCTTGTTACATGGCAAGGACACATCTTACAGATATAACACTAGGAATCGCCTTCCACACTTATCACGTTGTATAAATAAAACAGAGTGTCAATCACTTTCAGTCTGTCCCAGTTTAAACATCATGAGCTCTTACCAGATAATCCTCTGGACACGGGAGAAAATGTGAGAATCTCCTTCTCGGTTTCGCTTTTTTCCTCCTCCTGCATAGGAGTCACATTTAGGGATGCTACTTCTTTGTTACTCTGTACCACTTCACCCTCAGGATCAGCTGTGAAGCAAATAGAACATTGTTCCCAAAAGGACTTTAATCAAGGCTAACATCCACATTAAAATAATTTACATGTATATAAATAAATAGTAACACATTACTACAACAAGTAAATACACTTGTGTGTTTTGAGACGCTTAAATGTATAACTGCAAGATTGACATGTGACCGATAACACAACCTCCGAGTGTGCTGTAAATCCAAGACAAACTGCAGCACCAGTAAGTATTAGAGAAGTAAATATCCAGCCCAGTTTATCACGGTGTAGTAAACGTCAGCGTGGGTTCAGGATGAGAACTAAGTAGAGAGTAAAGGAATGTTGATGGAATTCCTGCATGAACACATAATTAATTCCTTTAGTATTCACTAAAATGTGAAATGTCTAGTTTCTAAAGTGAATTTCAAATTTTAGGACAAAGGAATTCCAAGAAAAATCAAAATGTCAGTTGTGTTTTAAATGTGGCTATTTTGGCTCAAAATTTTAAATTCACTTCTAAAAACATTTCAATGTAGTAAGTAACCCTGCCCTAAGGTGGGTAGATGGCCCCACTAAATAGGACAGCTCTCAAAAGTGGCTAAGAAATATTGACGTTTTACTAGATTTCAACTCTGGTGCGTTCCATACAAAAGGATACATTAAAAAAGTTAATGTATAAATTACATTCATTGGAAGACAGTAAATTGCTGGTTATTACGCATCCAAAACAAATCAACTTTTTCAAGAGGAAGATCAATTAACACACTGTAATAGCTAAATAAAACAACTATAGATTGTGCTGAAATAATTTCTGCCTGCTTAGTATATTAGTAAATTCTTCATAGTTTATTTTCTTTTGTAGTCATTGTTGGTATATAAATACTTTGTTATCATCATAATTATATATGCATGTAATATACAAGTTTTATGCAGCTGTTTAAGACTGTTGTATTTGTATAGTTGTGACATACATAAAGCCCTAGAAGATTTAAAGGGGAACTGTCACCTTCCATGAATTTTAATACGATGTTTACTTAGCCATGTATTTATTAAATATGTATTTTGTCAGTTGTGAAAACTAAAATTAAATCTAGAAATCCACCTATTTATTTTGTAACTGGGCGCCTCTATCTAAGCCCTCTGTCAGTTATTACTATAAGCCCTGCCCTGGAAGTCAGCAAAGAGATAGCGTACCGAAAAGAGGAGAAATAAAATGGTTTCTATTTTTCCTCTCCATTCACAATGTTTTCCCTTGCTTTGCCTTTTTCTGACCTGGACTGCTGTCATTAGCTAAATATTTATTGTAAGTTTAAAAGAAAATGAACCGTTTCATGAATCCCGTTATAAGTGGTTTTCAGAACTTTATTCAATGGCAGGAGTGTCAGTGCCTCTTAAATGAGTTTACATACACATATACAGAAATATGCAGCCATACCTCGGTTTGAGCTAGGAGACACTCCAAGGATTTCTCTCTCAAGAGGAGGGTCATTTTCAGCCTCTCTCACAGACACCACCTGTACATGAATAGAAAACGAGGGGACAATAGTGAGTTACTTTAAGTGTATATTAATGTCTCATGTTTAATTCTGGATGGTGCCAGGCGTAACTGAATGCACCGTTGCTTTGGTCTTTCTTCATAGCTGTGATATTTGATTCTCTCTCCCGGAAACTGAACATACCACACCATATCCCCTAAATCAACATATCCAACTACTGCCTCGCCACCTCTCTTCCATCTCCTCTCTTTTTTTCTATATATCCCCATACCTTGGAATTCCACTCCTATCACCCTCTCCCCATTCTTGTACCTCACCAGCATCTTCACTGCACTTCTTTAGTTATCATTCATCTCTTATGTCACCTTTCCTGCATCTTACATCACATCAGCTTGTTCCCTTACATTTATATTTGTAAATCTGCTCTCTTCTATTTTCTGTATCTTGCATGTCCCGTCTCCCCCTTGCATGTGCCTTATCCCCATCCTGTTAGTCTGTTACCCCCAACTTCCCTTAACCCCTCCTTTGCTCATTTCTTATTTTCTTGTCCTTTGGCCATGTCTTTCCTGTTCACCTCTGCCTCCTCCAATAACACCCTCTCTAACCCACCTCTTCCCTGCACTGACCCTCAGCCAGCATTTTCTAATCTCCTACTTCATATGCCATGTGTGATGTCCATGATGGCCTTTCTCTTCCCTTGCCATTGCTCCCTGGAGGTTTTCCTTTTCAGGCTGCCTTGTTATTATGAGAGCTCTGGTCCCTCAGGTTCACTCCCACCATGCTCAGCCAAGCTCCCAGAGAGCCAGCTGTTTCCCATTGCTCCCTGGTGGTTTCCCCTTTCAGGCTACCTTGTTATTATGAGATCTCTGGTCCCTCAGGATCACCCCCACCATGCTCAGCCAATCTCCCAGAGAGCCAGCTGTTTCCAATTGCTCCCTGGTGGTTTCCCCTTTCAGGCTACCTTGTTATTATGAGATCTCTGGTCCCTCAGGTTCACTCCCACCATGCTCAGCCAAGCTCCCAGAGAGCCAGCTGTTTCCCATTGCTCCCTGGTGGTTTCCCCTTTCAGGCTGCCTTGTTATGAGATCTCTGGTCCCTCAGGATCACTCGCACCATGCTCAGCCAATCTCCCAGAGAGCCAGCTGTTTCCCATTGCTCCCTGGTGGTTTCCCCTTTCAGGCTGCCTTGTTATTATGAGATCTCTGGTCCCTCAGGTTCACTCCCACCATGCTCAGCCAAGCTCCCAGAGAGCCAGCTCTTTCCCATTGCTCCCTGGTGGTTTCCCCTTTCAGGCTGCCTTGTTATTATGAGATCTCTGGTCCCTCAGGTTCACTCCCACCATGCTCAGCCAATCTCCCAGAGAGCCAGCTGTTTCCCATTGCTCCCTGGTGGTTTCCCCTTTCAGGCTGCCTTGTTATTATGAGAGCTCTGGTCCCTCAGGTTCACTCCCACCATGCTCAGCCAATCTCCCAGAGAGCCAGCTGTTTCCCATTGCTCCCTGGTGGTTTCCCCTTTCAGGCTGCCTTGTTGTTATGAGAGCTCTGGTCCCTCCGGTTCACTCCCACCATGCTCAGCCAAGCTCCCAGAGAGCCAGCTGTTTCCCATTGCTCCCTGGTGGTTTCCCCTTTCAGGCTGCCTTGTTGTTATGAGAGCTCTGGTCCCTCCGGTTCACTCCCACCATGCTCAGCCAATCTCCCAGAGAGCCAGCTGTTTCCCATTGCTCCCTGGTGGTTTCCCCTTTCAGGCAGCCTTGTTATTATGAGAGCTCTGGTCCCTCAGGTTCACTCCCACCATGCTCAGCCAAGCTCCCAGAGAGCCAGTTGTTTCCCATTGCTCCCTGGTGGTTTTCCCTTTCAGGCAGCCTTGTTATTATGAGAGCTCTGGTCCCTCAGGTTCACTCCCACCATGCTCAGCCAAGCTCCCAGAGAGCCAGCTGTTTCCCATTGCTCCCTGGTGGTTTCCCCTTTCAGGCTGCCTTGTTGTTATGAGAGCTCTGGTCCCTCAGGTTCACTCCCACCATGCTCAGCCAAGCTCCCAGAGAGCCAGCTGTTTCCCATTGCTCCCTGGTGGTTTCCCCTTTCAGGCTGCCTTGTTGTTATGAGAGCTCTGGTCCCTCAGGTTCACTCCCACCATGCTCAGCCAAGCTCCCAGAGAGCCAGCTGTTTCCCATTGCTCCCTGGTGGTTTCCCCTTTCAGGCTGCCTTGTTATTATGAGAGCTCTGGTCCCTCAGGTTCACTCCCACCATGCTCAGCCAAGCTCCCAGAGAGCCAGCTGTTTCCCATTGCTCCCTGGTGGTTTCCCCTTTCAGGCTGCCTTGTTATTATGAGAGCTCTGGTCCCTCAGGTTCACTCCCACCATGCTCAGCCAAGCTCCCAGAGAGCCAGCTGTTTGCCATTGCTCCCAGTCTGCCTGGCTGGCTCTCTGCCCTCCCCCTCCCACATGGCGCCCACATCCCGCAGGTTTATTTAAAATCCGTCCATTCTCACTCTCTCTCTTTCTCCCGCCGTCTCCATGGCTCTTTCACACGGAGCTTCCCGTCCTGCCCCTGACCTCACATCCGGCTCTCGGCTTCACCTGATTGGATGGCACAAGGAACGGCCATTCTGAACTCCCATTGGTCCTTCTGTAACCATGGTGAAGGATTTTCGCATTGCGTTCCACTGGGTCTCACCTCCTCGCTCTCTGATTGGATACCTGCATTCCAAGCCTCATTTCAAAAACGTGCGTGTCACAGACGGAACTCGCGATTTAATTGGTTGCCTGGAATCCAAGCCTCGCTCCCAGGCACTGGACTATGAGAGCGCGCATGTGATTGGCTGTTGTAAGACCCGCCCTGTGTACCTGGCTGGTCCCTCTTAAAGCGGCATCACTTAGTTTTCACCTTGTTGCAGGTTGACAAATAAAAACAGAAAAAAAAACCAAAGTATTAAGATGGCGCTATAACAATTCTCACAGTTCAATATTAATAAATAAGCAGCACTGTATATAGTGAAAGAGCTCCACTCACATATAACTAAAAAAATAAAATAAAGTGTGCTGTGCCTTTAAAAACTACAATTAATTAATAAAATTCACATTAATATCATATAAATGTGTAAAACACAAAAAAAAAACATCAGAGCAATAATAAATGACCAAAGTGACAAGGTGAACTTGTGAAAAAAAAAAAAAAAACCCTTTTTAGTGTATTGTGCAAATATTTGAAAAAGACCTTTAGTAACTCCACCCATTGTAAAGCGCTGCGGAATTTGATGGCGCTATATAAATGGCGTAATAATAATAACAATAACTCACGTATAAGTAGCCCTTATTATTGCTTGTGTCAGAGTTTCAAAGTGTATCTCAAAATCGAAAACGAAAAAAACACAAACTCATAGGGCAATATGCATATACAATAAATAAAACCGATATAAGAGTAGAGCAATTTAGTCTGCGCTGAACTGAGCTGGCATCTTTTGTAACATATGTCGGCTTGAGGCTGTGATGAAAGTAGAGAAATTCTGTATTTAACACTCTGGATTAAAAGCAGCTGTCGGGCTTCTAAGTCCTCTCTGTGTATCTTCCTCCTCTCCAATATGTGGTTAATTCCCTGGGTCGTGACTCCAAGGGCTACAAACTCTACCACTGGTTCCGAGAGGCGGGATGAACCTCTCCCAATTTCTCCGGTTCCTCCGGCTCCGGGCCAGGTTAGGGAGCGAGGAGAGGCAGAGAGGTGACTTGCGCACTCACCAGTACAACTCCACTCCCAAGTGAGTTACTAAAGATCTTTTTCAAATATTTGCACAATACACTAAAAAGTGTTTTTGTTTTTTTCACAAGTGCACCTTATCACTTTGGTCATTTATTATTGCACTAATGGTTTTTAGTATTTTACACATTCATATGGTATTAATGTGAATAGCATGAATTAATCTTAAAGGCACAGCGCACTTTGTTTTTTGACAAATAAATACAACTGCCTGCCTTTATCTACGGTTACTAAAACGTGTGTGAGCTCACACCCTATGTGCCCTCTCACAGGGTCACTCACTGCCTTCTCTCCTGTATAATCTGAACTCTGCATAAAGCAAGGCGGCGGGATCACTATTATTATTTATACAGTGCCAACATGTTATGCAGCGCGGTACAAAAATAGTGTAGGGATCATTATTATTATTATTTATATAGCGCCAACATATTACGCAGTGCGGTACAATCATAGGGCGGGAATCAATATTATTATTTATATAGCGCCAACATATAACGCAGTGCGGTACAATCATAGCGTGGGAATCAATATTATTATTATTATTTATACAGCGCCAACATATTACGCAGCGTGGTACAGACATAGTGTGGGAATCATTTATAATATGATTTATATAGCGCCAACAAATAACGCAGAGCGGTACAATCATAGCGTGGGGATCATTATTATTATGATTTATATAGCGCCAACATATAACGCAGCATGGTACAATCATAGCTGTTCCCACCTCCTATAACCTCTGATCCAGTACTAGCACGATATTTAGCAGCATACCGCAATAAACAAAAAGGGTCTCGATCCTCCTTTTCCTACACAGTGTGTTTGTGTATATATATAGTTTGTATATTGTATCCTATTGTATCAATGCAATTTTTTGTGGACAAAGACCCAGGACATACTTGAAAACGAGAGAAATCTCAACGTATCCATCCTGGTAAAATATTTTATAAATAAATTAATATTACACAGCGCGGTACAAACATAGCGTGGGGATCATTATTATTATGATTTATATAGCACCAACATATAACGCAGAGCGGTACAATCATAGTGTGGGGATCATTATTATTATGATTTATATAGCACCAACATATAGCGCAGAGCAGTACAATCATAGCATGGGGATCATCATTATTAATTATATAGCACCAACATATAACGCAGCGCCTTACAATTATAGCGTGGGGATCATTATTACTATTTATACAGCTCCATCATATAACACAGAGTGGTATAATCATACCGTGGGGATCATCATTATTTATATAGCACCAACATATAACACAGTGCCTTACAATTATAGCGTGGGGATCATTATTATTATTTATACAGCTCCATCATATAACACAGAGTGGTATAATCATACCGTGGGGATCATCATTATTTATATAGCACCAACATATAACACAGTGCCTTACAATTATAGCGTGGGGATCATTATTATTATTTATACAGCTCCATCATATAACACAGAGTGGTATAATCATAGTGTAGGGATCAATGTTATTATTATTATTTATATAACTCCAACATAGTAGGAAATGCGGTACAATCATAGCGTGGTGATCATTATTATTATTTATATAGCTCCAACATAGTATGCAGCACGGTACAATCATAGCGTGGTGATCATTATTATTATTTATATAGCTCCAACATAGTATGCAGCGCTGTACAATCATAGTGTAGGGATCAATGTTATTATTATTATTTATATAACTCCAACATAGTATGCAGCGCGGTACAATCATAGCGTGGTGATCATTATTATTATTATTATTTATATAGCTCCAACATAGTACGCAGCGGGGTACAATCATAGCGTGGTGATCATTATTATTATTATTTATATAGCTCCAACATAGTACGCAGCGCGGTACAATCATAGCGTGGTGATCATTATTATTATTATTTATATAGCTCCAACATAGTAGGCAGCGCGGTACAATCATAGCGTGGTGATCATTATTATTATTATTTATATAGCTCCAACATAGTGCGCAGCGCGGTACAATCATAGCGTGGTGATCATTATTATTATTATTATTTATATAGCTCCAACAAAGTACGCAGCGCGGTACAATCATAGCGTGGTGATCATTATTATTATTATTTATATAGCTCCAACAAAGTAGGCAGCGCGGTACAATCATAGCGTGGGGATCATTATTATTATTATTTATATAGCTCCAACATAGTACGCAGCGCGATACAATCATAGCGTGGTGATCATTATTATTATTATTTATATAGCTCCAACATAGTAGGCAGCGCGGTACAATCATAGCGTGGTGATCATTATTATTTATATAGCTCCAACATAGTACGCAGCGCGGTACAATCATAGCGTGGTGATCATTATTATTATTATTTATATAGCTCCAACATAGTACGCAGCGCGGTACAATCATAGCGTGGGGATCATTATTATTATTATTATTAATATAGCTCCAACATAGTACGCAGCGCGGTACAATCATAGCGTGGTGATCATTATTATTATTATGATTTATATAGCTCCAACATAGTAGGCAGTTCGGTACAATCATAGCGTGGTGATCATTATTATTATTTATATAGCTCCAACATAGTAGGCAGCGCGGTACAATCATAGCGTGGTGATCATTATTATTATTATTATTATTCATATAGCTCCAACATAGTACGCAGCACGGTACAATCATAGCGTAGTGATCATTATTATTATTATTTATATAGCTCCAACATAGTAGGCAGCGCGGTACAATCATAGCGTGGTGATCATTATTATTATTATTTATATAGCTCCAACATAGTAGGCAGCACGGTACAATCATAGCGTGGTGATCATTATTATTATTATTTATATAGCTCCAACATAGTACGCAGCGCGATACAATCATAGCGTGGGGATCATTATTATTATTATTATTATTTATATAGCTCCAACATAGTACGCAGCGCTGTACAATCATAGCGTGGTGATCATTATTATTATTATTTATATAGCTCCAACATAGTAGGCAGCGCGGTACAATCATAGCGTGGTGATCATTATTATTATTATTTATATAGCTCCAACATAGTAGGCAGCACAGTACAATCATAGCGTGGTGATCATTATTATTATTCTTTATATAGCTCCAACATAGTAGGCAGCGCGGTACAATCATAGCGTGGGGATCATTATCACCTATATAGCGCCAACATTTTAGCGCTCTAGCTATTGTGCAGCACACTTTCCATGATGCCCTCATAGTGAATTGGAATTGAATTTCTGCTTAAGGTGTTGATTTAAACGTGAGACACAGTGAAAGCCACGCTGATTATGACATTCATTAGGAGCGTCTCCTGTTTTTGTACATTTCAGTTTGTGTGCCGTGTATTTTTATTGAACATTACATTATCCTTCTGTTTGCTCTCTGCCACATTCTACGGAGTGTCTCTTTCATTTCCATTATTTTTTTGTGCTGCATCCCAACTGGATTTTTCTTTGTAAAGCTGCGGTGGGGGGGAGTTTACCCCTATGATCGGAGTTATAGGAGTTATATTTATTTGCACATATATAGTGGTTTGATCTGCTTTTTATTATTTTTATTGTCAGTTGCTCTCATTTATCAAAGTGCATATTTCTATAGATTTCTTTTATAAAATGTAAAAAAATTAAACTCACTTCACACGTAAAAGACTCGAGCAAACTGAATTGCTTTGTATTTGTGGAGTGTTCCTTTACCATGTCCTCAAGGATGCCTATGACTCCATAACGAGCAGACGTTAAAAGTTATACCCTGGTGTATGAAGATTTCATATGCCGCAGGAAGGACACCAATTTATTGATCATAACCTTTTAATCGATTTCCTCCCTACAACATATGAGTTTACATACTGCAGGGTAAAACTATTCCTGTGCTACATAACAACATGAATAAGTATATCTCCAGGAATATAAGTTAGGTATGGTAACCCTTAAAGGAACACTCCAAACACCATAACCACTACTCGGCAGACCTCTCTCAGACACTGAGCTTAGTCCTGAACTGCAGTCGCTCCAGGGCACTCCTGGCACACTGCAGTGATTATGGCGCTTGAAATGTTCCTTTGATTGTCATAGGATTTTCCTTGCATTTCTATATACATTTTAATTATTTACAGACATTAAAGCTATACAGAAAAAGTGAACATTATGAACATAGACATATACTGACACACAAGGGAGTATTCTCTAAACCTGGATATCAGAGAAATTGACAAGTGAATTGTACATTGTAGGCCAAACTAGCGGGATTTGGAAAAACATATCAAAACGCCACTATGTTGCCATTTTAGCTACAATCTTAAATCCCAAGGTCAATTCTCCGCAATTCTAATTGTCAGGGTTATTCTCTAAAGTGAGAATTCAAAGTGAATTTCAATTTTAAGATCAGAGTAGTCGAACTGAAAGCATAGTGGATTTACAGCATTTTTATCTAGATCGTCTACTTTAACCTTAAATTTGCAATTCACTTTAAATTCTCACTCTAGTGAATAACTCTGTTAGTTACTAAGCCTAACAGGGTTATTCACTAGACTTTACATTTTTGCAAATTAAATCCAAATGTCAGAACTGAGGCAAAAAGAGCAGATCTGCCAAAATTCTTCAATTTATCCACAGACACAATTTGGCAAAGTCTGCCTCCATTTTGCCATTAGGATTGAATTTGTGAAAATTTGGTGTTTAGTGATTTCCCCTGTGTGTACGACAAGATTTGCTCCAATTCGTATAGTATCGCTGCGTCCAGTGAACACAATATACACAACAGTCCAATGCATTTGACCTGCTTCGTTAAATTATAGAATGATACAGTTATAGCTCTATACAGGAGATGTGAGCAGCAGACGGGTCCATGATATCAATAGCTAATATCACAAGGGTAAGGTAAAAATGCAGTATCATTCATAAAACAAATATTTTATTTCATAAAAATTAAGTATTATTACAGAATGACTAAAAAGACTGCATGGAGCGTGAGAGTAACATTATACTTTTGGTGGAAAAGGGAAGTAGACGCATTCATGGGGTCTTTCAAAATTTAGTCCTAAAGTCTATAGAGTCCAACACTAGCTCATAAAAGGTGAAAACCGTGACAGCAAAGAGGTCACTCTAATAAGGGCACTGGGCAGCTGGAAGAGGTTAAATTAGAGTCACGACATGTTAGCTGAACATTGATCAACATATGTTCTGTAAAGCTCAATCTTGCATTTTAGAAATGTCTGTCTTCCAATCGGAATTTCCATCAACTTCCATTAAAGTCTTACTTAACCATCACCCAACTAGAATGTTAACCTCGGCCACCCCGGCCTCCAAGACATTCTGAGCGGTGGTCTTTCCGTGCTGTTCTTTTAGGTGACGTCGTATGGCTGGCTTGTGTGCAAACCTCACCGAACAATAAGAGCAACGGTAAGGACGTTCCCCGCTATGTAGGTTGAGATGGTCATGAAGCGTGGATTTCTGAGTGAAGCATTTGCCACATATGTGACAGGAGTGCGATTTTACTCCCCGATGCACGTTCATGTGACGGTTAAGATTACTGCTATGGTTGAATTGTTTACCGCACCGTGGACACATGAAAACAAAATGCTGCGCCCGCATGTGGAAAACCAGCTTCTCCACTCCCTGAAAAACCTCCTCGCATTTACAGCACCTAATTGGACGTCTACTTCCAAATCTTGCATCCCCAGTGACCAGTGAACCCATTGCTCCTCCTAATCCACCAAGTACACTTCTAGATCCACCATCAGCCACCATGCTGCTCTGGCATCCACCTGAGCTATCAAACACCTCACCTTCTTCTTCATGGTAATTGCTTGGGATAATTAGCACACCTTCACCACCCTCCACTTCATCACTGTAGATGGCTTTCAAAATCCCTCCCTGTTGGATGTTCCCATCACCAGTCTCACCACCTTCTACTGTAGAATTTACTAAAGCCTCTTCCTGTTGTGTCCCAGCATTCTGCTCCTCTTCCCTTTTCCCCCATGAGCGTCCCCCCTTACTTCCTCCCATACCGGCCTCCACTTTCACAATACAAATATCCGACGATGATCCTTCTTCTCCCTGCTCCTCTTCCTCTTCTTCCTCTGCCATTAGCAACATGTCTTCCTCGCTTTCCTCTTCCGTCTTAGCCTCCGCTGTAAGAGATTGCCGGTTGTCTGATGACCGAATGGAGCTCATTGTTGTTGTTGAAGCACGGGAGGGCATGCCTCTGTTAGGGGCTCTTAAACCAATTTTTGGCTCAATAAATTGCGTGAGAGCTTCACGACACTTTTCCACCACATGCTCCATTTGTAAATAGCTGGCTGCAGTCAGATAGTTCACAATATCCCTCACAGAGAACTCGAGGAGGCCTGTATAACAGGAAAGGAGGAGATCAGAGACTACCCTAGGTCCATGCATGAGAGACACCTGGAGCTCAGAGCCTGGATTGAGTAGAAACTGGTCTCTGAGGAAAGGAGAGCAAGCAGCTAGGACCACACGGTGGCCTCTAAATTTGAAGCCATCAGAAAGCACAGTGATGTCGCAAAATCTTTCTTCCGATCGTAGCTGGTTCATGGTGCGAAGGGTGGCTGCCTCATGGCCAGGCAGTTGGAAGCGCAGAATGTCAGGGGTAGACGCCATCTTTTTTTTCCGAGGCAACAATATTTTGGAAGAAGAGATTTTTAGCACTTACGGATCAATTCTTGGTTGAGCGATGGGAATCCTGTTTAAGTGGACTTGCAGAGTCTTTTTTTGCTTGGTAGAGCTGTAGACGAACCATTAGAACATACGCTTGTAATTAATATATGTCTGGCAGAAGTCAATGGCATATCAGTGAAAGAGTCTTGTAAAAGGAGTGAGGTCTTCAGTGATGCATATTAAATCAGGAAAGTTATAAAGGTTTTATTTTTCAAAGATCTTAAAGTAGCTCGATAGTCGGTTTGATATTTGTCTGATGTCGGAGGTCACATTGATAAAATCATAGTCTTTCACTCTCAACAGACAGTTCACCCGATGGGTGTTTTTTGTACCTGTCCTTCATGTGGATTTTACTGTTCTAACGACCAAGGCAACATGTCCTAGACAGAAAAAGATGGTACAGTAAATACATGAATCCAGAGTAAACATGCAGTGTTCGATTAACTAACAAAGAAACTCGAAAGACAACTCTTTAAAATGAACTAAAATTGCAGAATTGGAAAATTACCCATTTATTACCCATCTTAGCTATATCTCCTAACTTTCAAGTCAGCTTTTAAATAAAAGAAAAAACTTGCTAAAACTACTCAAGATAAATGAAAGCCTTTTATTGAAACACATTACACTGAAACATTAGGAACTCTGTACTACATACATTTCTGGGGCCAAGTTCTAAAAGTGGAGCAGTTCCCATAGAAGAGAATTCCAATTGAATTTCAAATTTAAGGTCAAAGTAGTCAAAGTGGAAAAATGATCAAAGCTTGGCTATGCTTTTAGTTTGGCTACTTTGGATTCAAGTTTAAAATTCTTTTTGAATTCCAACTTTAGTAATTAACTCTGTCTAGGGATCTTTGGGAGGTGGACAAACCTGTTAGAATTTGAAAGGTCTCCAACAGGGCGCGAAGTAATAAAACAATCATGTCTTGTGTCCCTGGCAGAGGACATTTAATAGGGAATACAGTGAAACACATGACCATTCATGAGTGAGTAGAAAAAACAAGCAATGCTACAAGTAAATGGACTTGTGAAGGGTTAATGAGAAACTTAATGGCAGCATATAAGGGAATTCTCACTGTGATAACTGTGACACTAGCAGTGACAGGGTTAATGAGGCATTCTATAACAATTAGATTAAGAGTAAATATTGATGAGAGCCATCTATCAGGTTTTTGGGCACCTTGCTCCCCAATACTTGAAGCAGATGCTGGACTACCACTCCCATCCATCCCCAGCCAGCCAGCTTACAGTGATGAGACTTGCAGTTAACTCCAGGATACATAGCCATGCTGTCCTGTAAAGTAGGAGTTACAGCAGGAATGGAGAACATACTGCTCTCCAGCTGTGGTAGAACTACAACTCCCGTGATGCTGTGCCACACTGAAGCAAAGCTTCATGGGAGTTGTAGTCCTCCCGCACACAGAGCTCTGCCTTTTGGCTAAATCAGGGTTAATGGGATGACCTCTGCGTCAGTGAGGTGATAGGTAGGACAGGGGTTAATGGGAGGCAGCTGTTTAAACAGGTCACAAGGAGCAGGAGACAACATGACTGGCAGGAGAAGGAAGTTTGGGGAGAGGGCTCCCCACTCCCCCTTTCTGCAGCGCTCCCCTTTCCTTTCTCTCTTCCCCCCCTTTAATTTAAAGGTATAGACACACATTACCTCCATACACAGGCCTTTCCTCTCCTATCTCCTCCTCTTCCTGTTCCCCAGCTTCCTTCCCTGGATCCCTCCTCCCTCTCTGCAGGATTTAAAGGGGTATAGCTGGAATCTCAGGGCATGGAGAGAGGGCAGCACTGGCAGCAGGGTTTAGCAGCCACTCATTGCCTCTCTCTGTCTCTCCCTGCCCCCTCCATGCCCTCTCTACCCCCTCCATACCTCCTCCTGCCCTCTCTGCCCCCTCCATGCCTGCCCTCTCTGCCCCCTCCATTCCTCTCCTGCCCCCTCCATGCCTGCCCTCTCTGCTCCCTCCAAACCTTCCCCTGCCCCCTCCATGCCCTCTCTACCCCTCCATACCTCCCTCTGCCCCTCCATACCTCCTCCTGCCCCCTCCATACCCCCCTGCCCCTCCATGCCTGCCCTCTCTGCCCCTCCATTCCTCTCCTGCCCCTCCATGCCTGCCCTCTCTGCTCCCTCCATACCTTCCCCTGCCCCCTCCATGCCCTCTCTGCCTCCTCCATACCTCCACCTGCCCTCTCTGCCCCTTCCATACCTCCACCTGGCCCCTCCATGCCCTCTCTGCCTTCTTCATACCTCCCCCTGCCCTCTGCCTCCCCTGCCTCCTTCATGCCTGCCCTCTCTGCCCCCTCCATGAGCTCTCCGCCCCCTGCATGCCTCCCCTGCCCTCTCTGCCCCTCCATGCCTCCCCTGTCCTCTTTGCCCCTCCATGCCCTCTCTGCCTCCTTCATGCCTCCCCTGCCTTCTCTGCCCCCTCCATGCCTCTCTCTGCCCTCCATGCCCTCTCTGCCTCCTTCATACCTCACCCTGCCCTATCTGCCCCCTCCATACTTCCCCCTGCCCCTCCATACCTCCCCCTGCCCCCTCCATGCCCTCTCTGTCTCCTTCATACCTCCCCCTGCCCTCTCCTGCCAGAGCACAGTCAGGGACTCAGCAGGAGGGGGCTGGGTGCACAAGCCTAGTAATTATCAGTTGTTTATAGTGTGTGTTATGTTTGTGGCTGTGTGTGTGTAAACTTACTGTTGGAATACCAGCTGCTGTAGGCTTTAAATCCCAGGCACTGACTGGCTGAGGGTGGTAGTCATTCCTGGATGTGATGTCTTAAAGCTGCCAGAAAAGATTTAAATCTATTTATATATTCTCAGTGATCAGCAACGCTTAGCAACCCCTTTGGAACATGCTAAGTGCTAGGGTCTACGCACAAACACAACGATTTCACAATTAGATAGTAAGCTCATGGGCCATATTGCTAAGAAACTAGTTTATTCTTTCTGTAACTGTATATATTAAACTCATGAATTCTGCAAAAGTACTAGTCTTTGTACAGTACCCTCAAAGAGGCGCCATAAAGTAAACTGTATTAAACATACAAAAATATCCATGTAGTCTCCTTTCTCAGCTGAAATATATCATTTTATTATTTTTTTTAATAAAGAGGTAATATATACATTAATGGCCACACAATGTATAAGCAATGATCCACTATATATGATGCTTTATATTCTACATTTACATAATTACATTGGTTCTGAGCTGTGGATATCTCCTAAATCTGTTTTGGAATGCCGTCTTCAGAGTGTTCACAAAAATCTGAAAGCTTTCGAGAGTTAAAATACGAATAACAAAGATTATTCGAACCTAGCCAAGCTGTGACTGTAACTGGGTTGGATCATTTTGGACAGAATTTTGCCTTTCTTATTAAAATTCTATGCAATTCACAGTTTAGTAAATAACCCTGTTTTATATATTGTTTATTCAATAATACCCAGTTGTGAACTGTAAACTGAGTTACAACATTTAGGCTAATATAGCTAAGCTTTTGAGAATTTTTTTGGAGTTTGGTTTTTAATTCACTATAATTGCCAGTCTGCTGAATAGGTATTAACAAGCAAACAAAAAGAGATTTGGAGGTATTGCTTGCTTTTATAAATAGTCAACAAATTCTGCAGCTCTGTACAACTGGGGAAAAGACAGTCCAAAATGGGAAGAGAACCCTTCCCGTGAGCTGAGATCTTACTGTTAGTCAAAGGACTTACGGAGATAGCCTGGGAGCAATCTAAAGCAGCGTTTCCCAATTGGTGTTCCGAGAACACAAATGGGGTACCGGCAAAATTTCGGGAGACAAAATGCCGGCAGGCATGAGGGAGCACTCTCCCCTGCTAAGCTTCCTCGCATGCACAGCAGTGATGCCGGAATAGGACATCACTCCGGCTCCGGCATCACTAAGAGGCGCCCAAGGGAGCTGAGCAGGAAGATCACTGCTGCCTCGCCGCCCACACTATATGCCAGCCTCTCAGCCCAGCAGCCCAAATGGACCCCAGGGAAATAGAGACTCCATGCCAGCAGTCCCAAAGGTAGGGAGGCTAGGTAGATAGAAATTTTAAAAAAATTGTGTGTGTGTGTGTCTGTAAAGGAGTTTGTATGTGTGTTTGTCAGTGAGTGTGTGTATGTGTGTTTGTCAGTGAGAATGTATGTGTGCTTGTTAGTGAGAGTGTATATGTGTTTGTATGTGTGTCTGTCAAAGAGTATGTGTGTTTGTCAGTGAGAGTGTATGCGTGTCTGTCTGTCAAATAGTATGTGTTTGAGTGTGTGTGTGTGTGTATGTTAGTATGTGTGTATTGGTGTGTATGTGCCAGTGTATATCATTGTGTTTGTATGTATGTATGTATGTCAGTGTGTGTGTATCTGAGTTTGTGTCAGTGTGTGTATATGACACTGTGTGTATGTGTCAATGTTTGTATCTGTGGGTGCAAGTGTGTGTATATATCACTGCGTGTATCTGAGTGTGTGTATTTGTGAGTCAAGATGTGTGTTTCTGTCACTGTGTGCACCTGATTGTGTGTATCTGTGTGACATTATGTGCCAGTTTGTGTGTGTGTGTGTGTGTGTGTGTATCACACTGACACACAGATACACACACTGGCACATACAAACACAGATACACACACTTTGAGACATAGATACACACACCTTGACACACAGATACATACATACACAGACACACACTGTGTGTCGGATTTTGCATCAGGTTAGACAAGATGTTGATACACTATGTCAAAGGGTTCCACTGGAAAAATTATTTGGGAACTCCTGATCTAAAGGTATCTAATAAGGAGCTGAAACAGGAACAAGCAGGGAATTGATATCATTCCTTGGTGTCTTGTGTTACCATATTCTTTCCATTGGACACCACATCATAATGTCTATTCCATCGTGTCAATGTATTTTCTCATTGAGCAGTCCCCTGTGAGGTCCATGCCACATTCTTCTTTGAGCTAAAATTAGCAGTCGAGAGTAAAGCAGTTAGTCTCTTCAAATCTCCTGTGAAATACCAGAGTAAAATAAAATTCTAAAAATATATTCACAAAAGACAATTGAGAAAAAAATACCCACTCAGTTAAATGTTCATTCACTTAATGAGTAAATTGAGTGATTGTTGTGTGATAGGCCAGACTAGCACTTTGTTAGACATACTGGCGATCTGTTCAGTAAGTTATAAAGGTATTTGCTATTTAAAGGTACATAAATCACTGTGCTTTTTCCACTAGACATTCAGAAACTGTGTCCCATCAGGTACCCAGCCGCCATGACCCTGACACTGGGACGGGCACACCCTCAGCACCTTTTTATATCTCGCAGGTCTTTGGCTAATTGAAGGCAGATGTGAAGGATGTTCTATTGTAAAACATTTGAAAATGAACTACCAGCCCTTCGATATAAATGCAATATGAGTTTCAGTGTCAGCTGATTGTTCTCAGCCAATGAGTTACTGCACTGCCGGGCTTAGCTCAGACCAAGATCTTCTGGCTTTCTGTGGGATGCAGTGTAAATGGGGAGTGGTGCTCAGGGAACCCAGATAAGAGGTCAAAACTTTCTAAAATAGTTTGACAACTTACACTGGGGCCATGGCACTCCCGGCACCAAAACCACTACAGTGCACTGAGAGATTATGAGGCTTGGACTGTTTTTTTTAGCCACAGGATAATTAGGAATAATGTCTACGCGTTTCGTGGTCACATGTTCTCACTTTCTTCTCGGAAACTCACCTCTGGCAGCCAGGAGGTCATTTCTTCACCCAGTCTTTCGAGCACTCCTCATATTGCCCAATAACAGTCATTGATGCTGGTTGTCCATAAATAATGGCTACCATTGAGAATGTTCCCATGTAACTGTGGACTGATACATTGTTCAGTTTCCAGACTTAGCTGATGAAACCTGAAGATGGCGCTGTTGTCCAGGGACTCAATGTTCACCCTTGGTTGACCATGTAGAGTTTTGATTGGTCAGTTTGGACCCATTTCAATCTCCAGGGCAGTTTTGGCTTGCATTTTCTTTATTCCTTTGATCTCTAAAGAGTGAGGTCCCTTTGGGTGACTTGTTGTATACCCCATAGCAGGAAATGGCCCAAGATAATTGTTTAGGAAGATACACAAGAGTTTAGCCCATGTGCAAATATCTGCTTGTTTGTAATGTTTATATTGAGCAAACGGAATTAGATAAAGGGCTGATTTTTATTATAATTTACTGATATTATATGGCCCAGTGCAGTTATCCTGTCTGTTCTGTCACCCCATGAGAGTTAATAAATCCATCTAACCAGGATCCCCTGATCCTTGCTTTATCTTGTGAGATGGGGTTCTCATTTAGTAAATGTGGGTGTGTTCTTGATCCCTAAAACCCCTGCTACTAACTGTATCACCCTTAACAATTCTAATGAATAGGACCAGCCTCTTCTCCCTCTCACTTGACTGTTTGGAATATGGGATTTTAATTTTTTAATAGTCATTTTTATTTTGTTGGCATCATTTGTGATGATCATTTGTTGAGGCCACGATGTGACTTTAACATAGGTGGAGAATTTCTCGAAATCAGTTATTTTAGCCTAAATATTGCAGTTTGGTTTTCAATTTAATGAATAGTGCCCATAATGTACACGTTGTTCTGTATAGATCTGGTTCATGTCTAGAGGTCCAAACAATGTGCAGATTCAGACATTTCAGACATGGAACTCTGTTGGGCAATCTGGTGATTAAACTATTTGGCATTAAGTGTGTCTGTAAACACTCATTCCATGAGCAGTGTACACACAGAGAACACATGGCTCTGTTTAGTACATATCAAGGCTAATCCCTGAATAAACCTGGGGCCAAGAGCTGACAGGCACAGACCTCTGAGATAACTCAAGTGGTCTAGGCACCTATCAGCGACTTTCCCCCAAATGAGAGAATGTACACAAGATGAGCCTTTTGTTTGTTTGTTTGATTGAAGTGAATTGTTACCTTAATCCAATATGAAGTATATTTTATATATTTATATAATCTGAATCCAATAATAAAATGCTTCCTCTTTAAAAATGACAGTGATGACCCTTCCAGTTTTAGAGGAGTTTGACTTCTTACCTGCTCCCCATCTCCACTACATCAGCCAGAGAGCTGGAAACTCTGTCTCTGAGCAAAGCCGGGAATTCTAAAATGGTTTGAGTCCTTACAATGGAATGGGGTGGGGAATAGAGCTCTCCTAGCACCATAACCACTTTAGAGCTACAGCCATGAGCATGTTTAAACATGCACTTGCAGCACACTATATGGGGACTTATTCCACTTTACACAACAGGACACCAGACAAAACTCAGGACTGTACCTCTGGATCTGGGACAGTTGGGAGGTGTGTAAAATGTAGTGCTTTCATTTCTGGCGTCAGTGAAAAAATCTCTAATTCAATTATTAATACCATATTTTTTTACCTAGGAAAAATCAACGGTTTTTATTTTTATGTTATGACATTAGAATAAAATATTATGTGTACAGAACCCCCAGTAATTTTAGTATTTTCTATGAACACAAATTCTGTTAATAGAACCATAATGATATTCAGTCCCTCATTAATAAATACAGCAGTCCAGCACTAACACTTTGCTTTGATTTTGTGCAAACTGCAGGGAGCCAGGTCTTTGGCCTCTGATCAGATACTTCCAGTAAATCGACTTTTGGGCCATGAGCCAATATTTACTGATGGGAAAAGCATGAGGAAAACGAGGTATGAGGGTAAGGGGTGGACTTTATGGTCAAATGTAAAATAATGAAACTAAGTAGAAACGAAACTAAAAATGTCTGGTAAAACAGACCACAAAAGGATAATTATTTCCTTCATTTATTTACTTTTTACATTTTTGGTTTTGTTATTTGTTTTGTGAAAGACATAATAATAGAAATATAGAATAATTAGATAGATTTCCGCCTCTTGCCAATCTATAATTAGATAGATTGATTGGCATATCAACCATATTTATATTCTATGATATAAAGCGAAACTGCTTCAAAAAAAATACTACTGCATGAGGTTTGAATGTTGCATTATTTAAATGATACATTAACTATAATAAAAGTACAACACAATCTCTTCATTCACTTGTTTATTTTGATTAACACTTTAACATTTGGAGAATGGCTGTGAACCTTTATTATGGATTTCACAATTCCAATTTTAAATATAAATATCCTTTAATAATAATAAACCATAACTTTTAACCAAACCAAAATCAACCATTAACCTTCCAAGGCCCCGCCTCTTCAGCCAGGAGCCATAAATATATTTTTAACCAATTAAACCAAATCCACCCTCCTTTGATGCCCAGGAGGGTGACTTATATCCCATAACACGGTCACGACATAATAACTTTCATAAAAAGGATGGGTGGGCGGGTGGGAGCTGCAGATTAATACTCTTTATAAGGAGCCAACATTGGTAAATTGTCTGGCACAGACTGAGGTACAATTTTTGGTGCCATTTAATTTATGCTGGGCGCCTCACACTGCAAACCGCCAATCATGGCGTCAGCCCTCAGCACAAGCTACCTGCCGAGCCAGCAGCGCTCTACCCTGAGCTTACCCCTTCGTGCGTGCTGCTCCCAACACACTTACAAACCCAATACTTACCCTTCTGAGCCTAGCCCCATCAAACCCCACGAAGCTGCTCCCATTTCATTGTTTAGATGATGCAATAAAAATAATGCAGAACAAAATACAAAAAAACATGAACGATATTCACCTAAAACTTTTTTAAAGCTGCACAGCAGTGACTGACTATATACATACAGGTATATACTACATATATACTACAGGTAGATATACTACAGGTAGATTCGTCACAGACCCGGAAGAGATTGCACCAATCATGAGCATCTCATTGTGATCCATTGGGGCTTTTCTTATCCCATAAACTGCAGCAGGATTTTATGGAATAAGATATTTATCCCACAGTAGCAGGTTCACTCATCACATAGAATGAATGGGATTGCACCATTCCACACTTGATATCAGTTTGCACATAGTACACTTAACAGTTGTGTGCACCAGGCTGTGTGCAGTGATCTGTTGAACCACCAAGTTTGCATGTGCGCCATGCAGCTCTCTCCTTAGAGTGACCCTTTAATGTTTATCACTTGTCTGGTAGGGTTAATCCACTCTCATTAAAGTTATTATACCTAAGCCTTTTGCCTGGTTTTAGATTGTCATCCCTTCTTTAGCTCTTAATCCTTTTTCAAAATATACTGGGAAAATTGGGATTATACTGCTGAATCCAGGACATTTGTCAGGTATGTTCATTTACCTCTTAATTTCATAACTCCCAAGTGTCCCTGTTTAGGAGGGACAGTCCCTATTATGGGCTCAGATCCCTCTCTCCCTATTTTCCATCCTAATGTGTGGGTCTGAGTGTATCACAGAGCTCCACAGCAATGATACTCACAGTAATTAGTTTAGAAAACAGTCTCTGTTAATAAGATACATTGTTCTTGTTCTAAATTACAATTTAGTTGCATAAATTATTTTACCTAAAATTTCTCGGAACACCCCTACACTTTTTCTGCAGAGCTGGCTCTAGAATTACATTACAAATAGATGTTTTCCTGAGCAGTGGTGAAATTTCAACAAATTCTTATCTGAGTAATCTTGTGTTTTATTTTCCCTTGGTAACTAATCCTCACCCCTTGCCCTCCCCTTGCTGTGTGTACCCTGCTCCCTGCTCTGCCTGCCAGTACACATCGTACCAGGAACACAGCACTACTTTCACGATTGCCGCTGGATGATAAGGGGCAGAAAATGGGCGAGCTGTCTGTATCGAGAGATGGGTGTCTGTTACTGGGCATCATTCTGCTGGCAGGAATAGCAGGTATGTAATTTATATATGTGTATATATATATATATATATATATATATATCTGTTTGTGTGTGTATAATTTTATAATATGCATAGATGTGTGTGTCGAGGAAGCTGCTATTGGCCTCTCTCTGTGTGACTTAGTGACATTTCTAGTGAACAGATTCTGCAAATAGCAGTGTCTCTGAAATCTTCCGCCGTTTAACCCTTGTTGGTTAAATAAAATGTCCCATTTAGGCCTCGATTTAATATTTTTGGATACCTTTTTAAAATGCTTTTCTATTTTTGGATCATTAAAATAGCAATATATCAGTATATCAAGAAATATCAAAATCTAAACATTAAATGTTTATTCTAAATATATTAAAGAATTTTAAACGTTTACAGAGTGGAACGATAAGCTAATATAATAATGATAATGATAAGGTACACTGAAGGTATATGAGTGCCAATTCTTTTTAGATTAAATAGTTGCATAGTCTGAAAAGAGACACAGGTACATCAAGTTCAGCCTTCCTCACATTTGTTTTTTGCTGTTGATCCAATCCAATAGAAGGCAAAAAACAAAACAAAAAACAGTTTGAAGCACTGAAAAAAATTCCCTCTTGACCCCAGAATGGCAGTCCGATTTATCCTTGGATCAAGCAGTTATTACCCTACATTGAAAAACGATATAATTGAATATTCTGTTTTTGCAAGTATGCATCTAGTAGCTGTTTGAACATCTGATAACTCTGATAAAACCACTTCTTCAGGCAGAGAATTCCACATCCTTATTGTTCTTACGGTAATAAAACTATTCCTTTGCCTTAGACAAAATCTTCTTTCTTCCAGTCTAAACGCATGACCTTGTGTCCTATGTAAACTCCGGTTTGTGAATACATTTCCACACAATGGTTTGTATTGTAATTATTATTCACTCAGTGCATGTGTGTGACTGCAGGGTCCCTCCATACTACAGGAATACTTACCAGTTGTCCCTTTTCATAAGAGATAGTCCCTATTTTCTTGAAAGAGGGCCTCGGTTTAACTTATTTGAATCAGAAATGATTCCATTCTGATTACAAATTTTTTTTTAAATGATTCATCTAGAAAAATTCCAATGTACTTTAATGGTGATATTTGAACCAAAATAGTTTGGAACATTTTTATTACAGATTGTGATAATTTAAAAAGCTAAAAATATTAAATCAAAACCATAGTGCCAGGCCCGAATATGCTCACTCAGTTACTCACCCATATGTCTAGTCTATTAAACATGCCTCATGGTATAATGTTGTTTATCTAATTGTATGTTATTTTAAAAACTAGGCTGATACACTCAGGAGATTATTGTGAAGAATTGTATTCTCGTTACATGTCTGCTATAACTCCTTTTACTTTTTTCTGTATCGAATTATTCTTTGCCTCAATAAAAGAAAGATGGATAAAAATAAATAAATAACTAGAGGCCATAATTGTCAATATTTGCCTCCTTCAAATCAGAAAGTGGGGACATAGGCAGGTCAAAATAGTATGAGTCTATCCTCATAATAACTGCCAGTGTCATACCTCCCAAGTGCTCCTATTTAGGAAGGACAGTCTCTATATTAGGCCCATATCCCTCTGTCTCTCTTTCCTATCCTAATATCCTACTTTTCTAGGAGCTCCATATTGTTGGTGTGTCTGAGTGTATAACAAAGCTCCACAACAATAATACTCCCAGTAATTTGTCTTTAAAGCAGCACTGTCACCGTCTGGTGGCATCACCGCTGGTGGTCCAGATACCGAGGTGGGCAGGTAAGGGTGAAATTACTAACTTCCTCTGCTTGGCTGCAACACTGACTTTCTCTTCTTGATGCAATCAAACTCTTCTCATAGAGTACAATTTGATTGGACCGTTAGCTCAGTTCAGTGCACATGTACGCAGTAACGTAACGGGAGGAAGTGGTGGTGGAGAGAGGGAGAGAGGTGGAATCAAAGCCTGAATAAAAAACCTGTTAAGAGTATATGACAGCGTGGGACCGTGAAATATTCCTCTTGCAGGCTCTGCATGAGAGAAGCGAATTACGTCTGTTGCCAGCGTGCAATGTGTGCTGATGACGAATGTATTTTTGACAATTGAATTGACATCTGACAGTCCAGAACAGAGTTCTGGGTTGCTAAGGTCACATGTAACTGGGATGCAACTCGCTCCCAGCACACAAGTGCAAATATCTCTGAATGTGCAACGTTTCAAGCAGAAACTAAAGGCAGAAGCTGTCATGGTGGTTGGAGTAACCCTTTACATTTGAAATTCACTTTGATGTCTCACTTTAGTGAATAGATTTTAAATAAAACCCATTAAACTCCATTACTAATAATTGAAAGATTTAGATTTCCTTTCATTTTTTGGAATCCATTCCTTTTCATACCCACGCTACTCTTGTACCTTTCCCCACTCTAGAGAGAGCTTCTTCGGTGGATTGTCCCCCAAACACCGGCTTCACAGGGGATCTGACCTCCCTATCTAATGGATTGAAAGAGGGCAGCAAAGCCCAGTTCCTGTGCCCAACTGGGAAATATCCGTGGCCCGTCAGCAGCCGAGTCTGCCTTCCAAGTGGCCAATGGAGTTTGATCAAGTCTAACACTGGCCGGAAGTATAACACTGTCTCCTGCAAAGGTGAGTGGAGGTTTCAGAGCCATCGAGTGAATGGCTAAAACCATCTCTAGGACAGTGGGAAGAACAACTGGGCTCTGCAGGGTAGTGGAGGAGGGAATGCCGGGCTCTGCCAGGGCAGGGGAGGAGGGAATGCCAGGCTCTGCCAGGGCCGGGGAGGAGGGAATGCCTGGCTCTTCTGGGGTCGGTGAGGAGGGAATACCGGGCTCTGCCAGGGACGGTGAGGCGGGAATGCTGGACTCTGCCAGGGCAGGAGAGGAGGGAATGCCAGGCTCTGCCAGGGCAAAGGAGGAGGGAATGCCAGGCTCTGCCAGGACAGGGGAGGAGGAAATGCCGGGCTCTGCCAGGACAGAGGAGGAGGGAATGCTGGGCTCTGCCAGGACAGGGGAGGAGGGAATGCCAGGCTCTGCCAGGACAGAGGAGGAGGGAATGCTGGGCTCTGACAGGACAGGGGAGGAGGGAATGCTGGGCTCTGCCAGGCCAATGGGGATATACTAAGCTCTGCCAGAGCAAGGGGAGATACTACACTCTGCATGGCAGGGGTGAGAAATATTGGGCGCTGCCAGGGCAAGGGGGGGAGGTGGAGAGGGGGCTGGGCTCTGCAGGACTAGGGAGGAGGGAATATTGAGCGCGGCCAGGGCAGGGGAGGAGGGAATATTGGGCTCACTATTTAGTTCCACAGAATGGAAACTAAACTGCTTCAGAATCATATAATGGAGAATGGGCTTTGCCAGGGCCAGAGGAAGGGGCTGAGCTGTGCCAGGGCCAGAGAATGCAGACTGTGTTCTGTCAGGCCTTGCATATTTGGGCATGTGTGGGCTGGTGGAAGAATTGAAAGTACTTGGTGGCACCAACATTCAGCCAATCACATGTACTCGCTGCTTATTATAACTAGCTAGTCCTTGCTGTCAGTATGCCCCAGCTACGTCCATGTCTCAGGAATGGTGGGTGAGTAGTAAGAGCCAGATCTAACTAGCAGTGACATGTAGTATCTCATTAGACTGAGTGATGTTTATCTGTGCCTGTCCATTTCTTGCAGATATGAGATGTCCTGAGCCATTATCATTTGAAAATGGAGAGTATTACCCCAGGGGACCTTTCCTGGTTGGGGCAAATATCACCTTTCAATGCAATGATGGCTACCACTTGCGAGGTTCGATGGAGAGAATGTGCAGGAGAAACGCCAAATGGAGTGGAGAAACGGCGGTGTGTGTTGATGGAGGTGAGAGGGGGTGACAGGGGCACTAAAATCACAGACACAGAATAGAACCGATGGTTTATTAGGACAGATATGTTAACTTTTGCATTAGCAGTGAGCTGAATTGATGCTGAAGCACTGCCATGCCTCCTGGTTTTGTTCAAAAGGTTTCACCAAAACCGTGGGGGTGGTGCATACACGCAACTAGCACCATGACCACTAAAGGAGCATGTAGTGGCTATGGTGCTTACACTGTCCCTTTAAATATTTAACAATTGACCTGGAACTCCAGTTCAGCCCTGTATACATTGACATGGGCACACATTGCATTGGAAGAGGAGAAATAAAAATAATGGGATACATTTAATAAAGTACTGTGACCTAAAAAGTCTTGCAAAATTGGAAAAGTGGAGTGATCGCCAATGGAATGTGCCGGCTTGTTTTGGTCAGTTTCATATAGATTGTTTCACTTCCATAACCTTTCACCACTTTTCACATTATGGTTCTATGATAAATCTGCCCTGTGATCTCTGTGCACTGGCTGACAGGTGCAGAAGGCAGAGTTTATACCGTAGCAATTATTGTGAGGGAGCTCCAGAATAGCGTTAACTACGGTGCTGTGGATTTCTTTTTTATTTAATACTTAATTTTATCTTTCACACATCAGAAAAAACATGTGTAAAATTCTTCGGGCGCAAATAGACATATTAGAAAGTTTCTCACATGGTGAAGTATTTTACAAATGATTTTTGTTTGTGCCTAAATGATCTTGGAGACAATTCTTCTTGGCCCTGTAATTCATACCAGGAAAGACAAATCAATCCGTGAAGATCACGTGCAACCTAATTATTGGATATTGTTTGACAGATGGTCACTGCCCGGATCCTGGGGTCCCTCCTGGAGCTGTGAAGACTGGTACGCGATATGAAGTTGATGAAAGAGTTTCATATGAGTGTTCCCGTGGACTGACTTTAGTGGGATCCAAGCAAAGAACGTGTCTGGAGAACACAGCGTGGAGCGGCACTGAGGTCAGCTGTCAGTGTAAGTTCTGGGCCCAAGAGCTTAAACACTTATACGCACTAAGAAAAACTCTTCTTTATTTCACCTTTGGCATCTCTCTTTTCTTTTCACCTTTTCTAAGTGCATCTTGGTATATTTACCCTTCCTGCCTACTCAAATCCAACTCTACTCACCCACTCTCATTCCATGTTTTCTGCCGTAAGCCTCACCAGTTCCTGCTCGTCTTTGCTAACCTGCACTAATTACAGCTAATTTAAACTCACCATCTTTGATTCAGTCATCTTCACCAATTCCAACTTATCTCTACTCACTTTCACCAGTTTTAACTTATCCAACTCACTGTCACTGATTCCAACCCTTCTCCACTCACACTAAATGATTATGACTCCCCCGCACTCATCCTCACTCATATTGACTTGTCTCCACTAATGATGGTTCTCCACTCACTAACTCTGACTTGTCTCCACTCACCCTCACTAACTCTAATCCTAGAGCACTCACACTCACCCTCACTTTTATTTATTTATTTATTGTCCACCAGATCCCTATGCTTTTGATCTCCCCGAGGATGTGAGTGAGCATTTCATGGGGACAATCTCTGGAGTTCTTAAAACTCAGCAACAAGGTATGGCATGGCGATCTGTCTCAAACACAGATATCTGGAAACTACATGCAGCTATCATCATAAAAACAGCTCACTATAAAGCTATCCATCACTGACACAGATATAGATAGAAACAAACACTATTTCACAAACCGATGCTAAATAGTGGGGAGTGTGTAGCCCTAAATAGATGGACACTTACCCCTAAGGACTAAGGGTTATGGATGGTGAAAAATCCCAAAAGGGGACAGATAGTAAGGTTGTGAACAAGTGGTGAGGATAATTCTTTATTGGAATCACTCACATGGTTTAGAGCCTCTTAAGAACTGGCTCTGTTGTGTACTTAACGTGACACACACCCTATGCGTCCATATTAGGCGATAACCTCAATAGTGGAGATAAAATTGGGAGAGAACAGGGAAGCAAAGCTAACGCTGGTGTAGAAATCCTCAGTATAATAAAGCAATATAAAAATATAGATTGCTTCTCAACTTATATAGAGCCTCGGACTTGGCTCTAAACATGTAGGTGAATGTGTCAAATTAGGGTGTAACTACCCTTCTTTCCAGCAGCATTGATGATCCACCACACTTAATATTAAGTATAATTTACATTTATTGTAGTCAAAATAAAAACAATATAAATATATACAGGATAGTACCGGTGGTGTAGAGTCCAAGACGCGTTTCGCCTATTCAATTCAGTTTTCTCGATTGGTGGTGTTGATGCTGCTGGTTCCAAAAAATTGCATAATACAAAGTCGTCATTAAGTCCATAAGGTTGCATAGTATTAAGGTTAAAGATTCATTGCATCTCTGTTTGTCCTATATGTTTAATTGGGTCCCCTCCTCTCCAATTCATGGTGATTTTTTTGAATTCCCATAAATTCCATTAGGTGGGGATCATTATTGTGTTTATCCCTAAATTGCAGTGGGACGCTGTGTTTTTCCAAACCTTTTTTAATGTTTCTTGTGTGTTCCTAAATCCTCGTGGTTAGTGTCAGAGTGGTTTTCCCTATATCCGCAGGGGCGGGTGATCATATATATAACTTTTTGTAGAGTGACATGTGATCATTGGTTTAATTCTGAATTAAACAAATGATCACATTTCACTCTACAAAAGTAAATATGTTATCAATGACGACTTCATATACATTGTTAAAATATACAAATAAGATCTTTCAATAGGATGTATACATAGTATAAAAACTGATTAGAAAGATTAAAAAATAAAGTGAAGTACAAATACAAATAAACGTAAAATTATTATTCTTTTATAAAAAAATGGCATAATTCAATGCAATGGATATTTAACCTTAATACTATGCAACCTTATGGACTTAATGACAACTCTGAATTATGTCATTTTTTACAAGAGAATAATAATAATTTTACGTTTATTTTTATTTGTACTTCACTTTAATGTTTAATCTTTATAATCAGTTTTTATATTATGTATACATCCTATAGAAATATCTTATATTTATATTTTAACAATGTATATGAAGTCGTCATTGATAACATATTAAAACCACTCTTTGGATGCATAAGTATGATATATATAATCAAAAAGCAGGGTATAAGCGTTCACTAAAATAACTAAATACAAGGCAGCAGTCAACCAGCAGGACTTCCCTATACCTGCTAATAGTGACCAAAAGTGCAACAAAAACAAAGTGGTAAACTGCACCACAAAGATGCATAAAGTGAATATAATGTAGTTATAGTATATACATACATACAAGTAGTCCAATATTATGGCGATGTATATAGCCCTCAAAGGAGATGACAATAATAAAACAGATAATAGTACAATATTTCACATAAATATTAAAACACCTATTCTCCCAGCCTGCATGCCCCTGTTCTACCATTTATAATTCTCATCCACAGGCGGTGCGGGCCGAACTATAAAAATAAAGAAAAATGGCATCTTGAATGTTTATATTGTTCTGGATGCATCACGAAGTGTGGGAGAAGATAACTTTGCTATCTACAAAGATTGTGCCAAACAGATTGTGGATGGGGTATGTAACATATTGCGAATTTCAGTGTTTGAAAAAGTGCGTCTTATTTCGCCAAACCTCATCAACAATTTTCAACCATGTGACGATACGCTGCAGCGCAGTATGAAATATCACAAAGAGAAAGCTTGCTGAGAGAGTGAAAGAAAAAGGGAGAAAGGGAAGGGGTTAGGAAAGAGAGGAAAAAACAAGACAGATGTGCCATTTTTGTCTAAATTCTGCTCTTTGGCTTTTACCTCATTAAAATTCAGTGTTTAGTGAATTAATCCCGTAATGTTACCTCATCTTACATACATACAGTAAAATTAGATTTGTGAGGAACTGATAAAGGAACTACAAATATGTATTGATTCAAATATTTTCGAGTGAGTACCTTATTGTGAAGCAGATGTGGTGTTTTCAATATACCGGTAATAGTTGGAAACCCCTTTGCCCCGTAGACTGAAAGATGGCCATCAATCTTCAAAGTAACTACAATTAAAAGAAATGTCAACTCACAAATTCACCGCTGCTCGTTCGTTTACAATATAACATTACTTCATTTATTGTTGATTTCAGATCATAATAAGCCCCACCACAACAATCCATGCGTATCGTGCCAAAAGGCACTTTTTCAAGACCCATAGCAAGTCATTTTGTATTTTGAACGAGCAGTGGTGGATTCGTAATCTGGTTGCCATTTCTCTTAATTGTAACTACAAATATGAGGCCAAAGCAGCGGAACAGAAAATATAGTCAAAGGTCTTAACCTTGCAATTGCTTTGTTAATGCTCCACAGTGGAAGTCTTATCAATGTTCTCTGTTCTCCAGCTTGGCCGCTTTGATATGACAGTAGAATTTGGAGTGATCTCCTATGCAACAGAAGTCAATGTAGTGGTCAGAATTCACGACGAGGATGCAGACTACAGTGATACGGTGTCTGATACAATTGAGAACAATCTACAATACGCTGGTGAGAGACACAGCACCCCCTGATATCAAATTCATTGACTCCGATACTTCAAAAAATAAAAAGCCTATAAAAATGAACAGACATATAAAGAACTCCAAATTAAACTATATATATTAAAGTGCGAATTACTAAGATTTCAAAGTGAATTTAAAAAACACTGGCAAAGTTATTTACTAATATAATAATTCATAGGGAATCATTTAAATACAAACCTGTATTTCTAACGCTATGATGTCCCTGTACCTAACTTTATAGGTCTGTCCCCACAGCTCGGTTAAAAGGGTTAAAAACCCTTTTTTTTCTTACCTCCTTCTAGCGCCGAGGCTCCCGCCGTGCTAGTTAGGTCTCATCCTCCTGCAATGGCACAGCGATGGTGGGGCCGAATGCACATTTAGGCTTTCCTATGGGAAATTTGAAGTCGTTAGACATTCTCATGCAAAGCATGTGGACGTCCAATGTCATTTCATGGAGTAAAACTCTGTTAGGGACCAGGAAGAGGTGGAGTAAAGCCTTCAATGTAATCATTACAGTTTCTCTAAAACAGCCATAATTTACATTGCAGGGTTAAGGTGACATGGGGCACTGCACCCAGACCACTTCAATGAGATGAAGTGGTCTGGGTGTCAATAGTGTCCCTTTGAGGTCAGAGCAGCCAAACTTTAAACACAGTGGACTTAAAGAATTGTTCTAGTTTGTCAGTTTTAAACCTTAAACTTGAAATTTATTTTGAATTCCCATTAGTTAAATACCCCGTTAGTTAAAATTGAAACTTGTTAAAGGAGTTTCCACCAGGAACTAAACCTATTGTCATGGTGGTGTCATTTAAAGGGACTCACAATGTAGCGATGACTTAGCTTGTAGAAGGGATGTCTTCACCTAACCAATAGTCCCCACAGATCGATCCCTTGGTTATGTAGTGCTCCTAGGCATTTCATACATTGTGACAGTGCAGCAGACGTCGGGCCAGAATACAGCACGTCCTGTTTAGTTCATGAATGGATAACTGGAAATGGTCGGGATTGGTTGCTCTGGTAAGTGAACGGTTAGGGGCAATAATCAGGACAGTCATTCTATGAATGTTTAACAGACCACAGACAGGACAGGTGGCTCTGAGCACTAAATAGTTAACTGGTAATAGTAAACAGGAATAACATTCATAGGAAATCAGTCAAGTGTAGTGTTAACGATTGTATATGAGTCGAGTCCAGTGACAAAGACTGAATGTTAGATCAATGTGACCAATAAAGACCTTATCGTATAGTCAGCGGCTCCTGGGATTTAACCTGATGTATATTTTTGTATGTTCTAGATCACGCAGACAAATCAGGAACAAATACTAAAGCTGCGTTGCAAGAAGTGTACAATATGATGTCATTTCAAAAGGACAGATATAAAACGAAAGACTGGGAATCTATACAACATGTTATCATTCTAATGACAGATGGTATGGACTAATATTGTGTTTTATTGAAAATAATAAATATATTTTTTAAATGAGGGGTATTGATTTTTTTGTGAAAATGTCACTGTTTTATTTTATACTCCCCCACAATAATCACAGCAGCCGACAAGTTAGGTTGAGCAGGAGTTAGAAATCAGTAGAGTCTTACCTAACATGGATACTCAGTCAAATAACAAAGTTACATTTAAAAAGAACCAAAAAACAATATGCATCATTTAAAAATATATATGATCACGCTTCATTAATGTAATAAACATTTAAAAAAAGGTGAAGGTTAAGTTGTTCTTTAAAAGGGACACCATAGGCAACAAAACAACTTAACTTAACAAAGCAGTTTTGATGTATAGATCATGCTCCTGCAATCTCACTGCTCAATTCTCTGTCATTTATGGGTTGAATCACTTTGTTTATACAGCCCTAGGCACACCTCCCTGCATGTGACTTGCACTGTCTTCCTAAACACTTCCTGTAAAGAGTCGTCTAATGTTTACACTTCGTTTATCGCAAATTCTGTTTAAGTTAGAACTTCTTACCTCCTGCTCTTCTAACAACTTGCTACAAGTTGCAGGAGACTACTGTGTGTGATTAAAGTTTAAATTACAGAGCAGGACATAAAAAAAAAAAAAAACTTCCAAAACAAGTTAGCATCTGATTGAAAATAAAACAATTTTTAATGCAGGTTGTGTGAGTCACAGGCAGGGGAGGTGAGGCTAGGGCTACATAAACTGAAACAAAAGTGATTTAATAGAGCATGATCTATTCACCAAAACAGCTTTATTAAGCTAAAGTTGTTTTGATGCCTATGGTGTCCCTTTAAGCTTGTGAAAATAGTGTGTGGAGGAACCGTTGAGTGGAAAGCGAGAGAGTTAGAGAGTTTAGATTTAGCAGAAAGGATATCATTAGAAACTTAAGTAAGATCTGTTTTGGTAGATTGAAGAGAGCCAAATGAAGACTAAAAGTGATTTTTATGGATGCATGCAAGACACTCTATAAGCCTAGAAGTGAAGGGGAGCAGTTATATGGGACTGTAGTTAGAAAGAGTCACAGGGTGAAGAGATTACTTTTTCTTTATTATAAGAAAAGATTGATGAATGCATATTTGATGGGAGTGGAGAAGACACCAGAATACACAGAGATATTCACGATATGATGCCCAGTTTTTTTCTGGTCTGTACTATAGCCTAATCTTCCATTTGGCAAAATCACTATTAGATTGTGTTTTAGATAAAAACAGTATATGGATAAACAGATATTTATTCACTGTTTCTTGCCACTGCAGGTAAAGCAAACATGGGTGGACACCCTAAGGATGTTGTGAGAAAAATCAGGGATTTCTTGAACATCACACCAGAGAGAGAAGATTTTCTAGGTTCGAACTTTCACATCTCCCAGACCAAACTCGGCCCATTTTTTCCTGTCACAGTTCCTGCCGAGAGTCTTTCTCCATGAACTACTTTTCTATACTTTTTCTCATCGCTATATCTCTTGTCTGTGTACTTCATTTACCTAGCGTACTTTCTCACAACACTTTTTGCATGTTTTCCCCGCTAGACGTGTATGCCTTTGGTATTGGTGTTAACGACGTTGACCAGGTGGAACTGAATGACGTAGCTTCTAGAAAGGATAATGAAAGACATATGTTTATCCTGGAGAATGCAGAAGATATGAAGACCGTATTTGCAAAGATACTGGGTAAATCCATGCATGCATTCATAATTTCTCACTCCTTATATTTAACCTTTTACCTTGCTTTCCCTCTGTTTATACTTTTTTTGTCACCCACTTTTTCCCCCTCAAATTTCTAATTTCTACAATACAAGTTTATAAACAGTTTTACAAATTTCCCTGGAATCAGGCCAGGAGAAGAACCACTGCCTCACCTTGAAGTGGTTATGGTGCTTAGAATGCTCCCTTAAAGGGACACCGTAGGCACTGTATCTGCTTCATCTCATTAATCTGGTTATAGTGTCTGGAGTCCCCGGTACCATCATTTCTTTTAGCATTAAACATTTTCTAATGTTCTAATGCTAAACAAGAGCCCCAAGCAGTCCATCCCCTCTGTGCTGCTTTGGCTAATACGGAAGTATTAGCCTGTGCAGCATTGGGCAACTGTGATTGGCTGAGAGTGTCATCTGACTGCTTTTAGCCTGTCAAAGCTCCAACTGACGGTATGAATGGGTATGACAACAAGGAAGTGTGTAATCTCTGCCTTAGCTACACATACAGAAGGGGCCGGACTGTGGGTGGCCAGGGACTCTTATTTTGTGGCATACTGCACGAACATGGTAAAACACTGAATGGAGGGACAGTGCCAGGGCACTCCAGGCACTATAGCCAATTCAAAGAGATGAAATGGTTATAGTGACTACAGTGTTTCTTTTAAGAATGAACTAGATTCTGCTTTCAGATGCGATTCTTTGAAGTAATTCCTAACGATAGAAATGGGACAGTGATATTTATCTAGTTTACATTCTTTCAATTCCCTTGCTTTTTTATAGGTTAATCTTTCTTTTTTTTTTCATTTCAAGGTTAACTTTTATATATACCATATGCTGGATATTTTCATAGTCCACATTTTCAAGAGATCAACAAATATGAATGCTGAACACTTTTGTATTTTTATTTTGAAAAGCTTTTACAATCTTAGCCGACACAAGCTGTTTTAAAATATTGGATCGAATGTTTGTGTTGATGGTTTCATCTACTGTATCCTGCACAATGTGCTCATTTGACATATTTGTGTCGCCAGTAATGCCATTGTGTTGCTGCATGTTGAAATGTTATTTTATATGTTACACCATTTTGCTGTTGTGCTTATTATATACAGTAACTGTATAATGATCATACCCAAGTCACTTGTGTTGAATCTCTCCAGATCTGAAGACAGTGGGTGACATGTGCGGAATTAACGAGGAACATGGGGAGACAAGTAGAGAAAATTGGAATTATCTTCATCCATGGACAGCCATAATACAGGTAAGTGTTGAACTGAATCAATTTAACCAATTTCAGGCAAACCATCTTTAAAAACTATAGTTTGGGCATTTCATTCAAGGTACTGAAGGTGTTGTATGGAAGGGTTGGAGAAGACACTTAGACTGGAGATCCACTTTCAAAGCTCGAACTATGGTCTCAATTTAAGATTGCTGGATAAGCTTTTCAAATGATTTAAAATTATTCAAAAATATTTTAATTCCATAATATTTTGTTATTTTTTTTAAATATATTTATTTTATATATTTTTCCATAATATATTATTTTGAAAAAGATCATTTTAAAAGTTTATCCAAAAATACTGAATTATTTGAAAAGCTTATCCAATACTATTAAGTTGAGGCCTATGTATGTTTTTCTTCTTTCTTTCTTTCAGACGCAAGCTTTAGAACCTTGTTTGGGCTCTTTGATATCAAAGTCCTGGGTCCTCACAGCAGCCCATTGTTTCAAAGCAATTCCAACACAAGTTGAAATTGGTAAGAAATCACAATGATGATGACGATGATGACATGGTAACTTTATTTTAGACTATATGAAGAGCCAAATGTAATTGCAGGGACTTCATCTGAGCTTGGTATGGTTCCCACCAAGAGACACAAGCTTAATGCCCCATTCAGAAATTGTCCCATCCATAATAATCTAATACTCTGCAGTATTTCCTCTCTCCATTTTGGTAATTTGGGCCAATTCACTACAATTCATGGTTTAACATCTAAAACGGAATGGGGTTATTGTCCTCATTGAATTGTAATGAATCGACATGTAAATTGCACAAAAAAATAAAATAATAAAAAATGACAAAAAAGCTAAAATAGTCGAGATGGATAATATCTTGACTTTTTAGAATCCACTGTTTATGCAAACTGGCTATTTTGGCCTGAGCTAAGCCATTTCATAAATGTATTATTTATTGTATAAAGTCACATGACTGAAAGGTTACACAGGTTAGATTTAGAGGTAAGCTGAGATTGTATATTTCCTAATTACCATATGGATTACAGTTATAGTGTATATGTGCAGCTGTGTATCACGTGCTGTCTGTTTCCATGAAATCCAATAACTGAAAGCATTCCATATCTGTGATTTAATAACCTAGAATATTATGTACACGGAATGTCCACATCTCGCGTGTTTGCAGCTTGACAACCATCTCTGATCCCATTATAATTCTCCTAGGACCCTTGAAGTTTGCTGTAAAGGACTATAAGACACACAAGTGTTACAACCAAAGCAGGAAAGCATCCATTGGGCTAAAGGAAGACTATGATTATGACTTGGGTCTTATACAACTGGATAGCGCTGTGACGTTTTCACAAAATGTCAGGTAACATACACCATCGGATGCTGGGACTCTGTCAGAAAAATTGGTAGAAGGGACCATTTCTCACCCCGCTAAGATGAGATGAGCAGTTCTAAACAGAAAGGGCTTAATATAAAAGAACACATATGCAGTATATTGCATGATGGACTCTGCACCTTATTAAAAGATTTGCTTGCATACGTTAACTTTATCTACATTTTTATGTGACAGGACAATCTGTACCCCTTGTACGGAGCCAGCCAACAGAGCAATGAAAAAGACTGCTGCTTCAACCTGCAAAGAACATAGTAATTATCAGTGTGCTAGTCTACTGTGTCATCCTGTGTCATTCATCCCTCTGTTTCGGTTACCTATCATATTATATTTTTCATCAACCCTACGGTACTCATAATTTTTTCAACACTATTTACCAGCCACTGTATTGTGCCTAACATCCTAGCGCCAACTGTATTCATCATCCACCCCAACCAACTGTATCTATCATCCCCCCCCCAACCAACTGTATCTATCATCCACCCAATCTGCTGTATCTGCCATCCACACAACCTACTGTATCTATTATCTACCCCTACCCAACCTACTGTATCTATCATTCCCCCAACTTACTGTATCTCTCATCCCCCCAACCTACTGTATCTGTCATCCCCCCCAACCTACTGTATCTAGCTTTGATTTAACTGTTTGGGATAAATATAGTTTATGCACCCTGGGGTCATTTATCCTCATGTACGCATTTTCTAGTCATGGACAACACTTTCAATTTTAGCTACAGTAGATTTTGACAGCGTTTGTTATAAACAGTGAATTGCAGCAATTTGACATTGTGAATATGTTTCCTGAATCTGGAAAATGATTTTGTTTGCCACAACTCACTGTGTAGCAGCCTTGGATCAGTTTTAGTTTCTCTGTTCTGTACCTGAAACATGCGACTTAGTGATACTTGTCTCCCAATCAGAAAAACATCTGCTTTAAGAAAATTTCGAGAGGTTATGCAGTAAATTCTTCTACAGTCTAAGCATGTCATGAAGCTTAGTTGGACACCTGAGCATGGGAGAGGGGAATCGATCCCTTGGGGTAGTCCCCCCCGCCCCCCCAGTTTCTCCATTAACTCATGTATTTTCCTGTGCTAGGTGACTGGCTGATGACTAGCAATGAGATTCCTGCACAGTATCTAGCAAAGGATGAGAAAACTCCAAAGGATCGCCAAAAGATGAATAGGAAAGATGTTCAAATAAAGATCAACCAGGCTGTAAGCTATGCTGCATCACTAATAAGCAATGTTTAAATATCACGGATTGTTAGAATGTCTACATCTTTTTCTTCTTGGTAATCTGGGCCTTTTTATCTTTTCCATAGTAATAAATGTACATGATGTTTGTCAATACAGTATTTCTCCACTAATTCATTTGAAAAGGGATGAGGGTACACAAGTTCAGACAATCGTGGTTAATCAGCCAAGCAATGATTTTTGAGAAGAAGAAAACCTCCTTAAATGTGTGGGAAGCAGCCATCTTGTTTTTTTTGATAGACCTCCTGTAAGGTATATCTCGTTTAATGTTATTTATTATTTGCTTATTTATTTATTTTTTTGAAGTTGAATAAAGATGTGGTAGTGGTGGTTGAATGAAAAACGTTTTGGGATATTTTCTATGAAGCCTCACGCATATCCTTCCCGGCATCTCTCTCTCACTTTATGTTCTGTTTCTTCTGCTGCAGAGAGATGCGTGCGTTTCTGCTGTGCAGAACTGGGACCCATTTAAAGACATCGACCCGTCGCTACTGGTGTCGCCTCGGCATCTTTGTGTAGAGGGAGATATGTCCTGTAAAGGTGAGCTTTTCATTTAGTCAGTGAGAGTATGGTAAATTGGAAATTAAGGTCTAATGAGGTGCTGTGTAGCTTTTTGACCAGAAATCACTTATATCAACAGAAAGCTAGGATCCCAGTCAATGAACTAGAAACGATATATGTAGGAATACATCAGACTGTCAGGCCACCAATTGTAAAATATTGATCCAGTGAGTATTCAAAGTCAGTCCACATTAACCACAAGTAGTGCATTATTTTGGAAACTCAAGGTGTTCCCTGACTGTCAACGTGTGGAGGTAACCCAGCTCACAACACCTATCCCAACACGAATAACATAATATATGTCTATCATGCATCTTAGAATGGCTGGGTTAATGGAATAAGAGAATGGTCAGAAATTGAGACAAGGTCAGGGATCAAGAAGTCACATATACAAAAAATTAAAACCGAGTCAAGGGGTGCCCGAGGACAAAGTAATCAAGACAAGCCAGGTCAAATGCCAAAGAACTGCTAAGAAAACGGAACGATATCTTGGTAATACCAAAAAACCACAACAGGAAAACGATATTCAGGCATGTGTGGAGTTTATGTAGATTGCACTCCCTGTTGATTTATTTGCATTATTCTTTGTGTTTGTACGTCGAAGGCAGAACAACGCAACAGACACTGCGTCATAATTATGACACACAAGTGCTTTATAATAAAGGATTCCATGTAGCAGTGTTCAGTGTCAGAATTTATGTCAGAATGACGCAGTGTGCAGAACAGAGCAGGAGCATACCGTTACACTTACTATCAAAATATCATGTCTTTCTTTCTTTTACAGGAGAATCAGGTGGCCCACTCTATTTGGAGAGGAAAAAAAGATTCTTTCAGGTAAAAGAAGCAGTGATAGTAAAAATGGAGAGCTATATGCACAGATACATGGTGTTTCATAAACAGTGAGAGAGGTCACATAGACACAGAGTGTATTTGAAGCAAATATTTTAGAAGATAAAGATGGTAGCCACATGATTTACCATATACTACCAGAATAAGAAGCACGTAGAGAACAGCACTGAGATTTTTGTTGTCTTCACACCATATGCCCAACGCACATGAAAAGAACACTCCAAACATATAAAGCGCTTCAGACTCAGTTGTATCTGTTTTCAGACGGTTTTTTATTCCAGTTTGTAAAAGTGGCGATTTTAGTAGCACTTTCGACTTTCATAAGTGGGTGCCCAGATACCTCCTCAGTTGTCAGACAGCCAACGCGTTTTCTCCCTCTTCCATTAGATGGACAGCACAAGCGGAAGTGGCAAGCTTGCTGGCATAGAGCGAGTTGGCCAAAACGTCACAATTAGCTGTACTAAAGCTCACTGAGAAATAGATCAAAGGAAAGCCACATGCATAAGAGCTTGTAACTCACGAACAGAAACATCTCAATGAGGAGTCTGATTGGTTAGTTGGGATAAAGGGAAGGGCTTGCAAAGGCTGCAGACAGCAGATCTACAGCTATTTCTAAGTGTTTTTTTTTTCTTCTTCTTCTTCATACACACCCATAATATTATGCAGAAAAATTACACGTTTTCTTTGGGGTATACTACTAAAGTTAAATGCAAATATACCATTTTCTTTAATCTCTACTGTTATAGATGGTTAGAACATTATAGGGATTGTGACTTGTATTCGCTCAATTTACACATCAGATTCTCTTATGCAATTAGTAAATGTAACTTCTTAAAATAATAAAGAAAATATAATTCCAAAAAGCTGCCTTACTAGAAGGTAGCCAATAGGAAAGGAACCCAGTCCAATCTCAAAAGTAAGTATAAATAGTACCAAAAAATAATAAAAATTTATTAGAATATAGTAAAACCTAGGGCTAGACAGAGATATCTAAAGTCTAATATGGAGAGAGGTATAACATATTGAGAAGCCAAAAATAAGCTTGATAAACAGCCAAAAGGGCAGTAAACTAAACTATGTTATATATACCTCAGGGAATGACAGAAGAGAACCTGAGCAGAAAAGAGAGGAAAAGGGGGAAAAATTGAATGGGTATATAGTAACCCAAAAAGGGGGTAAAAATGCCCCAATTGTTGCATAAAGGGTATCAATGAGAATACTAAATCTAAAAACAAAAACCCTTTCCCAGATCAAAGAAGTCCTACAATTTAACCATCTCTCTAAGCTAACCCATTATCTCCTAAATAACACCTTCGTGGGTGTTCTAATCTAATATCTAGACCTAGACATCTATAGCCAAAGTAACATTGTGCAAAGTGCTCGTTAGTGCTAAATAGACGAAAAATAAGTGAACCGAAAAATAACATTGTGCAAAGTGTTTGTTAGTGCTAAATAGACGAAAAATAAGTGAACCCAACACGCGTTTCGGCGTGACTACACGCCGTCCTCAGGGGCAATACCCCTCAGGACGGCGTGTAGTCAGGGGCAATACCCCTGAGGACGGCGTGTAGTCACGCCGAAACGCGTGTTGGGTTCACTTATTTTTCGTCTATTTAGCACTAAGGGGCACTTTGAACAATGTTACTTTGGTTATAGCTGTCTAGGTCTAGATATTAGATTAGAACACCCACGAAGGTGTTATTTAGGAGATAGTGGGTTAGCTTAGAGAGATGGTTAAATTGTAGGACTTCTTTGATCTGGGAAAGGATTTTTGTTTTTAGGTTTAGTATTCTCATTGATACCCTTTTTGCAACAATTGGGGCATTTTTACCCCCTTTTTGGGTTACCTTATACTATATACCCATTCAATTTTCCCCCCTTTTCCTCTCTCTTCTGCTCAGGTTCTCTCTGCTGTCATTCCCTGAGGTATATATAACATAGTTTAGTTTACTGCCCTTTTGGCTGTTTATCAAGCTTATTTTTGGCTTCTCAATATGTTATACCGCTCTCCATATTAGACTTTAGATATCTCTGTCTAGCCCTAGGTTTTACTATATTCTAATAAAGTTTTATTATTTTTTGGTACTATTTATACTTACTTTTGAGATTGGACTGGGTTCCTTTCCTATTGGCTACCTTCTAGTAAGGCAGCTTTTTGGAATTATATTTTCTTTATTTCATTATCTCTTGGGTTACCCCCTATTACCCAGTCTAGGTGACCTAATTTACTCAAGGGAGTGGAGGGGGGCAGGTTCCTTTCTGTCCTACCTTCCAGTCCCTTGTGTGTTCTTTATATATATTTTGATTAACTTCTTAAAATAGCTGGAGTTTGGCCTGAAATTATCACTTATTTATAGATCCCAGTTGAAAGAATAAACCTCTATTGTGCTTTATTACCTTGTAACCAGTTTCTCGTTCTTTAGGTTGGAATACTCAGTTTTGGGATTTATAACCCCTGCACAGATAAATCAAAACAACGAAAAAATCCTGAAGCTCGGGACTTTTATGTAAATGTCTTAGAGATCTTGCCCTGGCTGCGCAAACATGTTGATGATCTCGAGTTCCTGGCTGATGTTGATGTAGAAGATAACATAGTTTGTCCATCCTGAGTAGAAGCAAAAGGCGAAATTACTTCTCCTCTGATAAACACCTTATATGACATGGTGTGTATATATCATTCAACCTTACTCTTTTTAAATGACCATTAAAACATCACAACATAGGTTTCTCAAATGCACCGGCTTCCTATCAAAATCTTCTGAGACTTTTCACTCAAGATTTGTACAACACATGAAATGAGCAGCAATGCTGACATAGAGCACGCGACTATGAATGCCACTAGTGTAAAATTCTGTCTGGAGCCAAATAAAAAAAAAAAAAAATTTGGTCAAGGATGGACAAATACTGGCTGTCACAATGCAGACTTCAAAGAGCAATAAAATAATCATATTCCATAATATTACTCAGAAATATAGACTTAAAGCTTTCTGTTATCATACTATAATGCTCAGAATTCTTCGCTAGACACAGGTTGAGAACACACATGGGGCTATATTGGAATAAGTGCCTAAAGTGGTGAATACGACTTTTGAAAAAAATTTTATATATCGGTGTTATACATTAAACCAGGAACTTGCAGAGAATTTATGTTCCAACTATTTGCTATTTCCTTGACTGCTTTCCACAAGTTCCTGTTAACTAAATAACTTAACCAGTGTTTGTTCACTCCCATCTGAATTGTTCTAATATACTTTCTGTGTGGAGATCATCAGGTGCATGTGCCTCCCCATAATGTCTCACAAACAAGCACAGATGGACTAACATTTGAGGGAAAAGGGGAGTTTTTGGTGACTCCATATTTGGCAAGAAATGGGCAAAGTGCTGGGTGGCAGTAGCTGTGATTCATATTAGAACCATTTTAATGTAGTTACAGTTAGATTATATTGAAGAAAGGTCCTTGGGTGTTACCCTCTGTTCCCAGATAATTTTATATCTGACTATAAATTATTATTATTGCCATTTATAAAGACACCATAATCCTGATTTACTCTCTACAGATATCAATAAAGTAACACATTTTCAAATTATGTCTGCGTATGTGCTTTCTGTTTTATATGCCACCCAGCTTGTGTGCATTTAAAGTACTGGTTATTGTATTTAAGAATCTACAAATTTGGGGGATGCTGTCTATATGAGCTGGGGGTACCACACCATCAATTCCAAGACGTTAAGCTGCATGGCGGTGAGGAAGCAATCTTCTCTAAGGATCTCTTATAATTTACACATTCTCTGATAATTGTCCAGGCAACATAACTTGTAAAACACCAAGGGTTTATTCCTTAAACAATTAATTGCAGTTAACCGAAAACAAATATGCAACATTTAGGGTAAAAGAGCCAGGGTTAGATTTATTTTTATTTATTAATTTTAAAAGTCAGATATTTTCACAATTCAATGCACTACACTTCGAGACCCCCACCCCTACATATGAAACTGAAAACCGCAAAGTTTAGGTAAAAAAAGAAAAAAGAAAAATCATTTTATTCAGCTTTTCTCAAACTTGTCTACCTTGCTAACCTGCTTCAAAAGAAATACCTCTGGCAAAAATAAATCAACATGTAGGGTGTTTTTATTTTTTTTAAGCTCCATTCATTTAGGTAATTTTTTTTCCCCAAGTCACAAGTTGCTAAAAATAAAAGTGAAAAAGTCCTTATTTAGAGACCTTTCAAGGTAGGGTTAGGTGGAACCTACTCAGAGCTCAGCCTTAATAATGCATCACAATGTACTACTGGTTTAATCCAACCAGCTACAGGTCAGATCAAAGCATACACCAGGGCTTGACAAACATAGAAGCCAGATGAACACAAATTACACATTGTTTTAAATGTATATATATATTTTTAACTAGCCTATTAAGGAATGAATAGAGAGTTCCTTATAAAATAAAATGGGCAACATGATTGATCTATTTACAATAAATATATCCTGACTCCTACGTTTGGGAAGCCTTAGCATATGCAATTTATGATATTCCTACACCTGCACGCTTTCAAATGGTCCTTTTACATCTTGAATAACAGTTAGCTTGGGTTTTCGTCAGGCCCGGGCTGGGGATCTGAGAAGAGGTCTTCAGAGTAGCTGACTTGTGATCTCTTGTCTCGATGAGAACCTTTCACACTGTTCTGGACAGCTGCAGAGGTAAAAAAGATAAAAATAAGGATTTTAAATTTATGGAACACACACACAAAGATTATTTGGCATTTCCTAAATGCTCGCACAGTTTATGACCACGTGCAGATGATTGCTTCTTTTAAATAAGTAGCAGGTATTTTTAAATCAGACTTGATTAAAATAAAAAATAAATCTGCATGTTCTATGCACCAATTGGCCCAGACTAAAAGCAGATAGGGGAAACTGATTTGTGAAAAACTAACACTGCTCCTGCTAAGACCCTTGTTTAAATAATCAAACTTGATAAAGAAAACCTGGAGTAGAGTGCAGAATCTTCTACACGGCACTGCAAATGTAATAGTTATTTACACATACACAAAACGAGAAGATGTCTCAATAACTACACAAAATTAAGACACGGAGATAATAAGGAAAGCAGTATTGAGGTCATAACTCACCCAGTGACCCCCAAAGAGATTTTCCTGTGGCTGCATCCAGCATGGGCTGTTTACGAGCGATGCTAACTTTAACAGGAACTTCTTCTATTGTTGTGTTATTGAGCTGGAGGGAGAGGAGGGAAAAAGATCAAAATAGAAGCAACTCAAATCACTAATTATACACAGAAATAGAGCAGAACATACAGATTGGGGCCAGGCATGTTTTTTAGGTCATGTATAGAGAAATACAGTAGAAGCACATTCTTGCTAAACAATTAACCAAATTTAACCAAAAACAGAGAGCCATTTTCTGCTCGGGTTGGAAGGATTACCACTGGATGGTGGATCCTGTTGTTTGCAGGTAGAATATAAATAATGATCCTCTCTATGGACATTGTCAACCGAGAATGAACACGCAGGACAGAACTCTCACCTCTTGGATGGACTGATCAGCCGATTCCATCTTCTCAAACGTAACAAACGCACAACTAACAGGACAAAAAAAAAAAAAAAACATAAGGTCAGGAGGTTTCAATCCACCTGCGCTCACCCACAAAGCTCACTTATGCATCACATGTATTCTTACTTCCGTTGTGCATCCGTTGATAGATCTATAATGTTCCCGAATTTAGAGAAGGCCTCCCGTAAAGTTGTTTGTGACATGCCCACTCCATTTACATACACCGTGTTACCCTTTCTGGGTGCTCGACGTTCAGGGAAAGAATCGGACCCTGCGAAGTGAAAATAGAGGGGGGGAAATAAATAAATCAGAAGACTATTGCCCTATGAGATGAAAAAGAACCTGTAAGTCAGTCTTTCTAGGCACAGAGAACATGGACACGTGACTCTCTTTGTGCAGAGTAACAGAGAATATTGTCCTGTTTCCAACACAAGGTTTAATGACATAAGTAAACAGTTACGTCTATAGAATCCTTCGCGATCTCTATCACTGCGGTCTCGCTCCCGATCTCTTTCACTGCGGTCTCGCTCCCGATCTCTATCCCTGTCTCTGTCTCGCTCTCTTCCACGTTCCCGCTCATAAAGATCCCGCTCTCTTTGACGAGCGTCTCTTTCACCGTCTCGTTCTTCACTATCTCTCTCTGTTTCACGCATCCGGTCGCTGGAGCTCACAAAGCTGGGGACAGCAGTGTATTAATGAGTAGCGAGAAACAAAGGACATCATGGAAACTGAAAGGGGGAACTAAAAGGAGGAGGGCAGAGAGAGAAAAAAAAAAAAGAGTCAGAAATTCCAGCCTTACCTATCATAGAGTGACTTCCTCTGGGCACGCTTTGAACTCTAGAAAGTGAAAATGAAGAAATTGTTTCCACCAATAAGAATCCAGTGTCAGTAAGCTCTACACCTATTATTACGTTACCTCCGCCTGCTCCTCGTCTACAGACACATTACGCTGAAAGGGCTGGAAGCTTGGTGCAGGGCCCTTATCCGGATCCTGAAACAAGAGAGATGTCAATTAACACTTCTATAAAGGGGGCAGGCAAGTGCCATGGAAGGTGTTTTCTATGGATAGAACAAGATGTGTGTACTTGTATATTATAACAGGTGCAATACAGGTTTAATACAGGACAAGGAATACTCTGTGGGTATTGAATCACAGCACATGGAATAAAGCTACTGGTAATATGAGAGATGACCTTAAGTTTCCCCTCTAGGGTCCGGGAACGCTTGAAGCCGCTGTTCTTGGTTCCTGATTTTATTGCACTAATAGCTCCAGTCTTTATCAGCATCTTCGCCTGCTCTGTAGCTGTTGCAGTGTCTACCGCAGGCTGGTCTGAGAGAGCTGGGAGAAGCAGATACATGTATGTCAAGACAGATAGCACAGAGGGATAGACAAAATAGATAAAAGGTTTAAATATATGAAACATCAACACTCTGAATATGAATGAACAAATATATTGGAAAGTCAGTATTACAATATAAAATATATTTGTTTATAGTTATCCAAGTCAAATAAAACCTTTTGAGTGCTACCGTCCTCACTCCTCTGCTGTTTAAATAGGGGAGGGGGAGGGAGGAGAGACAACAAATAGCACAGTACATACTAATTTAGAAAACTATAATAAAATTAGCCTATGCTAGGTAAAAAGCCTCCCTACTTTATTTTTTGGGCTTTTAGATGTTCATATCTCATTTCAGTGAAAAAGAGCAAAAAATTAATAAGAAAAAGTGAATAATGCAAATCATGAACAAAACGAAAGTAGGGTGTGGAAGAACAGGCACGGGTTTGCACTGACATCTCTTGATTCCAGCCTGGCTCGTCTGATTGGTGGAAGTTTGCTTCTTGAGAGCAAGTAGAGCTTTTTTCTGTGAATGGGGGGGAAAAAAGATACAAGGGCTAAATAATGCTAGAGCAGTAACTCAGTGTAACGCAAAGCTAAATACACACATATATTATAGGTCTAATCTTTTCTGTTTATTTATTTTTTTGTAATTTCCTAAATCCTTTTAAAAAGGTCTTTGTGATATTCCATGTGACATCAATCAGACATGTAATCTGGTCCATCATACATGGGGTACAAAAAGTGCCCTATGTGCACGATAAACAAATGAGAAGCTCAGGGGTAGTTTAACGGAACTCATACAGACACTCAGGTAACAAGCGAAGACATGAAATCAAGGATGAATAGCTGATCAGCGATAATGATAAAATAGAAACTATATCAAGTACCTTATATACAAGTGAGACGAAGAGTGCACTGCAGGGCTTAGCTCAGACAGAGAACTTACAGCTTTAAACAGTAGTGAAGGCAGTGCACAGCACCCAGCAGACTCCAAGTAAGAAGTCAAACTATTATAAATTGGTTTAAATGGTTACAATTGGGGGAGGGGGATGCCAGGACACTCCTTCCACCATAACCACTATGGGGAGTGTCAGACGTTATGGTGCATGGAGTGTTTCTTTAAATAACTCAGCACTTGTCCAAAAAAAATCAGATATAGTCACCCAAGATGTAGGGGTTTAACTACATCTGTTTAGAATCATGGAAGGAGTAAACATTAAAGTGCCACAAGGCAGTAATTCAAAGTGAAGGTAAAATATCCATATATCTATCTCTCTCTCTCTCTCTCTCATAAATATACATACATTATATATATATATATATATAAATAAAAAAAACACATTACATATGCCCATAAACACACATTTAATGATGCGCACTCTATGGATTTAGTATCGAAATTCACATCTACGTTGATTGTTCATTGGGGCGCCCATGTTTGCTACAATTGAGAAAGCAAGGGTGGATATATAATTTTATATATCGAATATATAATTGGTTACCACCAAAATAGCATTAAGGAATGTGTGCAATGAAACCAATTGTTTCATTCAGGAACATGTTAAATTTATAACAAATGATTTAAAGGAATAATCTTCAGAAAGCAACTTGGTTAAACATCGATAATGGTTAGAGTATTTAGAAATATTATATTGGAAAGTCGTTTTTGGAACATGGTAATGTTATTAAAATGTGCTTTATTTGTACAGTACGTTTCGATACTTATTGGAGAACCTATGTCTCCTTGTTCATTTTCATACTAATGTTTGAACATTCCTGTGTGACTAACTGTACTGAAAACGAAAATAATGGTTGTTACTGTGGACATATATGTACTTTGATGCTGTGACTAGTTCTTTTTCGGTAAACAATAAAAAAAAAAAAAACTATTCACAAAACTAATTTTATTTTTTATTTTTCAGAAAGCAAAGTACACTTTGGAAGAAATATAATTAACCCCAACATTTACACATCGTTATGTCTTGGGGCAGTCTGACCACACCACACTACAGATAAAGATACCTTCTTCTTCAGTTTTGCAAATTTCCTCTGCAAAGCCTCTTCCTCCTCTGTCAAAGTAGTTGACAACAGAACCATGATTCCTAGTGAGTCTAGGGAAGCTGCGTTATCCTTTTGCTGTTTTACAAAGAGAATAAAAGATTTCAGACTAGATGGCAGGTATGTCACAAACATGTCTTACTAATAAATCACCACTGGCAATATGGGAAGCAGTCAGCCAATTTAAACACGGACACCGTGCAATACCCTGTCTTGGACTATAAGCAGTTTGAGCAGGGCACTGACAGCCTACATATTTCTGTACATCCTTCCTTGACTTGCACAGTGTTGCTGAATAGGTTTGCGCTGTATAAATAACAATACTAATAATAACACTATTATTGTTGCTAGATTTAGAGGATAGAGAAATTAAAATCCGTATTTTAAATGTTTAACCAAATTGCTCCAATACTGTCTGTACATTCTTATAAGTTTTAGATGGACTTGATTTCAGTTACTTATCCCTAAATTTAATGAATAATGGCACCGTTTTAGTAAACACTGCAATGTAACTAGTTAAAAAAAAATGCAAGTTAGCACTGAATAGCTGGGATGGCAAAAAGCTAAACTGGGAGCTCTTTTTCAGCGCAATGGTTTTAAAACTTGAGAAACTGTTTAAATAACATGAAAAAATAGGGTGTGGAGGAGGGGTACAAAAAGTAAAAAGGGGAAAAACAACTGGCAAACGAATCACAAGTACGTAATATATCTCAGAATTTCTGCTTGCCTTGGGAGGTGTGTCAGTGCTGTGTGAAAGAAGCAACTTTTCAACAGTAGCTGAAGTTTGCAGCCCTGAAGAGTGGGACTAAACAACAGAACAGACACAGCAAATCAAACTGTCTAGGCACCATAACTATAACAGCACATTGTAGTGGTTATGGTGCCCTGCACAGCTTAGTTTCAGAGAGCCAACGGCTCTCCATCGTCCGTAGTGCAGGCGGGCGAAGAGCAGTGCCCAGACCCCGGTGAGAAATCAAACTGCAGTAATAATGGGGAGTATCCTGGACCATAAGCACAGTAGCGCACTGGTTATAGTGCTCTGAGTGTTCCTTTAAAGTTCTGTAGAGATTGCAGATGTGACAGTCACAAGCCCTCACCCCGACGGCTTGACAGATTTATAGGGGACAGATGTAAATGTGCAGGAAATCGTAAAATGCCTCTCGAGTTTAGCTCCACAGAACTAAACAACCAGGAAGTAACCGGGTCTGTTGTCTGATTAGCAGCCAGAGAGATGTAACAAAATTATAAAAGTGAAGATTTCTATTGAAATCTGCAGTTTTGTAAAATAAAAAAGGAGAAGATATGCTCTACATACATAAAGCTTTATGAGATTGGAGTGTTCCTTTACGTTTACCTGTAATCCAACACCAAGACAGTTGCTCTGCCTCCTCTGAGATCATCACAATTGATTGTCACAGTCCACCCCAAAAGATTTGAATTTGGAAAAGCATTTTGGACCTCTGGCACATGCTGCACTCCATTTCAAAGCACTACATCCATTAGTAATCTTTACGAAGCATTAGCAGCATTCAGTGTTATCATGTGTGTGATGGTGCCGAATATGAATATCCTCAAATTTTCGAGAACATAAAGGAACAGTATGGGCACCATAACAACCTTATCTAAATAAACGCACATACCTTATTTTTATTAACAGGGAGCTACTGATTGTCTTACAGCGTCAGCTGACCACTCTAGCTAATCAGCAGCGCCCCCGAATAGCTGCATTCCGCGCTTCCTGCAACTCAGAAGCAGGACGCCGCCTGGGTATCGGCACTGGAGGCAGCCTTTGGGGTTACATAGAAACATAGAATGTGACGGTAGATCAGAACCATTCGGCCCATCTAGTCTGCCCAGTTTTCTAAATACTTTTATTAGTCCCTAGCCTTATCTTGGGCAGACTATATGGGCCGAATGGTTCTGATCTGCCGTCACATTCTATGTTTCTATGTTAAACCGTTTGAGCACAGTTTTACCCCTTGCGTTTTGAGAGCACCCAGGGGCCTCCAGCAACCATAACAACTTAATTTATGTGACGTTGTTCTGGTAAAAGGAGTGTTCCTTTAAGGAGGACATGTTTCAAGCTACTACTAATGAGTTTTCAAACGTTTTCTCAGAAACACCAAATGTTTGACACTGCCGCAGTGTAGGGACTATACCCCTTTACCAAGTCACTGATAGACAGTGGTTATGGTGCGTCGACTGTCACAAACTATCTGCTTTCACAGCTGAATAAACAGGGGATCAGACACGTTTCTATAGCAACATGGAATTAATTGATATTTAATAAACCTATATAGATGGGAGATTACCAGCTGCCTGTGAAAGGATAATGTACACATAACATAAAAACATCAAACAGGACATAATTACTGCTACACTATAAATAAAAATAACGAACAGCTATTCTAAGCGGCTCCCAGGGACCTTTTATCCCAGACATTATTTACCTCTCCTGTCTGCCTGTCGCGCACTCTGCACGTCACTGAGTCTAATTGATACCGTGCACTTTGCCAATCATGTGGCGACGGAAGTTCATCTCTCCTGCCAACCACAACAGAGAGTCACTTCCGTCGCGTGTGCCTCCAGTGACGTCACAACGCTGGCTGTCACTCTTGCGCACCAGCCCTCCAGCGAAGGAGGAGCGACAACATTAACATTTAGAGTTCTAAACGCCTGACGCCACGTAGTTCGTGCGGCTACGGCGGCGGCCATTTTGCCGTAGACTAAAGTTAGTTGTGCGAATGGAGACGTAAACACGGCAGCGTTGCTTTTGTGTTTTTAACTCTATGCTATAGCGCGTAATGCCATGGCATGTTTGACAGCACACATGTTATGTTATGTTAGCAGGAGGTGATATACTCAGAGGGCTATTCACTAAAGTGAGAACTCGAGGTGAATTCCACCTTTAAGGCCAGAGTAGCCGAACTGGAAGCACAGCTTAGTTGGAGATTTCTTCCAGTTCGGCTACTTTGACCTGAAATTTGAAATCTGCTCCGATTCTCGCTTTTTGTAAATAACCCTGTACGTTTCATTGTTTTAGATTTATCCCCAATAAACGAAAGGAAGGTTCGTGTCACAGCCATGAATCATTCATAAATTAATTTAAAAAAAAAACCATTTAAGCAGCACTGTCACCATATGGCGAATTTGCAGTGTCCCCCGATGGTGACAGCGCTGCAGGTTGTTCTGTGGTTGCGGGGGCAGCTAAAGGTTATATTTTTACCTGAACCTGTCCCTCGCGGGTGCCAACATCTTTCTCACGCTGCTCTTCTGCCAGCAGCCAATGCGTGCGCGAGAGTAGAGCATTGACCGCGGGATTATCCATAGACAAAGCCAATTCCCTGCAGCCGTCGCAGGTTGACTCTAAGACTGCGCCCTGAGACTAAGAACGTCAGGCAACGGCAATATTGTCTCAGTATATCTCTATCTTTGTGAAATACTCATTTTTAGAGGTGGTTGCGGGGTGATAGTGCTACTTTAAGATTACGTGAAAGTAACTTTAAGTCTCCAGGAAAAACCCTGGTGACTTTGGTATTATATTTCTAGAAAAGTGTCCCTCTTTAAGAAGGCCAGTCCCTGTTTTACAATGTGTATTACAGTGCTCAGCCACCACAAAATTGCAGTGAATTAAATCAGCTCTGTCGGTTTATCTTATGCACAGGAGTTCACAATACATGGATTTTCCATAGACCATTTTGCACTATGCATGATAAAATGCCTTCTTTACAGCGCCATCCCTAGTGACCGCTCTGAGAATTGTCAAACAATAACATAGTTCTTTTGCCAATCTTGTACTTTACCATAAGCTAGAATCTATGTATTCACTAGATTTGCTTTATCACAGGTAAGTAATGAGTAATTCCAAAGGGATGTGTAATTATTCCTCTCAATGTTCCTGTTTGACTGTGCCCTCTGCAATGCTATCTCCAAGAAGTTAAGCTCAAATTATGATCTTCTAATCCCTTCAGTCCCAGAGGTACCCACATACACACCTTTGGCACCAAAAGGGTTACTGTTCAGCAACTTTAACTTCTTAAGCGTCACCGTAATCTGCCATTTCTCTAATGACTGTGCGTCACCACTATCTGGTGACAAAAAGGCAGTGTAGGGTTTGTACTTTCCTTCCTTTTATCCGTTTTTTGCCCTTTTAAAAATTTTCACTCATCGCCAGCTTCTCCTTGTCCCATTTCCAACATTCTCTTTCCTTAACCAGGAAGCAGGAAACATAACACTCTTTTCACAACATTCACAAGTGGAAGCACCGCGTACAAACTGAAGCCCATACCAACTTTCTGTACACCAAAGCTAAGCTGGGGGATTGTTCACAAGTCACCCAACGTCCTCCATTATAAATTTATGCTACATTACTACATCTCATCCCACGTCTTTCTCAAAGAAACCAATTCCAGCTCCCTCGTGTGTTGTCCATCTTGCATTACATCACCTTACATGTGGCATGTTTAGCTCATTGCTTTGCTTTGTTGCAGTTATCCCCACCTCTAATCTCATAGCTAAACACGACCCCTAAAAACATAACATTACAGCTGCACGGTCATTGGATTTTCTCCCCCAACATATCTATTTGTATGGTGGTAGACCAGGTGGAGACATTGGGGGGTTTACTTTCCTTGATTTCTCTCTCCTTGGTGCTGCCATCTTTCTTTTGCTAGGTTTCTTCAGCTTCTGGGAATTTCACCTGCCAGGAGACACTGTCACAACTGTACCCGAACGCATGCGCAAGTGTTTAAATAGGGTCGATAGAAGATCTCACTATTTCGTCCATAGCAACCTTCGCTCTTGTGCAATAAGGTACCATAGTCATATATTGCATAGGCTTATTCTTCCTATCAGCAGACGAGACCAACTGTTGATGGGAAACGGCTGCCTGTGTAAGTGAAAACCTCACCCATTGACAAAGATTGTCACTGCCATAAGATTCTATCTTATGAAAAGCTGAAAACTGACAAAAATAACCAGGAAATATCAATGGTCTTTGTCCCACAGCCACTCTACCCAGACCTCTGTTTCGTACACTGTGAGTCTGTATTTTTGCAGTTACTGAAGAGATTTCAACCCGTCCTTGTCTCGCCACCTTTACCTTTTGTCACATCCTGTCTCACATTAATCCTTATGTCGGATCCTAGCTAGTTATACCGTGTACTCTGCGCTGAAGCGTTATACTCACTGCAACAGCAGATGTCCACTTGTGTCTTTCACCCCAAAATGTAAGAAATAGGGAACAAGTGTAGTGCTTATTAACACCGCCAATGGTGGGAATGTGTATAACCAAAACAGATACTACTCTTTGTGCAATCGATAACTCAGATTGAGCACACGTGGGAGGGGGGGTTGAAAGCAAATAGTGTTATTACACCATATAGGGAAGGGTGGTTGGAAAATCTGCTCACACAAATGAGAACCTATAAATCTAGTTATCACTAACTAGCAACACTCATAACATTACTACTATTGTTTTTTTAAGGAAGATTAAAGTAAGACCTGACCATCAAAGTGCAGTGGACTGGTGTCAGTTGTGGGCTCATTTGGAAAGCTGACTTCTCATAAATTAACAGTAAGCCGCTCGTTGTACATTTATTTTGTTAAATAAAACTTTTTTTTCTTTTCCTTTTTAAAAAAAACAAAAACCAAAACCAAATGTGAGACACACTGAATGACAAGCTCTGATATACATAAATATCTAAACGTGGCATGGTGTGTAACGCTCGCTAATGTTTCTCAGCCGTACAGTCACTGCGAACCATGTGTTATTTGTCAACACATATTTTAATCTTATAATCACATAACTTGCTATGATTTTATTCTATGTCAACTTCAGAGCTGAAGAAATTAGATTTTTGAAGATACTTTGTGTCGTGGAGGGGGCTCCCACCAGTTTACTTATTTATTGGACTCACTGCTTAGGATTTAATGTACATTTGTTGTGTTTATTTTGTTTTTTTTCTATACTGCGCGTAGATTCCTATACCATATGAGATATTTACGGAATAGAGAGAACAGCACTGCAGAGCCCAGTCCCTGAAAGTTGAGTGTTTAAAAGGTGAAGATTGTTTTCAAAGCTCACGTGAAAGCCTTCTACAAGATAAAAGCAAATCACTAAACTGTAAAACACGACTCAAGACAGAGAGAAATGAAGGTTTAATATGTGGTTTATACTGTAATAAATAAGACCGGTACTTCACCAATTCGTGCAATACCAGGTCCTGCGTAATAAATCCTGCTGGATCCTCCAATTGACAGAAGGCACACCTCACAGAGGTTAAACCTTGCCATCCCTGAGGCCGTTTTACCCAATACCCTGTGGGAAAGCATTTGCCACGGTTAGTTAGTTGATGGGTGAGTGTGAATTCATTAGTCTGGTTTCTGTCTTCTGGGCCGTTTTTGCTAGATTGCAGTTACGACATTATTACAGAAAATCCATTTTCATCTCCAAACACTGGGGTTCTGCGTTTCAATATAGAAGAGAGAGTTCAGAAATAAAATCAGATTAGTTGGAATTAGAACCCATGTGAGTAGAAGGTTTGTGAGCATAAATGTTACAACAATTGGCGATAAACTGCGCCTAATGGTGAAACTTGATAAAGAATACCTTTATAGTGTGTTATACAGATATATATATATATACACACCCACACCATATATATATCTCTCCCTCTCCCTCTCCCTCTCCCTCTCCCTCTCCCTCTCCCTCTCCCTCTCCCTCTCTCTCTCCAAGGTTTTTGGGAATCCTTGTCGATTTACCGCTGCCACCCATTGTATGCTATAGTGAGCGCCTACGCTATCTCTGCTTGTGATAACATAGGACTCTGTGTGCGAAGCAGATTACTGTTGGAGGCTTCAGATTGAAAAAGTGTATTTGTCATCAGCATTTAGCAGTAAAGGGTTAAATACAGAGGGTGCTCTGTGCTCCTCATTCCTCATTTTTAATCCTACCTGTTCTATCAGTTTGGTATACCCCGTCAGATTGCTATACCCACGTCACTTCCGGGGAGGGGAATCAGCTGTCTCCTGTGCTGCACATGCGTGCTAGCACTCCTGCTACTCCTCCACAGCAAGGTCCTGGAAGGTAAGTAAAACTAGTTTTACACTTACATTATAGTTAGTGCATTCACTAAGCTTAGGCACATGGGACATTTAGGGTTAATGTTAGGGTTCAAATTAGGGTTAGGATTAGGGAATTGTTCCTATTTAGTGATATTTCACATTAGGGGAATATCACTAAATAGTGATTTCTCACACTTTATTTTAACCCTTACCCCAAGGGTTAGGGTAAGAATAGAGTGTGAGAGAGGTTAGAATCACTTACCTAACCCTAATTTGTACCCTCACTTAACCCTAAATGTCCCGTGTGCCTAAGCTTAGTGAATGCACTAACTATAATGAAAGTGTAAAACTAGTTTTACTTACCTTCCAGGACCTTGCTGTGGAGGAGTAGCAGGAGTGCTAGCACGCATGTGCAGCACAGGAGACAGCTGATTCCCCTCCCCGGAAGTGACGTGGGTATAGCAATCTGACGGAGTATACCAGACTGATAGAACACTACCCACTCCATGATCTCTACCTGCCCTATTGGTCCTGCTTGGAAACGCTACATATCCTACCCGATGATGCCCGCACAAATTCCTATTTTCCACTACCAACAGATATACTTTAATAAAGCTTTTTTTGTGTGTATTTTTTCAACATTTAGAAACCAGATATCTACACTGAGATTTAATAGGCTGAAGTTCACAAAGGACAAAAACACAACTGACCTCTTGGTGCATGTTATTGGGTGTACAAGCTGGCAGCAAAGACGATGTCTCTCTTGATGAGCTGGGACGCTGCATCCATCTTGGCGCAAAGTGTAGCATCGCCTACCAGCCGTGCAGCGGAGCGTACATCCCGGCATGCTTCATCCAGTCTCTGAACACAACGCACGATAAGGCCTTCCTGGATGTCTGTCAGCGTCATGATTTCAGAGAATGGCTGGGGAAGGAGCAGTGTTAGATTACACAGATTATTTAGACAAAGAAACACTCTGGGCACCATAACCAGTTTAGTGTGCTTCAGTGGTTATGGTACCAGGAGTCACTAAGCTATCCGCTGGTAATCTGTCAAATAATTTACAAATGGTTTGACACTGGGGGTTGCCAATGGTCCTTTTGAACTTAATTGGTCTGATAAAGTAGAATTCATACTTCATAATTGTCATACCAACTAATGCCAGATTGGCTGACAATGTGCACACTGTGTGCAGAATGTGTGCAGTACAGGCCCCAAAATATACATTTTCCATCGCTCCCTACCCTGCAGCACACTGGTATTCACTACATACCATGCCACGTGCCCATTCATAGACAACTTCTGTCAAGCCAAACTTGTATTGTGCCACAAAGTCTTCCACGGATTCCCTTAGTCCACATTCTCTCTGTACCTCGGCCAACCGCTCAGCCAACGACCGCACTTTCTTGATGCCCTGTGCAAGGTAACAGAACAGGAGAAAATATGTTCAATGTTACAGTATAAACATATGTACAATAGTAATTGTGTTCACAATCAATCATCTTTCAATTATAAACTACAAATGAAATGTCTCATTAATGAAACACATGTTCCCTTTTACAATTAACATAAACAGAGCATGTGGCTGCTTTTCAGCCTGGTGCCCAACATGAAAATGTTTCCCAGGATGAAACCCAAATGTACCCGTGGTACTTCTATAGTTTTTACCAGCTAATAGTTCATCACAAAACAAAGAAAACAGATCATGGATCTACTTTTAAATAAACGCCAAGATAAACATGATCATTACCAGCCATAACAGAATGATTCATTAGAATCATGTGACTCAAACCAGCCAATCATAGCCGAGGCCATTGATGACACAATGAGCAGTTTATGCAGTCACATAGGGGCTTTAGTGATCTATTGCGGGTACCTTAGAACTTGTAAGTTGCAGAATTGTGGCTACATTGTTACAACTTACTTTATAAGTAAATCTATTGCTTGTGTTAAGTGATGGTCCCATATTCTTTTTGCATAGAGTTTTCAGAACTTACAGTTAAAGACCTTTCTAAATATATATTCTCTCACCTCCTTCAGTGTGTCAGTCAGCCGAGGCTCACATTGTGTTTTGTGCTGGAAGACCAGGCATGAGAGCAGAGCAGCGATTTCCTCTGGATTGAGGGGAGACAGAGCTCCATCCAGGACCAGCTCGGTCACCAAGAGCTCATGGCTGCTGACCTCACAGGCCACCCTGCCCTTTAGCTGCACCGCTCCCCCATCATCTATGTACTGGAGAGTGCGTAGAACCTAAATGCATGCGGGGAAAATGCAATTCATAAATATAGCCGTAAGTAACAGGAAAAATCATGACAGAATTAATGAATTCCTAGTCGTACAGAGGACAATAATAAAGAAAGCAAGACAGAGAGATCATTTACACACCTCGCTGCATCAATTTACTTTTACACAACTATGAATCATCTTGTCCAATCCCCCCCAAATCATCCATTTTGTTTCTCTTTCCCCAGCCCCATTCCTTCCAAACTCCCAGAATCCTTTTCAGTCATAACCACTGGAATCCCTTTAAATCAGTCAATCCCCAAATGCCTTTCAGTTTCTATCTGTGTAATCCCTTAAAAAGTCCTTTTATAGGATTTTCACGTCTCACAACGACCCCAAACATATACCTCTCCATCTTTTCCCTTTGCAAATTTCCAGTTTATTACTTTCTTCAAGCCCTCCCTGTTCGGTTCATTTGTATTGTAAGCACAGACACCCCGTGTTGCTGACTTTGCTGTAGGCCCCCTATCACCCATCTTTCATTGGATTTCCTTATCTTCTGATACCATTTCTCCTTTCACCCCAATAGCTCACTTTGATTCTCTGTTGATACTCCGGCAAAAGGCTCAATGACTGATCGGACGTCAGGAAGCGGAGTCGATCCAGTTCATCCAACACATCTGATCTCTGTTCTACTTGGAGATACTGAATGATATAAAATATTAGAGACATATTATTATTATTATTATTATTTATACAGCGCCAGCAAATTTCATAGCGCTGTACAACGGGATTAAAACCTTGTTAATAGGAAAGCCTATTACATAAATATACGTGGTATACATGATGCACATGCTGATTGTGTACACTAAAGGTAATGGAAATAAGTGCTGAACCTACTTGGGAATTAAATCTGGGACTGTTGGGGCAGCTGAACCCTCTTAATGATGCTTCTAATCTTCTAGTCCTGCTAACTGCCTCCACCACCTCCATGTCTTTTAGCTGAAGGTCATTGACGGGACAGAGGAAAGGTAAAGACCCTGGCGGCAGATCTGAAAGCCGGGACAGTTCTTGGGTTACAGCAGACACTGCGGGACCTGGAGGATCGTTCCTGTGACGAGGATAAAAGAAACATGGATTAGGTTTTAATGAAGTAAAATCCATATGAAGAAGCATGTAAATACAGGAAGCAGAGGGAAGAAGTGGTAATGAACACAGATACAGACAGGACAATGGGTAAAGAGAGAACAAAGGGTGAAATGTTCAGGCGCCACTCATGACTTCATGATCTGGGGAAGGTACCTATAGCGAGGAGTCTGACTTCTGCTGATATCATCCAGAACTTTGTCGGCATGAACTCGCAATGTTTTCCCGGTCACAAGAACAATGTCAGAGGGCTGGAGCTTGAGGAGTTTGTGATCACAGGGCCCTGGAGAAAATAATATAATAAAGCATCACTTTTAGTCCGATAGAACATGTGGAGGTATGGTTCCCTGCTTGCAACGTGTGGCCATTCTTTATCCTTCTAAAACTTCCCATCACAGTTCAGAAAGAACACTTTTACTGTTAGCTTGTTATTCATAACAAAACCATCAAAGACAAAATCCTATTGTCCTGTTTGGCCAACACTCTCTATACTCTCACCCTCCATCTGCCAGTGTTGTCTTTCCTTGTTTCCACCATTAACACTATATTTTCTAAACCGAGCCCTCTTAAATTATCTCACACAGACGACAACATTCATGTATGTATAGATTGCCGACATGTTAATAGCTCACCCTCCGGTCTGTATACTTTGCCAATCAGTATATCATCGGGTGTAGGAGCACTTTTCTTATCTTTTTCCTTTTCTATTGGGACTACTCCTCCATCTCTCCTCTTCTCACATAGCACCAAGGTAGTGTAGATCCTATTTGAGGCATCGGATGATACCTGCGGGAATAATACAAAATGGTCCGAATGCCCCATTTAATCAAAGCTTGTACTGGCTATTATTTCAGGCCATACCATACCTGTAGGATGACTCCAGGCACCCACTGGTGATAGTCTGTTCTAATAATGATGACACGTCCCACACTCAAACATTTCATTCCGTTAATAGACTCGACCACCCTTCTCTAGAGAAGCACAAAGTGTAAGATTTTAGATGTAGTTCTTGGGTTCTCAATGTTTATTTTTTGTTGGCTAACAGACCAGAACACATTGTTTGGTAGCTCTAGAGGGTCAAAATATGAAAAATAGTTTTTAGTAATTAAATCCTTTAATTAGCCATTCATTTCATTACAAATATTTACAAATATTTGAAATATAAAGTGTTACAGCTAGCAAACAGATTTTTCAGTCGTACAGGCTGGGGAAAGTGGGGACTAGCTGTATATCCCATTGCTGAAGAACTTGCTTACATAAAGTCATGGTCTGTTGCCTCTTTACATGTACAAAGCAGAGGTAAAGCTTTAATAGAATATTATATTTTGTGGAAGCCATATCAAGATGCCTGGATCTTACCTGCAAGAGTTCTCTGGTATGGATCAGCTCCTGAACCGTCACAAAGTAGTCATGGAGATCTGCAAGGTCGCCTGTACACTCGATGTCCCCCATATCTGCCAGGGACTTGGTTAGATGCTTTATTCGTTGTTCATGTGCCTGTCAAACACAAGAGGTTATTGAGTTACCTGCAGAGCAGTGGCAGAGGAGGCGAAGGGGTCTCATCCTTCAAAGGAAGGGATGGCCTTACTTTGCTGTCTTTTTGTGTCCTTGATTCAGCAAAACTCCTCTTCATCATATCTTCCACCCGCAGAGCTTCAACTCGTAGAAGATTAAGGATCATGGAGTATGTCAGACGGAACTGAGAGTGCAGTTGAGTGGGCTTACCCTGAAAAAGATGAGAGTGGAGAATAGAATGTGGGGATAGTGGACGGTGAGCAAGACAAGAGGACAGCAAGAAACATGGAAAGAGAACAGATAGTAATAAAGTGGGAGATCAGAAGGTTGAACAAAAGACGACAAGAACAGAGATAACACAAAACAAACCGTGAGAATCTGCAGCATTATGGATTCATTCAGCTTTCAAGTTTTAGCTTGAGTGGAAGTCAGGAGATATTCTAGGGTGTTAAATCTTCAATGTACTCGGCGCTTAGTGAATTCACTTCAATGGAGCACTCTTAGCACCATAATCACTGCAGCATATTGTAGTTGTTATGGTGCAAGGAGTTACCTACACAGTCTTGGAAAAGTATAGAGTGCAAGTTCTATGGTTGATCACAGTTTTCTCACCAACATCATCTTGTGGAGATCGCTCATTTCCGGCACGTCCGTTTTACACAATATTATCACCATGCCTGTAGTATCTAGACCTCGGCGCCCAGCGCGACCGGCCATCTGTATATACTCCCCTGAAAAGGAAGTGAATTTATATACCATTTGTACCATAAGAAATGCACTACAAATACAACAGGGTTGAAATATATCTATAAAATGCTTACTGCCCAAAAAACGATAAGAGTGCAAAAATCAAAATACTAATTGCTTAAAGTAAAAATGTTGCTGCAGAAGAAACATAAAACAATATACTTTTTGTAGAGTTAAAAATGATCTGCTTTCAGTAAATGGATCTACTCCAGGTACCCTTACATAAATGGGAAAGTCAATAAAACGACCTACTTTTTGTAGTGATAAAGAAATATCTACCCGTGGTGAAATTAAATTGCCAGCCGCTTATGGTAAACACAAAATACCTATTTAAGCTTTGAACATTTGTTGCGAAAGATGTGAGATTATCCATTTACAGCAAAATGAAAAAAATAATCTACTTATATTAAACTCAGAAAAGTAGATGTTTATATGGTAAGATGAATCATGATATAATAAACTAAAACAATAACTATTTAGGTTTGTAATAAAACCTCCACAAGTTAGTCATTTTATATATCACTTTATTGCATGAGAATCCTCTATCCTGTATCTGGAATTCCCTGTGCTATATAAAAATAACAATGTATTATTATTAATAACAATAAAATATCAGTATGCTCGTATAAAATCTCCCAGCGGATATGTAAAGGACAATTCTGAGGAAAAGCGCTGTGCGGAGCAATCACCATGGAAACCAAAGGAATGTTGCAATAAACAGCTCCACTTTTAGTATTCAGACTTTGTCTTTAGAACTACTGCCCAATACCTCTGGCATACCTGGCGTTAGGTCTCGGAAGACGGAACCATCATGTTTTCTTATGGAGTCGAACACCACAGTACGAGCGGGCATGTTGACTCCCATAGCGAAGGTTTCTGTGGCAAAAAGGATCTAAGAGACACAGCAGAGGAGTATTTAGATCAGACATGTCTAATCTGAGCAGGATAGTGAGGCCAGGAGAGAGCGGTAATACACTGACAACTTCATGAGACCCCCATACTGTATTAGAAACAAAGCTACTTGCTGGTGGTGATGGTGAAAACCGTCAAGACAAAACATATCACCAAAAAGACATTTGTATTTATAAAAGGGATACTCCAGGCTGGAAGTCACTTATTTGTGCATTTATTTTTTTAAACAGGCTGAAATGTATCTTCTTTGGCCAACTGTCCATGTGTAATTTATGGTTTCATGCTAAATAGTTATACTAATGGGGGGAGATGGGGTTTTACTGGGCAATGTGAAAATAGTATTAAAAAATGTCTCAGTATGGCTTGTATGTGCCACTTGAGGGTTAAAATATCCTACAGTAACTGTACAATTTCTAAAAATATTCCTGTTCTAACAGTCTTTTCCCCTTATATGCATGGTTTAAAACTTTGAGAAACGCCAGTAGTATCTCTATAATCTACGTACGTACTATGGAGAGGCAGAGTCAGTCCTAAATCTCCAAGTGGACATGTTAACCGTGCTCTGATCAATCGTTATCGTGAAAAATGAAACTTCTCATCATTAGAAGGGTTTAGAAGGGTTTAACAGTAAGTATGAGCCCACATCTCTCTGTATCGGTCAGCATGTATAGAAATCTGTCTGTATTGTTTAGAATGTATATAAATCTGTACGTATCAGTCAACATGTGTATAAATCTGTATGTATCGGTCAACATGTGTATAAATCTGTATGTATCGGTCAGCATGTATATAAATCTGTATGTATCGGTCAGAATGTATATAAATCAGTATGTATCGGTCAGAATGTATATAAATCTGTATGTATCGGTCAGCATGTATATAAATCTGTATGTATCGGTCAGTATGTATATAAATCAGTATGTATCGGTCAGAATGTATATAAATCTGTACGTATCGGTCAACATGTGTATAAATCTGTATGTATCGGTCAGAATGTATATAAATCTGTATGTATCGGTCAGAATGTATATAAATCTGTATGTATCGGTCAGCATGTATATAAATCTGTATGTATCGGTCAGCATGTATATAAATCTGTATGTATCGGTCAGTATGTATATAAATCAGTATGTATCGGTCAGAATGTATATAAATCTGTACGTATCGGTCAACATGTGTATAAATCTGTATGTATCGGTCAGAATGTATATAAATCAGTATGTATCGGTCAGAATGTATATAAATCTGTACGTATCGGTCAACATGTGTACAAATCTGTATGTATCGGTCAGCATGTATATAAATCTGTATGTATCGGTCAACATGTGTATAAATCTGTATGTATCGGTCAGTATGTATCGGTCAGCATGTATATAAATCTGTGTGTATCAATCAGAATGTATATAAATCTGTACGCATCGGTCAGCATGTATATAAATCTGTACGTATTGGTCAGCATGTATATAAATCTGTATGCATCGGTCAGCATGTATATAAATCTGTAGGTATCGGTCAGCATGTATATAAATCTGTAGGTATCGGTCAGTATGTTCCCAAATCTGTATGTATCGATCAGCATGTATATAAATCTGTATGTATCGGTCAATATGTATATAAATCTGTACGTATCGGTCAGAATGTATATAAATCTGTATGTATCGGTCAGTATGTTCCCAAATCTGTATGTATCGATCAGCATGTATATAAATCTGTATGTATCGGTCAATATGTATATAAATCTGTACGTATCGGTCAGAATGTATATAAATCTGTATGTATCGGTCAGTATGTTCCCAAATCTGTATGTATCGATCAGCATGTATATAAATCTGTATGTATCGGTCAATATGTATATAAATCTGTACGTATCGGTTAGAATGTATATAAATCTGTATGTATCGGTCAATATGTATATAAATCGGTCAGCATCTATATAAATCAGTATGTATCGGTCAGTATGTATATAAATCTGTATGTATCGGTCAGCATGTATATAAATCTGTACGCATCGGTCAGCATGTATATAAATCTGTATGTATCGGTCAGTATGTATATAAATCTGTACGCATCGGTCAGTATGTATATAAATCTGTACGCATCGGTCAGCATGTGTATAAATCTGTATGTATCGATCAGCATGTATATAAATCTGTATGTATCGGTCAGCAGGTACAGAAATCCCAAAACTTTTTCACTAAAGTAAAAATTGTTGGAAATTCAAGGTAATTTCAACATTTAGGCCAAAATATTTTTGCCTTATATTTAAAATTCACTTGGAGTTCACTATGAATTTCCGTCGATTTTCACGTTAGTAAATAACCGTGTTGGATTTCTTTAGATTCCATGTCAGTTTATTAGAAAATGGTCCAGAGTTTACTAGAAATGACCTATACAGTAGGTGGTCCGGCGTATAAGAGTACAAAGATTTAAAGGAATAGATAACAGCTGTTTGCACATTTAGATGGTTTACTGGCAGTAAAGGTTTGTAATGCCAATCTAAACAGAAGTAATTGTCCTATGGCCTATTGTGAGCGATCAGTTACGAAAGCAGATCCCAATTATCTGCAATGAGCTGATAGACAACTAAAGCCGTATACTAGACCTTAAACACAGCCTGTGTACAAAGTGTTTGATTACGACATAAAACAGACTTTAGCCCGGGAATAAACTCTTCCCCAAATATTTACAGGGATCGGATAGTAGATGATATCAAGGCTAACGTACACAGGCTAAACTAAGAAGAATAAACACCTTTATCCTCTCCCACCTCAGTGCATACACCAAGTCGGTTTAATTTAGCATTTCCAAAAAAAGTAGACAAGGTCACACCTCCCTTGTACTGAAGGCTGCAAGATTCATAGAGATACTTTGTTTGGAAGAGCCTAGTATGTTTTACAATTCACAACCATAAATGCAAGACACATATACCTGCAAAAGCAGCCTGGTATGACCCCCGAAACGCACATGCTTGGCTTAAAGGTACACTTTATTGCTTAAAGTAGTGGTTCTGTTGTCTATAGTCTACCCCAGCAGGCTTTTTAATGTAAACACTGTCTTTTCAGAGAAAAGGGACAGCTTTAGTGGCAGTCACTCAGATGGCGACTAGAGTTGCTTCCTAGCTCTGCATGGAGGCGCTGAACGCTCCCCATGGAGATGCATTGATTCAATTAAAGTCAACGAGGAGATGCTGATTGGTGTAGGGTGAGGTTTTGCCGCACATGCGCAATAGCCTCCTGGATTGGCTGAGATCAGTAAGATTGATGATCTCAGCCATAGAGGTGGAGCCCTCCGCTGCAAGACCAGTGAAAGGTGGGAGAAAAAGGGAGTAAAACACTTTTTCAGTGCGACTGGAGCAGGGTCAGTCACCTAAACAGCCACTTCAGGACTATTCCAACAGACACCAGCAGATTCTAAAGAAATACACAGTGATACTATTTGTGTTGCTGTCTTAGTTCAGTCATAGATGTACAAATAAAATGAACTATTGCAGTAACTCTTTATACGCTTTTTACTGGATTAACAATTCCTCCAGGTCATAGGAGTATTTTTCGATCTTTCTATTATCACACCTGAAATATGTTCTAAAATGCATATTTGCCCATTAGTATTGATTTTGAACTAGTCAGGTGAAGGGACACAGTAAATTCGGTAACAGAATATGCCATCACAACTTTTGCAAAGGACAAAAAATAAACAAACAACTTTTTTTTTTCCTGCAAACCCATCCTGCAATCTGTGCCAACTATTGCTGCATTGTCCTCATTTTACCCCCAACTGAAAACAGAGGGCTCTTTGATACCAGATTCAGACAGTATAAGGTTTTCTACTAAACGCACTGTGACCTTAAAGACAGTCTCCATTCTGCCTGGCTGCGCCTAGACGTAATGACGACTAGCTTAGCAATACACTCACCTTAACAAGACCGCGGCTAAACAACATCTCCACCACCTCCTTCAGGATGGGCAGGATTCCACTGTGATGGATGCCGATGCCCCTTTTCAAGAGGTCCAGCATGTACAGTACCTGTATGGAGAATGGACAAACATAATTCGCCGATATCTGTATAAATGAACACACGAAGGACCAGATGCTTGCTTGCTATAAACATATCAAACAAATGAATAAATATTGATATGTAAACGGCAATTCTTCACTGGAGGAAAATAAACAAATCATACATGGAAATGAGTTACATTTTACGGCAAGGACACAGTCACATGACCATTCTATTTCTATGACAACCAACTCCTACAGTGGATACACACCTGGGGCAGCTGACGGTCCCCTCCACGCAGGCGGCTCAGGCACTTGGTGTAATAGGTTTGGACTTCACTTTTTTCCGATGTACTGCACAGATCCAAAGTGCTCAGCGCAGCAGCGTTTTGCTCACACCGTGAGCGCGAGAAAGTAAATATTACCACAGGGAGAGCATCGCGCTGCCGCAAAGACTGCACCAAAGACAGCCATGTGCCCTTATCCTACGGAGAAAACCCAGGGAAATAATTTAAACAAGCTTAAATCACTCATCGAATCAGGGCCCCTCTGTAAATGAAATATGCTGGCTGTCATTCACCCCATTTTTTGCCCTGATTCAGATTATACCTGGTACGTCACTGATACCATTCTGCACCCTCATGTGGATTAGACACTCATCACATTCTGTGCCCTGCTATGGGTTAAACTGATTATTGCTTGTCTATTCTATGCGCTGCTCATTAACGCTTGGGTCCTATTCCTAATCTGTGCTCACTGACCGAGTTTCTGTGATCTAACGCTTCCATTCTATACTTTGCTTCTTGGACTGTGTGAGCGGTTATCTACGCTTATATTTCACTTCTTCTGACTGTATGATCTTATTATTTCCCCCTATTTCCCTTCCTGTGACTGTGTGATCTTACTATTTCCCCCTATTTCACTTCCTGTGACTGTGTGATCTGACTATTTCCCCCATTTCATTTCCTGTGACTGTGTGATCTGATTATTTCCCCCTATTTCACTTCCTGTGACTGTGTGATCTTACTATTTCCCCCCTATTTCACTTCCTCTGACTGTGTGATCTTACTATTCCCCCCTATTTCACTTCCTCTGACTGTATGATCTTACTATTCCCCCCTATTTCACTTCCTGTGACTGTGTGATCTTACTATTTCCCCCCTATTTCACTTCCTCTGACTGTGTGATCTTACTATTTCCCCCATTTCACTTCCTCTGACTGTATGATCTTACTATTCCCCCCTATTTCACTTCCTCTGACTATATGATCTTACTATTCCCCCTATTTCACTTCCTCTGACTGTGTGATCTTATTATTTCCTCCTATTTCCCTTCCTGTGACTGTGTGATCTGACTATTTCCCCTTATTTCACTTCTTGTGACTGTGTGATCTTCTACTATTTCACTTCCTGTGACTGTGTGATCTGACTATTTCCCCCATTTCACTTCCTGTGACTGTGTGATCTTACTATTCCCCCTATTTCACTTCCTCTGACTGTGTGATCTTATTATTTCCTCCTATTTCCCTTCCTGTGACTGTGTGATCTGACTATTTCCCCTTATTTCACTTCTTGTGACTGTGTGATCTGACTATTTCCCCCTATTTCACTTCCTGTGACTGTGTGATCTTACTATTTCCCCCCTATTTCACTTCCTCTGACTGTGTGATCTTACTATTCCCCCTATTTCACTTCTTCTGACTGTGTGATCTTACTATTTCCCCTATTTCACTTCTTCTGACTGTGTGATCTTACTATTTCCCCCTATTTCCCTTCCTGTGACTGTATGATCTTACTATTCCCCCTATTTCACTTCTTCTGACTGTGTGATCTTACTATTTCCCCTATTTCACTTCTTCTGACTGTGTGATCTTACTATTTCCCCATGTGCTCCTGGCATTAACTTTCGATCATGTTAACTAACTTCCCACAGCACTCGGATCACTCTGCTTTGCACACAGTGAATAATGCCCACTCCCACCCAGTAACAATCTTTTGGGGTTTTATTGAGGTAATCGGCTGCCTCCAATTTACTCACATGACCAGCACCACCACCATGTGGGTGTCTTGCCCCAAACGTCTGAGAGTATTTTGATGACCTTTCTTTCTTGGCTTCAACTGCAGCATAGTACCTGAGCAAGACAAAACAGAAATGAGTTTTACAAATCCATTCCGAGACTACCTCCTTGATCTTCTAATCATACTGCCTTATAATTCCCTGTGTGACCTGTTAATACTAGCTAGCACCTGGAATTCTTGGTTTAACATAACATTCTCCTGTTTAATATACCAATATCTCATGCACCCACTTGTTACTTCACAGAGAAAAAATCAAAGAGAGATCTGTGAAATACCCTCTTATTCCAATTTGGGAATACACAGCTTACCCCAGTTTTGCCTGTTCTCAGAGTTCTCATATTTTGTGTTTCTGTTTTAAGGCATTAACCTGGCTCTCCCCAAGTAAAAGGGGTAATTCAAACGTGGAGCCAATGCTCACTGTGCATACAGGGGTATCAGCTATAGCTCGCTGACAAGGCCCATCGAAGGCCAAAACTATTATTTGGGGTTTCTGTATCTCTTGTGCAGAGAGAACCTGCCAGCATTTTGGTTCTGGGCTGATGTGTTGAATTAGTCTGATGTGAATGGTATAGGTTCACTCTGTAATGGCACAAGTGAGCAAAAACTGTTATGAGACCTGAGGGCAAGACCTGAGGGATTTACCGAAGGGCAAGCTACGGAGTTTCTCTAAGCTTTTTTCAGTACTCCGAGTTCTCATATTCTCTGTTTTGTAAATCCAGTAATACGTACATTTCCTTTGTGATAGGATTGAATTATTAATTTCTTCTGACTGACACCTCTCTATGCCAAAATCCTCAGTGACATTGTTTGCAGGTGAACAAAGTCAGGCAAATCTGGTGGATTAGTGATTATAAATTCAATACAGTAAGTTGGCAGCAAGTAAGTTAATAGCAGTCCAGAAAAATAAAATACATCACAGAACACAAATTATCATCTAAAGGGGAAATAAAAAAATTAAGCTGGCAACATCGTTATCATACAGGAAATGACATCAGAACGTAGGAGCAATAATCTCTGCCAAAACCAAAAAAGGGAGTGTAAAGGATTTCCCTGTATTTACCTGTACCCATTCGGTTATTTCCTCTCCCTGCTAGTTAAGTGCCTTTACAGTAGTAAATTTTATTTCTGTGCTTGGGACATTTATTCGTTCTACCGAACGGAGACCACCCTGGGTAGCAATCAGAACTTAGAACACCAAGTAACCACGAAAACCGCAGGTAATTCAGTGCTTCTAGGTGGCCGCCATTCGGCATACGAACACATGGCGAGAACAAAGGATGGCAGCCATCTTAAATCTCCAGAACGCGGCCAGCGGGACTTACTCGTGGATTGCCTGGAACCATTTTCGGCATGGCAATCACACAAACACCCGGTCTCCATGGAAGTCCCGTCTGACCTATTTCCACTCACAGTATCAGACTGGCGTTTGGGAATTTCAATCAACCGAATGAGGGGAGCATTCACATGTAACCAGATATCGTATAACTGTGGTAGTTTTCGTGTAATTCTGCACGAACGGAGACCGGCTCTTGCTACCAATTTCATGGAACTCTAACTCGGATACAACCACATGGCGAGCTGTTCAAACTTCCACGCGATGCAACAAGAAAACTACCGAACGGATTTTCACGCAATTTGGATATGTTACTCCCAGTATCCTCAGCTACCCAGGGATGTATATTATATTCCTATGTCATGTATAAAATATATTTCTAAAAATGTTGAAAATTGTTAATGTTTCTGGCCAGCAGATAATTGAGTAAAATTAAAGTAAAATTAAAGAATCGATCTTGCGCACCAAGAAACAGGAAGAGATATCAGGTGTGAATAGCACACCACTTGTGCGGTGTGACCCAGACAATCACTGAGTTTGTGTGCAAAGTGTAATTTTATGACTGTTCATATAAAGGCCATTGGCTGTTACAGATGACGGGGACCAAGCCTTACCCTTTTGTCTGAAATGCTCCAGACGCATCCTGCAGCAGGAAAAACTGATTCTGTGTCTTCTGGCTGTTCCCCGTGTACAGATAATGCTCCAATGGAACAGGTCTCCGCGTCGTGCTGATTACATAGATTTTTTTCTTTTTAATTCTCCTGGAAATAGTTGTTTTGGAGAAATCATGAAAAGTTAGAATTACTGAACCCTTCGAGTGTCAAATATGTGAGCACTGCTTAGCTTTCCACAATACTGCTGGAGGTTTTAAGAAAACATCTGTTTTATAGTATGTGTTGGAATATAGGAGGGGACTACGTTATGGTATAGATAGGAATACAGGAGGGGACTACATTATGGTATAGATAGGAATACAGGAGGGAACTGCGCTATGGAATAAATAGGAATATATACAGAGGAGACTGCACTATGTAGCATATAGAATTATAGGGGGACTCGGCGCTATGCAGTACAGCAGGAAGAGGCACTAGAAGATAGACCCAATGAATATTACAGACACTTACCCTATCCAGTCTGCAAACTCCACGGTATTGGGGACTGTGGCACTCAGCAGAATGATGTTCACGTGGTCGGGTAACATTATCAGAACCTCTTCCCACACAACCCCGCGCTGCAGAACCAGAGATATGGGGTTATGGTGTCAATAGCCTTGAGATGGGAAGGGGACAATAGCAGCTCATGTACTAAACAAAGACACCTACCTCTGCATCATTGATGTAATGAACTTCATCAAAGATGACCCACTCTAAATCTCTAATAACATCAGAGCCGTTATAAAGCATTGACCTGTGGGGAGAGGAAGAGAGATGTGGTAATTAAGAGAATCCACACAGAAAGCAGCCAGACAAAGTCTTCACAGAAAGCAGAGAGACAGGGCAAGTGTCCAGGCAGAAAGCAGAGAGAGAGAGAGAGAGAGAGAGAGAGAGAGAGAGAGAGAGATCACACAGAAAGCAGCCAGACAAAGAGCAAGTACACGTAGACTGCGTCATGTGAGAGAGTCTACACAGAAAGTAGAGAGAAGGAGAGAACATCCACTCTGAAAGCAGTCAGTTATTGAGATACAAACCGGAGAATCTCTGTTGTCATGATGAGACACGGTGCCCCAGTATAGAGCTGTACATCACCGGTAATCAGACCCACATCCCCAAACGTTATCTTGAAATCTCGAAACTTCTGATTGGATAAAGCTTTGATGGGTGAAGTGTAAATAGTCCTAAATCAGAGACAGAAGGGAAGACACCGATAGCACAGGAAGGATTCTGAGAATGGATGGATATGTGGAAAGGTAAAAATATCAATCATCATAAATCTGTGAACTGAATAACAGGAGGAGGGTCAGACCTCACAGGGAGACATGCAGACTCTGAACCTATAGGAAAAAAAATCACATAAGGACTAACAGTAAAATATACAAACCCTGCTACTCTAGGGCTGGCACAGTAACAGATACATGCCTTTCTACCTCTAGGACTGAAGATAGCCAGAATGTATCACCACTGAGACTAGGTAAAGAAAAGACCCTGACATCTCTAGAACGCACTAGTGAATATAAACTTCTAGAACTATTACCATAAAATATATAAAACCAGATACCACTAAAACTAACAAAGAACTGGCATAGATTTTACAAGTTGGAGGGTGGAGATGCTACATAAACTGTCACGTTTCACGTCCGCTCACCTGGTCATGTGTTTGAGAGACAGTGCTATAGCATATTCTGCCACCACAGTCTTGCCAGCTGATGTATGTGCAGCAATAAACACAGAGGAGCCAGCCTCCAGGCACTGAACAGCCTTCTTCTGAAAGGGGTCCAGCTCGAACGGGTGCTGCACAGGTGGAAGAAGAGCAGAGAGTTTAGTCTTGATTCTAAGCACAGGTTACAGATACTGCAGAGCCCAATGCACAGCCTGTTACTGAAAAGCAAATCAATATTCAGAAAATTCACTATTATCCTAGTGAATGGAATTTTACCTTCAGACATCTCTGTCCAGATGATTCTCCTACATATATTTTTTACTGACACTGTGAGTGAGCAGTCCAGTAATGAACATGTTGAATAATTACTGGTCTTAAAATTAGGACAGGAAGAATACACGTTGCGTTTAACAACTTTAGTGCTGGAGATTTATTTTAACTAACTTATTTCTAAGCCTCCTTAGGGTTAAAAGGTCTCTGGTCAAAAACCTTTAAGTATACCGTTTACACTACACATTGAAGGGGCCGGTTATTTACTTACCTAGAATGTTTGGAGAGTTGACAAGGCAATTGCAAATTGTTTGCAAAATATTCCTGGTTCACATATAAATCCTATATTGTGGTATCCGAGCAGGAGCGATGTTACTTGAACAAACATTATCTTTATATATTGTTTTAGCAGTAAATGGGCCCTGCCATACATAAAAACGATAGATGACGAGGTCACCTTCAGGTAGGTACACAAACTGTATCTATACACTATATGCATTCATAAAATGTAAAATTACAGACAAACCAAATCAGTGTACTAATTAATAACCATTTCTTATATATGTAACGGACCGTTTTTCCCACAAGAGGTTAAAAACCGTTTAGGCGATATTCCCCTTTTTCAGATGTACAGACAGCTACTGCAAACCCACGAATTCACCAACTCCCGAACTAGAGACACACGAATAGCTGTTAGCAGATGAACAGGAAAAGCCCCCAAGCGGCTTACACTCCTGGCAATCAGTCTCGAACAGCATACAGTAAATCCTCCCCAAAGACGAGACGACACTTCGTTTTGAGGGTCAAGCAGAATCTGGTTTACTGGGGCTAACTGATCGGCTTTTATGCAGGTCTCCCACCTGGTGGACACTCCCCTAGGGGACCAAATGGGAAACTGGGAAACATATTGGCTCTTAGCCAATCACAGACATAGACCTTTAAACACTCTCACAATTACATCACAATCCCTCCTCTCTGTCCTGGAGATAATTGGGAAGTAATCCACTTATCTTCCAGGACAGAGGCAAAACTCCATTAACCACATGGTAGTAACAATACAGTAAAAGACCTAAAATTACATACAGCCACATTTATTACCTAAAACATATACATTCTACATATCCCCAGATAGCTTAGATCTGAGCGCACATTACTACCGAATGGCGCTCAGATCACATACATACAGTTCAATCGCCATGGAGCCAAAGTCTTTCCCATAGTCTTTCGTTACACGAATAGGCTCCATGGCTTAGCTATCTGGGGGATGCTGTTCATCCGGCGAAACTACCGAATGAACAGTCATTCGGTTCTGCTTACCGAATGGGAAGGTAAGGAGGCTGGCGGCTCAGCGGTGTTCGCGCCAATAAGTGTCCGTTTTCAGTTCCATAGTTTGGGCGCTGAACACCGCTGGCCGTTCGGGAGGTAAAATGGCCGCTGCCACGTGTTCGGCAGACGAACAAAGGCCACCCAGCGTTCATCAATTAAGCTGCGGTTAACCGCAGCTTCTGGGCGGTCAATTGACGGCACACTCCAGCTCCCAGGTGGTCCATCGTTCGGTAGTTTGTTCGGTAGATGGAATCTACCGAACACCCTGGCAGAAAGGCACGAATAAACCTTTCAGCAGGGAGAATAACAGCTCTGAACTGCAGGGCCATAATCTAAAGGGAGCAGGCGAGGAACCAGGCTTCTCCAGTGCACAGTGGCGAGGTTGGTTCTGCCACAATATACATGAGTAGCAGGAAGTCTGCTCAGATTATTACATGTAATTACATTCTATACACAAACCTTAAACGCCAGCTGGGGTATGAGCTTATAGAAATCTGCTACAGGATCATTACTGTTCAGAGGTACAGCCCAGTGCTCAACAGCGACATCTGCTTGAGGGGTCAGGGAAGCGGGGGCCGGAGGAGAAATGGTCTGAAAAACAGAATGAAAACAATTTACAGATAAAATTGGCAAGGAGGAATGAAAAACAGTCTTAAAGTTCACCTCTATGATCCCCACCCCTATGTTTTTGATAATGTGGTCCTTTTGGCTGGTGGGACACTGACTCAGCACCGACTTTCCCCTTCCCTTTCAGATTCCCCCACCCTTTTTGGATTCCCAGCCAACTCTTCGTTTTAGTTTCCTTACCCTTCATTTTTTATTTTTTGTTTTATTTATTTACAATTCTTTTTTCTGTGTAAGATATTAAAGTATTAGGGGTTACCCCCCATTTTCACCTACTACCACTAGACTGTTCACCCTGAAATTTAGGCTCGACAAAAGCTTCTATAGTTCTATAGTTTCCTTCCCATTTTCTCTTATAAACAACATTCTGCTCTTTCTTCTCATAATACAAAAACGAGACTATCACACAGAAATGTTACATTAAAGCGCTATGATTTTTTTTTTTTTTTTTTTAAGGTGCCCAGAAAAATGTATTTTGCTGAACTATCCACTTGTATACCATGCATCTGTAATCAATGAATCCAAGCTGTAAGGAAAGCGGGGTATGCAATAAACCTGCAGCTCAGAGGCTGAGCCCAGCAGGCACCCTGTATACTGGCAGAATGCACAACAGTCCAAGATATATTTGGCTGATTGCTGCAGATTGCCGTAACAATTATTGTAGAAGTACAAATCCCATAATGCTTAGCCAGTCTAAAGGCCACAGATCCACAGCTGGATAGCTACATCATGGGAAGAGGCAAAGCTAGGATTTACACGATATATCTCATTGGAATGCCAAACAGAACCTCGGAACAGCCGTCAAATTCTTCATTTCTTTTATTTAGTCAATACCAATAATGAGTAAAAGTGTAACGAGCTCATTGTTCTTCAAATACTTTGAATGATTCATTCAGATCTGTTAATGTCCAGTCAGGGTTAATGTGTGCCGTCAGATGGAATATTTTAGAAAGTTTCAAACTATATGGCGCACATTTTAAACCAGGACCAGCCCTGTATAGCATATCCTGTTTTTTCTAATAGGCATCACAAATTTAAATGAATGAACCTGCAACCCTATAGCTAATACACATTAAAACATTTTAATGATCGCAAATTCAGTGTTCCCAAAATATTTACCATAACTCCAAGCTCCTCCAGGCTGTCACTCCTGGTCAATGCCACCTTCTTCTCCTCCTTACAAGTCTGATCACTGCCTTTCCCTTCCTCCTCATCCTCGCTGGAGTCACCCAGAGAGAAATCATCCAGGGCCCCTAAAAGGCTGGTGAGAGGTAGAACCCCCAGGGAGCGCCCAGAATCTGAAAAATAGCAGACAAATTAGCTTTGTAGTGTTTTAGGTGATATTTAATAGGAGTCTTAACATTATTGTGAACTATATCCGCTTGTGCGGCTTCTGTGTCATCCTATAACCTCTACATTGGATATTAAAGTTAATGGAATATTGTGCTTGATTACATATTTTATTATACGTTGAATCACCTGTCAGTCTGAAATTCATTCCTTGTTTCCATCCAGGAGGAACAGTCAGGAGATCTATTAAGAAGAAACATAAATATGAATACAATTGAGATTGTTTGGATTTTGACATTAAAGGGCAATGAATGAAAGTTCTAGAAGACTGGATTTGTCCAATAATCAGGAGTAAAAAAATTTTTTTTTTGTTTTTTTTTGTTTAAATCATCCTTATCACAGTTTAAAATACCTGATTCCATCATTCATCAGCCCTTAAGGAGAAAAGTCTATGTAAAACTGCTGGAAATGGGGGCGGGGCTGGCTGCCGAGCGGGACAGTCGCAAGCGGGCTCAGCTCCTGCTATGCATATGGCAAACTACCTAAATACAGACCGACAGCACGTGTCTTCAGTGCCACAGAGGCACCGGATCCAGGGAGAGGCTGACTCCTGGAGCTTCAGTCCCCGGAAGGTGACGCCCTCGATGACCAAGTGGGGGCCTAAGCCAGTGGTGAGAGGGGCAGACGGCCGCTGCCCCTCTATCCTGACCACTGGTGCCGATCCTAACCCAGAGGCTATGCAACCATTGCCTAAAGACAAGGCCATCCCGCTGAAGGGCCTGAACGTGACACCCAAGATGGTGGATGCCATGTGCGCCAAGTACAGCAGTCCCTTGCGGAGAACAGAGCGACCAACAAGGCCTCCAGAAACGGGCCCAGGGGACCGAAAGAGCCCAGGTCCACCATACCAAGCACCGCAACCCCCCAAGCAATCGCTCAACCACCCACTCCACGGGACATGTCGCAGGCAAGCAACGGCAGACGCCTGGCCGGACCCATCATGGCTGCTAAACTGGTTCATACCACACACTGTATACACCTGCCAGCGACTGCCGTCCCTGCAACAGAACAAGGTACTCCCACAGCAGGGCCGACCGTATACTCACCCTACGTACATCAGGCAGCATGGCGGCCTAGAAGAGTATCTCACAATGCCCCCCAGCAGCCAATCATCCCAAACAGCGCCCGAACCTCCTCCCTAACAAACACTCACCTCCAGACGTCCGGAAGGTGTGCTCTGGGCTGCTTGGGGAAGCTGCCCACGAGACACCAACAAAGAACACAGCGACACTCCTGGAGAAGCACTGCCCGAACCCCTACCTCAGTGGACACTCATACCCGGTCACACCAACACGGCAGAGCTGGCGTCGGTTAAGCACAAGCCCAAGACCACTAGCAAGGCCTCGGGCCCACCAAGCCGAAGGCCCCTGGAGCATTAATCAACTCAAGAACTCTAGTTCAGCCAGGGTGATATAAACACTCGTAAAATAACGTTTAATACCAGCGTGTTTACATTTAGATTTTCTCAGTATAGCATATCGTTTAACTCTTTCCATATAATATATAGGCATGCTTCCAATCACCTAGATCACTCATGTACCCCTACTCAGATACAAATGTAATCTTATGATCTGCCAAACATGTAGGACAAATGTAGATCTAGATACAGCAGTGAGTTGTTAGGCTAAAATGTATAGTCGTGTCTATAACTATATTCCTAGACGAACATAGCCCGTGAACCCTCAGACGTACCTAATCCATAAAATCAATATGTGCCACAACTCGTAGACTACAGCATGCAATAATCTGAAACACATACCTAATGCAACTAGCATTACCACTCCGTTATTTTCTCTTAAAAATAAATAAATAAAGGTTTGCCATTGAATGCCTGTGCTCGCTTTCATGGAGCTACAGGTGTTTATGTTATATGATATTATGCATATGAAAAATAAAGAATTAAAAAAAACAAAAAAAAAACTGCTGGAAATAAAAATAAAAAGTCCAGCATTCCTTTGGATATCTTGATTTCAATGGAATTCCAATCACATGGTATACACAGTTTTTCATAAAGTTTCAATAAGTGCACTTCTTTCTGCATAAAAATACATCTAATTTTGCCATTATTTGATTTACAATAACGTTAAAAAAAGTTTAATATTTTCCGATTTATAACACAACCTATATGAGGTCTTTCACTATCTTCAAAGTGCTGTACAAGAGGCACAGCCGGGGCATTTCAGGTAAATCAGCCTCCAATCCAGAATAACCTTACCATCTTGGAATAAAAACAAACTTATGGCGGTGGAATCTTGCAGGTTAATACAGAAAAGCACTGTGTGCAAATACACTGTATGTTTCGCTTGTTGTGCATATTATACAAGCTCTCCTTCACATTCTTCTACTTTCTCCCTTCTTTTACTCTTTATTTCCTCCATTGTTGAGCCCCAGACATTTACCATCTATCACGATGTCCATTTTCGCTTCTATGTGCCCTGATTCGCATGTGCGGCTAATGCAGATACGCAGAACTACAGAACATATTGGGCGAAAAACTACCAGGATGCGCACATGCATGGAATACTCATCATTTCAAGGACAAAATGGGACATGCGGGTCGGCCCTGCCAGGATTTTAACCTGTGACCGATTGGTTGGGCAGGTTCTGCTGGTGGTACGTCGGCCCACTGAGCTATCTAATGATAGCGATCCTTCCCGAACGGCCCACTGAGCTATCTCACTGGCAATGATAGTGATTCTTCCCGAACTGCCTGATATACATGAGTCACGTCACTTCAGGTCACGGATCGAAAGGAACAGGAAGCAATACAAATTTTCTAAACTCACCAATGGGAATTGATATGTTAATTTAGACTTGAAAGGAAGCCAATGAATATTGTCATACACATGTGTATTATGTGTATGTATTAATTATTTGCCAATATAAACTGATATTATGTATTCACAAACCACCCTTCTGATGAAACCATTCAGGGTGAATCGTGTAAAGTGTGGTCTGTCTTCCATTTGGACTGATTTTTATATTTATAATCCTTTTAACCTCTTAAGGACACATGACATGTGTGACATGTCATGATTCCCTTTTATTCCAAAGGTTTGGTCCTTAAGGGCTTAAATATAAATGTAATTTATTTTGAATTTTGTTGGCTTCCTGATCCACATATATCCCAGGTGGGGATCATACCACCAAAGCACTTTATACTAGAGCAGGTCCATGCTCTAGTTCATGTGAGTAAGATACCTACCGTTTCATCTATGCACTACCACTTTGATATACATATTGCACTACTGAATATCCCAATTTTTGTCTTCACATATTCGAGACACAGATAAAGTCTACCACCACTGTAGCTGAAAATATATCCAGTGACGGGGATTGTACCGTCTACGCCCTACACAGCAGAGCTCTTTGAAGCTCTATAAATTGTGAGTGAGTTTTTGCTATAGCACTCTACTTCACTGTGTAATAGACATACTGCACTATTATTGTCTCTCTTTTTCCTTTTTCTTTGAGATACCATGCACTGTATAACAACCAAAGACTTCATAGACTTTTAACAAAAGTACGTACATATAATTTATATTTGACTTCACTTTTAGACATTATTGTGTTCTAAGGCGGGGCGAGGTTATCTACTTTTTGTATTAATATAGAAAAGCGCCAGTACCCTTTTCAAAGTCCAAGGCTTCCTCTTCCTCACCAATGGTCTTCATCTGCTCAAGAGTAGGTTCATCCATTCCACCTATGAGTGACAGTGCGAGAGAGATAAAAATAACAGGTCAAAGATACCTTCTGCCCTTTTCTTCTCAATGACTGCAACTGGATTACCCCCTTATGTGGGTAAACTTACCGGGCCAAAATGGAAAATTTGACGTGCTTCCTTTGACAGACTGGGAAGGAGGGCCAGGGGGACGGCGGAGGGAAAGAGAATTTTGAGCTGAGAGTCCAGCATGATTCACCAAAACCTGAAAAGGGAATAAAATATGCAAGAGAGAGAGAGCGTGCGCACGCACGCGAGAGCAATACAGGAAGGAGAGAAAAGAAGGAAACACTTTATCCTGCTTTATCCTGATAATAAATATCACTAAAAATAAGATTTCAATTTTGTTTAAATAACGTGAAGTTTCTTCTGCCTCATGGCTTTCTGAACAAGTGCAATGTTCTTATAAATACCACGTTGCACACTAACATAAATAACTTCATTATTTATCAACGCAGTAGTGAATATGTCCCACCTCATTGATCCCAAGTAATTCTCCAGTAGCAGAGTTCCGTTCCACACTGAGTTCCATGTGCGGGGAAGTCAGTTCCATGTGATAAAGAGACTGTATATTCATTGTTCGAGGCCAGGCCCTAAAGGATCCAATGAGACACACAACTGAAAATCTCAACTCCCAACTCAGGCAGAAAGCCTTAGAACCAAAAGGACAGACACAAGGTTTGATCCACAACCTGGAATCTCCTTTACTAGTACAATCTCTGATCAGAGCCTGGAATCTCTATACTTGCATAAAAGGGGATGCATGGCTGGGAGTTTCCAAAATAGTACAAGATGGGATGCAACCCTAGAATGTCTATATTAGCACAATAGATATGTAATGTCTAGGTAGACCGCATTATGGTGTACACATTCCATCGTGCAGGCACATGATGGGATTTATGTAACTGGATATGTACAAAAAGGGGATACATGTACAGTGTAGAATAGACAGGGCAGAGGAATTAGGACACACAGCAGCGTCTACACCTTCTCCAGGGTCAGTACAGTTTACAGATTAATGGGCTCATACATACCGCTCGCTCCGATCAAAGTGATGAACGGACAGCCAATCAGGATCGCCAAGATACTTCTGGATAACTTCAAAAGACACATCCACATCATATGGAGGCAACCCATTGGGGACCTAAAACAATGACAGAGTTTACCATCAGTAAAAAGCACATTGCATGATGCAAATCCAGAATCAGAGCCACATCTACAGCCCTCAAAACACTACATATAATACTGTGAAATAATACAAACAGGTATGTCTACAGAAGTGATAAAATTGCTCTCAACACCAGTGAGGTATCCCCTACACCTTCACATAAAATGACATATAATACACAAAAAAATAGGTGGAGCAAGTGATAATAATAGTAAAATGTACTTCCCTCTCTTCTACCTTTCTTGCTGTAAAAGATAGAGAGGTACAAGATAGTGCAGATATTTCTTATACACAGAATATATAAAAAAAAAAACAAATCTTATGCACTCACAATGGAAGAGCCATAGATTAAAACCTGGCTCTGGTGTGAATCTCCTCTGGGATCTTAATAGGGTGATCCCCAAACCTCTTTGATGGTGCTTGTTGAAGTGTAACTTCTTTTTCTTTTTCTTTCAATACCAGGCAATGGAGATAAAATATATTCCAGAGAAAAAATATTTATTTGAAAAGAAAATTAATAAAATCAATATAAATAATATAAATATAAGGGTAAGACCTCCCAGTGTTCAGTAAGCTTGCCAAAACGCGTTTCGCCGGTATGTGGCTTCCTCAGTTGGCATAAGGTGGTAATGTTCTCTAAGTTCTTTAAACGGAAAGATGGAGAAGAGAGTCTGAAGGTCTTTCTTAATTTTTTAAACAATAATGAATGGGGGATTGTTTTAACCTCCACATACAGTACTCATCATATTGACTTTTTAGATTTAGAAATTTTTATATATATTTTATCTCCAAGTCGATGCGTTCCATCAAACGCTTTGTATTTTCGGCGAAACCGGAAGTGACAGAGACATTCCGGAAACCGGAAGGAGGCGGTGGAATGCATAGATGCGTTCCACCGGAAGAAAATTACCCGCGATTTTTAAATATTTAAAGAACTTAGAGAACATTACCACCTTATGCCAACTGAGGAAGCCACATACCGGCGAAACGCGTTTTGACAAGCTTACTGAACACTGGGAGGTCTAACCCTTATATTTATATTATTTATATTGATTTTATTAATTTTTTTTTCAAATAAATATTTTTTCTCTGGAATATATTTTATCTCCATTGCCTGGTATTGAAAGAAAAAGAAAAAGAAGTTACACTTCAACAAGCACCATCAAAGAGGTTTGGGGATCACCCTATTAAGATCCCAGAGGAGATTCACACCAGAGCCAGGTTTTAATCTATGGCTCTTCCATTGTGAGTGCATAAGATTTGTTTATTTTTATATATTCTGTGTATAAGAAATATCTGCACTATCTTGTACCTCTCTATCTTTTACAGCAAGAAAGGTAGAAGAGAGGGAAGTACATTTTACTATTATTATCACTTTCTCCACCTATTTTTTGTGTATTATACTACAAATAATACTGTTTAACACAAAATCATGGGTAGAACATATTAATATTATAATTAACATACTGTGGATAGCGGAAAGAATGATCCATTCAATTTGGGATTTTCGGTGATCAGTTCCATTCTCCCAGCAACACCAACTTCAAGTATGGAGAGCGGGAGATCCAGTGGATCCCCTGGAGGGAGATCTGTAATAACAATAATATGAAAATGGATTAGAACTGTGGAGAACAAAATGCAATTTCAGTGAATATCTTAGAGAGTGAGAGAGAGTTATAGAGAGAGATGAGAGATTCTGTGACAAAATACATGCATTTTAGTCGTGGAATCAGACAGTTCTCAGTGATGTGAAAATAGGAAAAAGGAGAGATATTGGGGTTGCGATAACAGATTGAGATTGACATCACAGAATAATAGCACAATCTGTGTCAGACACGGGATGCTGTAATACTGTCAGAGAGTTCAGTCTCTAGTGAGTTCCTCTTTGAGTACTGAATTGCTAGGACTTCAAAGTAAATTTCATGCAGCTGACTTGGAGATTTTTTTCGGTTCCACGATTGTGGCCTAAAATTTGAAATTCACTTTGAATTACAGTCAAATTACTCTTTTGTCCAGAGTCATCACGTAGTAGGGCAATCAAGTGGCAATCAAGAGGGGGTGTAACAGGGTGGCTCTCACACCTTAACTGGATAGCCTACTGAAGGTACGGATCGAGGGTATGGAGGGAGATGGGACCACGTTAAGCAGTACTAACCTGGAACTTAATAGTCACCAGGGGCATATTGTATTTCCACTCATGGTTTGTTAATCTTTATACATGAAACACGATTTTCCTTTACACCTCTGTCAGGTGCAGTTATTGAACATTAATTGCTCCAGTTACTGCTCATAACTATACATGGGTCTGCCAGCTCCCTACTGTCCCGCTACCTTTCTTTGAGAATGGTTCAGCAAGACATGAAATAGTTATCAGATAAACTTTGCCAACTTTGGAAAAATAATAATAACATTAACAAAAAAATAAATAAATGACCCATTAGTAAATAATCCCGATTGTAACTCACAATATGAGAGTGGAATTAACACTAGGTTATCGATGCTGTAGTGTATTTAACCCGGGAATCAGGCAGAAATCAGTAGGCTTATTAAACAAAGGGGAGGGTATTAAGAATCAGGGTGAGATCACAGTCAATACAATCAGAGATAGATCAGGGGTATGGTAGTCGAAACCTGTTTAATATGGAGTCAGGAAGGGATCAGGGGTATGGTAGCAGAACGTTGTGTAAATATGGAATCTGATGGTTATCAAGAGTGAAATTACTAATGTGCTGAACACTATTACCAACACGTAAAATGACGATTAGAAATCTCAAAGTAGTGAAAAAAAGAAAGATCTGGGAAAATAAAAGATATTTACTTGTAGTGTAAGTCTTACCTAGCTTGCTCATGATTCTGTAGGTTGTGTGGCTCTCATTGAGAAATAATGTGTCTGGAATAAAGTAAAAAACAAGATGGAAAAACATTAATAAAAATATGTCAACTCATCCATTCAGTAATCTGTCCATCCATCCATCTCTCTGTCTAGCAATCTGTCAATCCATCCATCCATCTCTCTGTCTGGCAATCTGTCCATACATCCATCTCTCTAGTTATCTGTGCCCGTCCATCTATCTCTAGTTTCATGTGGATCCATTCATTTATCTAATTAATTCATCTAAAGTATCCTAAAATCAGTACTCGAGATTTTAAATTTAAATCTTTACTATGTTAATATAAACTGAATGAATAAAGATGTATTTGGATACAAGTACTGTAAATTGGATAATTTATTTGTATGGTTGCACTGAGCTCTGCATACAAAGATAAGAGGAAGAGGAGTGTAAGACTAAATTTTAAGTATTTATTGGTCTAATCATCCATCTCTCTCACAATTTATCTACCTATTCATCTACCTAGCTGCGCATGGATCTACCCATTGACTATCCATTAAGTTCTACCCAACGATTAGTCTATCCACACACCACGCTATCCAGCTATTTATCTATCCATCCACCGCTCTACCTAGTGTTACATCTACCCATCTCGTTTGGTATCCATCTTCCTAACATCGATCAGCTCTCTTTTGGTCTAACATTTCCATTTCTCTAACCTATTTATCATAATTCATGGTTTAGTGAAGAGTTCCAACAATTGTACAGTGCTACGGAATTTGCAGGCGCTATATAAATAATATAATAAGAATAAGAATACATAAAATGGCCAGGACTGGTTTGCCAGTTTAGCCAGTGATAATATCACCCTGCCACCATGTATCAGGGACACAGAGTGACATCACTGGATCATGTTAAGAATCAATAAAAATATATATTTATAGTTATGGCTGCTAATAATACACCAATACCAGCTGGTGCAGTAAATACAACTTTTAACAGCTCATGCAATCAATAAAATACCATAACAGCCCTGGTGTCATCCTATACACCTCTCTTATGACCATTCTAGTAAAAATATCTATTTTAAATCATTTAAGTTTCAATGATTTGTGAGGAATATAAACTGATTCGAGTCTATGTTGCAAAGTGGTCAGTAATGTCACATTGCTATCAGTAATTGCAATAAAAATGCTGGAATCATAGAAATGTAAGCAGAACTTATAAATGCCAAACGTGAATTGCAGCATTAATGGCAAGTAATCGCCCATTACCCTCCTAGTGAAAATCCAAGAGTCTGCCTGGGTGTCAGTGCAGTGGGAAAACCAACATGGCGGAAAAGACATGGACGTGACGTCAGAGTGTGGCGGAAGTAACTGTCTACACGTCGCAATACAGCCCTAGACATAGAATATGCATCTAATGGCGTGAAGCAACACGCGTGAGAATACCTTTTATTAAGGTCTAAACAAAAGAGACTTAAAATTGGTGGTTGGAGCCATTTTATTGGAGCCACCCGAGCTCCCCAGCAGCTTATCTTTGGTCTCCAACAAAATGGCCGACGACATAGACCAGTGTGTGGTTTCTCTAGTACATAGAGTACTTTAGTGAAATGGAACTCAATATCAGTATGGCAGCTCTGTGGCTTGGTTAATAAATCATTTTGAACTGGATAGCCCTGATTTAATATGCAGGGTCAACAGTCAAGCTGTTTCCATCTATTACTATTGTGGGAATGCAACAGAGATGGCCAGAAATTTATAAAACTACAATTCCCATCATGCTTTGCCAGTCTCTGATCTAACATAGAAGCCTAGGATTTACAGATCTGTAGCAGCTGGGAGGTCTATATTTTGGCAATCCCTGGAATAGATAAATATAAACATACACGCTTTTATCTCTTTATTGCAAAGTTGTGCAATTCTTGTAACATCCAGTGTGTTCATATCTGTAGTAAAAGTGAAAATATATAGAACAGAGAGTGCCAAAGTATGAGGCGTGGTGTGTGCTATTAATTTACTTCTTCAGAATATTACTAAATAAATGTCACAGATTGCTACATGTTTCTCTCACTTTGTTATCCTTCAAACACAGTTCACTGATTGCTACACAATTTACTTTCACTTAGCTCTTCTTCTAACAAACAATTCAAAGGTTGCTTCATGTTTTACTTCTGCTTCAAACATTTCACAGATTGCTACATGAGTTATTTTCATTTATTTCTAAAGCTAAACAGCCTGTCCCACCCTATTGCTTCATTTAAAGCATGGTGTATGGCACACAGTGATGTGAAGAATTTCAAAAATTCCCAAGACAACTTTAACTTCAAGATACACTCCAGACACCAATAAAACTTTAATACATTTGAATGATTTTGGCCTCATTAACACGCTGTGATTTTTCTGCATGTTTAAATCTTTATAGTTATTGCTGCCCCTTACTTTGAACTGCGAGGAAGAGGCTGTTTTCTGTCTATGTCTTTTAAGTACCAAAATACTGTGCAATGGCTATGACATACAATTGACACTGACACTGCTTAGGAACACAATAGGCACCAAAACAACATTAGCTTAATAGAGTGTTTCTTTTTGTGTTTAGAACATGCCCCTGCAGTGTCATTGCTCAATTCTCTGCCATTTAGGAGTTACATTGCTTTGTTTATGCAGCCCTCGTTACACCTCCCTGCTTGCGACTTACACAGCCTTCCTAAACACTTCCTGTAGAGAGTCATCTAATGTTTACACTTCCTTTATTGCATAGGCTGTTTCAATTATAATTTATCAGCTCCTGCTCTGTTAATAGCCTTTTAGAACTTGCAGGAGCCTCCTGTGGGTGATTAAAGTTAAATTTACAGATTAGGAGACAAAAACTTTTTAAACAAGTTGACATCTAAACAAAACTGGAAACTTTTTTGTCATACTGAAATTCTGGTCTTTCCTCCCTCAAGTGTTGTTACTCCTGTGTCTGTCTCCCAACAAGTTAACGGTGCTACCATCAGCTCCACCACGCAGGCTAGCTGCCTAGGTGTTGTCTTTGACTCCGACCTCTCCTTCAAGCCTCATGTTCAATCTATTGCCAAATCCTGTCATTTCCATCTCAAAAACATTGCGCGCATCTGTCCCTACTTAACGCCAGATGCGACTAAGGTGTTGGTCCATTCCACTATCCTTTCTCGCCTTGACTACTGTAATCCGCTTCTCAGTGGTCTTACGTGCTCCCAACTTGCGCCGTTACAGTCCATAATGAATGCGGCGGTGAGGCTCATCTTCCTGTCCGCCCGCACCTCCCATGCCTCACCCTTCTGTCAGTCCCTACATTGGCTTCCTATAAAATATAGAGCTCAATTTAAAATTCTGGTTCTTGCTTTCAAATCTCTACATAATGCTGCTCCCACCTATCTATCCTCCCTTATACACAAGTATGTCCAGTCTAGGTCCTTACGATCTGCTGAAGACTTACGTCTATCTTCTGTCCGTACTCCCACCTCTGATGCTCGCCTTCAAGATTTCTCGAGGGCTGCACCGTTCCTGTGGAACTCTCCGTTAGATGCTCACCCACTCTCCACTCCTTCAAAAAAATCGTTAAAAACCCACTTCTTCATAAAAACGAATCAATTAAACTGTTAATAGCGCCTGACTGATTCCTCTTCTGCAACTGTCACTAGTCTAATACTATCCTTACCTTTTTGTGTCAGTATACCCCACTCCCTCTAGCATGTAAGCTTATTGAGCAGGGCCCTCAACCCCTCTGGTCATCTGTGTCCAACTTGTCTGGTTACAACTATATGTCTGTTCGTCCACCCATTGTAAAGCGCTGCGGAATTTGACGGCGCTCTATAAATATCATAATAATAATAAATAATAATAATTATACAGGTATGTATCAGTGGCAGCCAGGGGAGGTGTGGCTAGTGCTGTATAAACAGAAAGAAAAGTGATGTAACTGTTAAATGGCAGTGAACTGAGCAGCGAGGCTGCAGAGGTATGATCTATACACCAAAACTGCTTCATTAAGCTAACATTGTTTTAATGCTTAGAATGCACCTTTAACTGAGCTTACATATGTGGAATTGTTGCTTCATTATGCTCATTGGAGACATTCTGTGAATATTTATCACCAAATTAAAGTAGACTGTTATTCATATAAATATAAAAATAAATTATCTTTTGACTAAAAATAATGAGAGAGGGGGGCAGGGCCAGGCATCCAAGATGGCTGGTCATGCTTTTGTGTAGCTCCGACTGGTCCGAGCAAATAAAGCCTGATATCTACTGATTCTACTATACAATTTGGCTCCCAGGCATAAGTAAACAACCTGCATGCAAAACAAAATCCCTTTTGTCTGGTTCCTGGTGTCCTGAGCGAATACCATCTCACCATCTCCAGCCTTGAGGCCTACTGGGACCGGCATGTGGCGATCTTCTGGTGCTGTGCGCACACCCCACAGTTGATAATCTGCAGCCCCGTTACCCCCTCCTTTGGACCGGCGGGGGTTATCCCAGTCCCCACTGGGCCAAACTGCTTTTTTAACCCCTTAAGGACACATGACATGTGTGACATGTCATGATTACCTTTTATTCCAGAAGTTTGGTCCTTATGGGGTTAAAACAAAGCTTGTGATCCCTGCACTTTGTGACTGCGTGGCGTGTCCAAAATGGCCTTCGCATCGTATCCTCTGCAATGTCATGAAGGCCTCAAGAGTCAGACGTGGGAAGACAGCTTCAGCACATGGGTTGATGCTCTCTGTCGGGTCTTTTGACATCATATTGAAAGCAGACTTATCTTATGAAAGTTTTTAGAAAATTGGGCAGACTAGATGGGCCGAATGGTTCTTATCTGCCGTCACAGTCTATGTTTCTATGTTTCTATGTTTATCCACTCCGATGGCTCCACAGCAGACAGTAGTAGCAGAAACACCACCATGTCCTTCTACTGGGCCGAAGGTCCATGTGGTACTAACGCCAAGCTGCCATTCTTTTGTCCGAGAGATCCTCAGCAATGTCATGAAGGCCTCAAGAGTCAGACGTGGGAAGACAGCTTCAGCACATGGGTTGATGCTCTCTGTCGGGTCTTTTGACATCATATTGAAAGCAGACTTATCTTATCCACTCCGATGGCTCCACAGCAGACAGTAGTAGCAGAAACACCACCATGTCCTTCTGCCGGGCCGAAGGTCCATGTGGTACTAACGCCAAGCTGCCATTCTTTTGTCCGAGAGATCAGCTGCCATTTGGAGACCCTAAGGGCTAGCGATAATGCCACTGGAAGATGGTGGAGCTTTGGATTCGAGGTGTCGGCCTCCTCCAAGACCTGTGGCCGAAGACAGGGGGACTTATGGCGCTACAAGCTTCTCCTTTATCAGCACTGGGGCACTCAGCAACCACTACCTCGCCTGTTGAACAAGAGTTGGGATAAAGATCCTGCTGTGGAGATTGACTCTGGCCACCAAATCTTGGTGAGCCCTTCCTGTACCAAGAGCAACAAGATCCTGCCTCAGTGTCCTGAGCCTTCACATCCAATCTATACACCAGAGACACATTTTTCTCTTCATTATACTTTTGTTTAGTTTATCTAGATTCTTTATACCCAGTGGCTCTTAGTTTAACTTGTTTCATCGTGAGTACTGCATGTGATAATTGGCCTAACTCTACATGTCCTTGTTTTATCCTCTTGATTACGCTGTCTCTGACCTGACTACCATGCGGACATGACACTTTAGCCTGCTTATATCTTGCTACATGTACTTAAAAAATTAAACAGTATTCTTGTTTCTCTGCCTGTGATATCTAACTTAAAAAGTGCAATAGAACCTCTGATTCCCACATCCCAGATTATTTGTCTGGTATCCTTCTTCTTGGGAACGTCATAAGTAAATATCAAAAAGCAGCCAAAAGCAACGGTATACATTGGCAAAAATTCTCACCATGGCCAATAATTCTTGTTCATTAAAAACCAAAGAAATAAATTACTTATCCCACTATCCCCATCTCCTACGCACATTTAAATAACTGGAGGTTTTTCAACATCACTCCAATGGCCACTCCAGTGCTGCCCATACCCCATGTGTTCACTATTAAGGGTTAATAAGTATGCAGAGGTTGAAGAAAATACCCCTCCCTGTCTCCTTACAGATTTTGCCTTTTAGCTAAATTAATTTTGGTTAATCGTTAGACTACGATTTTGCCTTTGCCTCCAGTTATTAAAATTGATCTGGGCTAATGCCTAAGTAACTTTTTACTTTGTTTTTTATTTTTTTTTTGTATGTATTTGGGCTGATGTATACCATAGTTATTGCTGCTGCCAGTGGTAGTGGGAATTTGAGTGCAGGGCTTTATTTTGTATGTGTGTAATTCTTGTTCATTGACACAAAATTAAATAGTATTATTGCTCCCAGTTAGGTACGTGCTAACACTGAGTAGGTTTTTCCAACACATAAATAAAGATACTGAAAGTCTACTTTGCAATAAAATCTCCCCGTAGCAGTAGGTGATCGCAGAGGTTAGTAATGTCTGTTCTGTATACAAGTAAACAGAGACATGGCATTCCTGAGTCTTAGTGACGTGGCAACAAAATCGGTTTCTGTTAACTTCCTGCTGCAATCATCATCTCTTAACAAGGCTTTCGAAAAAAGGAAGGTCATCCAAGAATGCACTTAACCCAATACCCAAAACCCTCTATTAAATAAAGGCCAATACTGAGACACTTATTAAATGCTGCCAATTATATTGAATTCAGCCTCTGTAGCTTAATAAATCAATTTGCAAAGTCTCCCACTTTACACGCCAGTAACAAGTCCCCCTTTCATGGTTATGGAGAGATACATTTCTGTTATATCTTTGAATATCCTGATTTTGCAAGAATGAAGCTACTAGATGCATACTTGCAAAAACAGCACATTCAGGAATCTAATCTTTCAATGTGGGGTAATAGCTGCTTGATCCAAGGATAAATCTGACTGCCATTCTGGGGTCAAGAAGGAATTTTTTCCTAGTTTGTTGCAAAATTGGAAGTGCTTCAAACTGGGTTTTTTTGCCTTCTTTTGGATCAACAGCAAAAAACAAATGTGAGGTAGGCTGAACTTGATGGACGCAGGTCTCTTTTCAGCTATGTAACTATGTAACTGTGTAACTATGTAATTATGCCACTATGTCCTTATGCTTCACATGTATGCATTCCACCTTTTCTTCTTGACTCCTTTCCCATTCACATCTTCCAGTGCCATAGGACTCTCTGTGCTCACAGTCTACTTGGGGTCAGAAAGTCTACCAGTCAGGCCCCAGCCCTCCCACAAAAGCTGAAAAATGTATAAGGGGGATTCCTACTTATTGCAAGTATTACATCACACTGGTATTTTCCCTAAAGAGTACGTAATAAGCTTAATCCGTAATGGACAATGCTACAAGGAACAAACTATGGCGTTGGCTGCACACGGATAACATATGGTATTTGAACTGGCAGGGCTTGGGCCTCAGCCCCATTCCTCGGTATAGACATACAATGTTATCAGTTTCAACTTTGTTTACCAGTGTGTTAACTTCCATGGAAAAGGTAGTTTCTGTGACCAGTTTTTGGACCAAGGCCCAACAGGAAAAGATCATGCACGAACAGAGGTAGAAGTATTAATCTGCCTCTTTATTCAACTCATGAATAAAATCTGACGGGAATTTTGATAAAAATCCATAATTCTTTACCAGAATGCAGAGATTACAGGAAATTTACTCAAAATTAAGCAAACAGAGGCAGGCAGATAGGAAAAAAGAGTATGTGTGTAATTTGGTCAGAATGAAAATAATAATAATAATAATTATAATAACAATAATTATAATGATAATAAAAAAGATAAACAGTCAGATTTGTATAGATATATATATTGATATCTCTCTCTCTATATATATATATATATATCTTACATAGTTACATAGCTTAAAAGAGAGACTTGCGTCCATCAAGTTCAGCCTTTCTCACATATGTTTTTGCTGTTGATCCAAAAGAAGGCAAAAAACCTAGTCTGAAGCGCTTCCAATTTTGCAACAAACTAGGAAAAAATTCCTTCTTGACCCCAAAATAGCAGTCAGATATCTCCTTGGATCAAGCAGCCATTACCCCACTAAATAGAAATTATATCCCTGTATGTTATGTTTTTGCAAGTATTTATCCAATTGCAGTTTATATATATATACAGACACACACCTTCCAAACAAACGGCACTCCAAGGATTTTTAAATTCATATATCACTTCATGTTTATTGTCAACGTTTCAGTTATGGAGAAAGTTAGCTTAGTCAGACAGAAACATTAACTATAAACAAGAAGGTATACATGAATTTCAAAGTCCTTGTAAGTATAAAGTAATTTTGAAGGTTTTAAAGGGGAGACTCACTTGCTAATGTCCAATAGGACAATGTAAGTTAAAAAAGAGATGTCTTAAAATGGGTTTTAAGTGATCGCCCTTTCAGTGATGTGTAAGAGGATGCTATATTCTCTGTGATGTACATATTTGTTCTGCTCTTGCACAGGGCTTTTGTACCATGTATGATGCAGGATAGTGGTAAAATCTTGTGGTGCCTTTCACAATGTCATCATAAACTTAAAAGGACAGATCCCTTTAGCACCTCAAGTTGAGATTTTGTTGTACCAAGATCTTCCTACAACCTTTCCAAAATGTTAGAATAAAAAAAAAAATACAGTATATTACCCTTCAATTATTTTGAAGTAATGTAGCTAAATGAGCACTCAGAAATGTCTAGAGTAAAACGTGTTGGACAATGTTTTCTTTCTTTTATTTCCCTAAGGATAATCTGAGGGAATAAAGGTTCATGTGGGAATAAAGACTAATTTGTGAAATTCTATAATTTATTTTATGATTTTGCTTTCTAATTTTTCTAATTTTTTATTTTTTTCTTATATTTAGTTTATTTTGTTCTGAAATCAAACTATTCTGTTCTATGCTATTCTTGAATATTCCTTTTTTGAATATAACTATTTTAATCCCATTTAATAACTTTTTCCTACCTCATTATTTCTGTTGAAAGAAGTGTGGAAACGATAGATAAATCCATTGCAACTCTGAAAAAATTGCATATATGTAAACATTAATATAATCAGGGCTTAACATTCTAAATCTGGTTCTACTAGCCAAACCTAAAACCGTACTCGCTACTGCAAGCATGGAGAGTGGATGATACATTCACCAGTGCGACTTTATACTCAACAGGGCTCAATTTTTACGTGCCACTGTCTAGTTGAGAAAGAAAATTTTGAGCCCTGAATATATGACAAAAAACAAAAGCCAACAGATATCCTAGAATAGCTTTAAATTAAATATTTATTTGATAAATCTGCCTCCAATGTGTTGACTGTTGGGAGAACAATTTGACTTTGTCACTGAATTGTTAACTTTCCTAATCATTGATGGTCATGAATGGATGGTGGACTCCACAGAGCACTTAGTTTCCATTTCCAATTTGGTGGGTTGTGACAATCAACTATAATTGAGTTATTAGGGGTGAACAGACTGAGATTATATCAAATCCTCCCTCACTCCTGTGTGTTTGTGTCTGATTGTGTAATGAGACAGCAAAACAAACTGTTGAGAAACACGTTACATTTTAACATCACCCTGAATTTATTTATCCTCTGATCCCAAAGTTCATTTTTTCATCCCTTGCCGTATTTGAGTCTACAGGAGGTAGAAGTGAGTGTGCGTGTGAGCTGGTGTGAGAGAGAGATACTCTGAGACAGAAAATAATAAAAAATACAGGGATTTCCAATTATAGTTTAACCCTGGACCCAATTTCCACAAATGTGTTGGAGAAGAAGACTATAATATAAATTATAGTATATGAGAATTCCTGCATTTATCTCTGTATTGAAGATGTGGTATTTACTGCTTCTCAGCCAAGTAGTCGGTGAGTAGGAAGATTCTCTATAATTTGCGATGCATATTTTTGTCTGTACAACCGGAAGCATACTTGCCAACATTTTAAACACTTACATTTAAGGAATGTTAGAGGGGGTGTGGCCAGGGGCGGGGGTATTCTGAGAAATTTTAGGTGACTTACTAATAATTTATGCAACTAGAATGTAATTTAGAAGAAGGACAACGTATCTTATTTACACAGACTGATTTCGAAACACGTATTGTAGTTTAAAGACACATTACTGGGAGTATTATTGCTGTGGAGCTCTGTGATACACTCAGACACATTACTGGGAGTATTATTGCTGTGGAGCTCTGTGATACAGTACGTTAGATGTGTACACATTGTACACTTTGAAATAGTCCGTTAATCAAAAAATATTAAATATAAAATAAAGAAAAAAAATAATTTAAATGAAATAGAAAATAAAACAGCCTCTTTCAATTTAAGTGAAACACCGTTATGCGATGGGTGACAGAGTGATATGTTTACACGCCAAGCTGACATACGTACATTGCCAGCCACACAGTCATATAGAGAGCTCTGCCAATAGTCTGCCATGCTGCATCGGTAGGTGTGCATTCTTACGCACTCTTATGATGGGCTCAAGTTGCGCTTCTACGTTTAACAAAATTTAGGAATAATTAGTCTGAATGTTGTGTTAAAATACCAGCGTTTATTTGTCAGTCATTTTATTTCTATATTCTTTCACCGACTGACATTAAGTCGCCTTTGCCTTCTGACACTGCTACCCCTCGTTTCAGTATGTCATGGCGGCATTAAATTTCCCCAACCATGACTTCATTTCTCCATACTTCACCTTTAATGCTATCACCCTATCCTTTTCACTTTAAAGTCCATGCTGTATGAACGTTTAAGGTGAAAGGAAAAAGTGTGTAGAAATACATTTTAATAAACATAATTCTATGTGTGACTCCCACAGTTCTTCTGTTTTGGCATTCCTTTTCTGATCCTTTCTGATTTCGACATCAATGATGGTAACTCTACCTGGTCAAGCAGTAAACTAACTCTCTGACTCACAAATCATGTAATGCACAAGGACCTCGTCTTCTGTAATCTGGGCTCAGTCTCTGCTGTATTCGGGACATTTTCCCCACTCTATTATTACCATCTGCTGGCTTCCCATAGTACAATTTGTGAGGAAGGCTGAACTTGATGGACGCAAGTCTCCTTTCAGCTATGTAACTATGTAACTATGTAATATTCTTCTTTTAATTAATATTAAATAGATACTCTAAGCACAAAAACAACTTTTGCTTAATGACGCGGTATTGGTTTACAAACCATGTCCCTGCAGTCTCACTGCTCAATTATCTGCCATTTTGGAGTGAAATCAGTTTGTTTATGCACCCTTCCCTGGCTTTTCAAGAGTCTCCCTTTAATATAACAGTGATTTTATCTCAGCCTAAGAGAAACCTTTGCTGTATTGCAGTGCAATAATTCTCTATGAGTCGCAAACTCCCCATTCTGCCATCCCTATCTACACAAGTAAATTAAAAATATCCATTAATAACTCCTTCTTTCAAATGCAAAGAGAACGTAGGGCCAGTTACTCACGCTATCAGCACTCCAAATCTTGCCACAAAGTAACCTCCAAGTGTTTTGCTAAATACACATCGGAAACCTCACAGTAAATCCTGCCTTATAACTCCAGCACTCCTGTAGTTCAGACCTCTTCTGTGCCAAGCAAAACAATTAACTTTCAGTATTGATTAATCAGCAATCCATCTTGCCAAACGCTGGCCAGCCTGTCCCAGGCTTTTGTCAGTCTTCCTCATGGTGATTCTACCGGGAAAGGCTTGGCATGGTATCATATTGTGTTTTATCAACCTAATTGAGGCCTCAATTTAATATTGCTGGCTAAGCTTTCAAAATGTTTTAACATGTTTGTTTAGATTTTTAAAAAAATTTAATATTATGAAAATTTTTAACATTTGCTAATATTTAGATTTTTTTTATCTATAGATACATATTTCTTTATATATGATAGATTACATTTTTTTTTAATATGTTAAAAAAAACTAATGTGAAAAATGTATCCAAAAATATGAAATAATGCAACAAGGTTAAACTGAGGCCTAACCGTGTAAGAAAAAAACATGTGACTGCATGATTGCTAAATAATTAAACATGGGGTACCTGTTCAACTCTAGTTATAACAGTTTAACAATGTAGCTGTACGGCTATGTTAAGTAATGAAAATTGGAATTCTTTCAATTACATGAAATATCGAGGAAGTGGGATTGTGGAAGGGTGGTTGTGGCTGTGCGAGTGTGGTGGTGGCTGTGGGAGGGTGGTGATGATTGTGGAAGGGTGGTGGTGGCGGCTGTGGGAGGGTGATGATGGTTGTTGAAGGGTGGTGGTGGCTGTGGGAGGGTGGTGATGGTTGTGGAAGGGTGCTGGTGGCTGTGGGAGGGTGGTGATGGTTGTGGAAGGGTGGTGGTGGCTGTGGGATGGTGGTGGTGGCTGTAGGAGGGTGGTGATGGTTGTGGAAGGGTGGTTTTGGCGGCTGTGGGAGGGTGGTGATGGTTGTGGAAGGGTGGTGATGGCTGTGGAAGGGTGGTGATGGCTGTGGGAGGGTGGTGATGGTTGTGGAAGGGTGGTGGTGGCTGTAGGAGGGTGGTGGTGGCTGCATGGTGTCATGAGAGGGTAGTATTAGTATTTGCCTTTTCAGATTGTGCACGGTTGGATTACCATGAACGTTTATTTCTTCTCTGTCCCATCTTGCTTTCTTCTTCCAGTTGGTATCTCCATTCCGACTCCTCAATGTGATCTCAGCCAAGTGAACATTTCTGGGGGAAGCTATGTCGTGATAACTGAAGAAAACAGTATCAAATACACGTGTCCTAAAGGAATGTACCCTGACCCAATGCCTATCCGCAAGTGTCAATTTGATGGGCACTGGACTAAAGAAAACATACCAGCCGTTTGCAAAGGTAACTTCTCCCCTTTGTGTCACTGCATGTCTGTAGGGCTGTAATTTCACTGGAGAATGTGCACCCCCCCCCCTTGTCTGTCACTGTAACCCTGAAACTTGGAGAGAGACACATAAAGGGTGGGTTGGAGAGGAGCACACATAAGGACACACTGTGGCCTTCGTCAGCTTGCTCAGTAGTTTTGTTCATATCAAGTAATGAGTAAAACCGCTCTGGGATATGCTCAGTGGCACGGTAGCTAATATTGGCTGATATGATTTAGCCACTTCCTGCTTTGGTTAGCACTTACTAAAACAAGTGTGTTTTTATTTATTATTTGCAAGGTTTTTAATCATTACAAAATTACAACATATAATGACAAAAATATAAAAAATATTTTGTATATTTTCCTTTATATATTCAATACTTATAATTATTAATGGGTGAGAGGGGACATGACTCCTAAGCTTTGCGAAGGACACCTAAAAGCCTAAAACTGAACTTGCTGTAATGTCACTGTGGATCAATATCACTGCTCTGTCACTGTATATCTATAACACTAATCTCACTACAGGGGTTTTCTGCTTAAACTTTGAAAATCCTTTTCTTACCTGAGTCCACGTCTCCTGTTAATCCTTCATGCCTCATGTCTAGCTGTTCGCTGTCCCCGTCCAAAAATATTAGAGAATGGAGACTATTTCCCTTCTAAATCTGAATACTACGTGGGAGATGTCATGAATTTTGAGTGCTACGGCGGGTTTGAATTGAGAGGCCCAGAGAATCGTACATGTCAACAAAATGGAAAATGGAGTGGAAGGACAACAGTATGTGAGGATTATGGTAAGACCAAAAGAAATACAAACAAACGGTTTATATGTATACCATCTGATCCCATTATATATATTTTGGTGCCGTACAAATAAAACACTACTAATTGGTTGCATTGATTTTAGTAGATATAAACCTTAAATAGAGACCTTACAAGGACTCTAAGAGGTAAACTTAAAGCTAAAGAAAATATGGGTTCGGTGGTATCAATGAAGAAAACACAAGATTAGGTTATATAAATAAACGTAACTTCAAACTATATGGTAACCATAACGTTACATGGAGCTAGATGGTAACCAGAAAGACAAAACAAGGGAAGGTGAAAACCATGAAAACAAAGCTTATGCTAGGCAGAGACCATAAATACAAAGTAGTCAAACATAAAGATAACGTGTGGCTGAGTTTTTAAACAATTAATACAAACTGGGAAACCATAAAGACAAATAAGGCTAGGTGGGTAAAGATAAAGATATCACTGGGGTAGGTAGGGACCATAAAGATAGCATAGGGCTAGGTGGGTAGAGATAGAATTAGCATGGTAAAGGTGAAAATGGCAAAGATAAAGGTAACGTGGGGGTAGCTGGAGACCTTAACAATAACAGGGAGCTTGGTGGTAGAGATAATGGTAACATGAGGCTAGGTGGGTAGAGATAAAAGCAACATGAGGGGTAGGCAAAGACAATTAATGAATCTGGGTTTTTTTTTTGGGTAGAGATAAAGTTTACATGGGGGCTAGGTGGGTAGAGATAAAGTAACATGAGGCTAGGTGGGTAGCAATAAAGTAACATGGGGCTAGGTGGGTAGAGATAAAGTAACATGGGGCTAGGTGGGTAGTGATAAATGTAACATGGGGCTAGGTGGGTAGAGATAAAGTTACATGGAGCTATGTGGGTAGAGATAAAGGTAACATGGGGCTATGGGAGTAGAGATAAAGGTAACATGGGGCTATGGGAGTAGAGATAAAGTAACATGGTGGCTCGGTGGGTAGAGATAAAGTTACATGGAGCTAGGTGGGTAGAGATAAAGGAAACATGGGGCTATGGGAGTAGAGATAAAGTAACATGGTGGCTAGGTGGGTAGAGATAAATGTAACATGGGGCTATGTGGGTAGAGATAAAGGTAACATGGGGCTATTGGAGTAGAGATAAAGGTAACATGGGGCTATGGGAGTAGAGATAAAGTAACATGGTGGCTAGGTGGGTAGAGATAAAGTTACATGGAGCTAGGTGGATAGAGATAAAGGAAACATGGGGCTATGGGAGTAGAGATAAAGTAACATGGTGGCTAGGTGGGTAGAGATAAATGTAACATGGCGAATAGGTTGTAACATGAAGCTAGATGGTAACTAACCATGAAGATGCATCTCACCCTTTTAATTTCCTTTCTCTCTCCTTCTCTACACAGGAGGCTTCTGTCCTAACCCTGGGATCCCAATAGGCACCACCAAAACTGGAATTTCATATAATGTATTTAATAAAGTAACTTACGAATGCGAGAAAGGACTTAAAATGTTCGGATCAAGTGAAAGAATATGCATGGAGGACAAGTATTGGTCTGGTGCTGAACCTTCGTGCAGGGGTAGGATAAATACAGCTATTGTTTAATTGTAGAGAGGTCAAATGATCTATGGGTCATATTGACAAAGGAAACCAAAGCCAGTAGAGTCATGTTTCAATGTCCAAAAGTAGACTGTCTCCAGAATGCAGTGTGAAGAAGGTGCAGGGCATCAAAGTGCATGCTCACATTATACTGTAAAGAATCAAGATAATTTTTTAAGTAACTTCATGAAAGTTACCATCAAAGTGCCGAAGGCCTAATTGTGGAACAAAATATTCAAATTAATATTTTATGAAAAATGATGAAAACATTATAATTTTATTAATATTAAAACTATTAGCATTTATAAGTATGTATATTAATATGACAATACCAATTATTATAGGACCACAAATATATCTAAGTATATATGTGTGATAAATGTGTTCTATAACTACATGTATTGATATTATTTATATAATAGTAAAACATGTATTTATATTTGGTGTATTTTATATATATATATCTAAAAAAACAAAACTATCTAAACCTATTATGCTATAAAGATGATATCAAGATCAATATAATGATTATACTTTGCATTAAAGATATACTTTAAAATGTATATCCTTGTAACTTAAATTCAGTCAAACTATCTCGTACCCTCCACTCTCTCTTATGTTTCTGATAAGAGGTCTAGCTATTCACCATGAGATAGAAGTCTATTGTTTGAGTGCAGAATTCCTAGTTTTTTACAACTCAGCAGAATCAACTAACTCTATTTGTTTCACATCTTGGCTAAAGTGGTTTGAGAATGTAATTAGATCATTATCTAATTAGGACTAGCTTTTGAGTGTTAATAAACAACTTGCTATCTCCTCAATGTCAGAAAAACATTGTCCACTATTTGATTTAAAACAGCTACAACAATGTTTGTGATAATACAATATTATTAATGAATGATATGAATAATAGTGTAAACCATATGCAACAGTCCAATGCCAATTTATCAAGTTAAAAATTCACTCACACCTTTCAGAGCCAAAAGATGGATGGTCATGATCCTTATATGTGGTGAGGATTCTTCTCACTACCTCATATGTCTCCTTACTTCAAATCCTGAAAGATGGGTAAAGAGGAACAACTATAGTGCAATACTTTACTGCAAACTGATTAAAGAAATCCATTAGGAATTACTCAGCTCGTCAGTCAAGTGTTATAAAAAAAAGGAGAAACACTCCTAAAGACGTATGTGAGCTTCTTGAAGAATAATTTTGCACATTTAGTTGCACTTTATATCATACCTTTATTTTGCACTTTTTACTAAGATCCAGTTTTACACAATTCCCTATAAATTTTATATAGAAAATGAAATGAAAGATGCAATTTTGATTGTTTTAAATGTCGATCTTCTCGGACACTCCAACTTCTTTCAATTGAATTAGACACAAATTTTCAAAATAAATGTAATAGTTTTCTTTGGTTGAACGTATTCACACACATTTTCTGTGATTGCATTTTGATTTTGAGTCTGTCCAGTGTTCCAGAATGTTGGTTTCTGTCCTACACTTAGCCCTTCCAAAAAAAAGAGTATGCACCTCTTCAGTACGAGTCACCCTTATAGCAGCTTTATTAACTCAGAAGTAGTTTCTCCATGTCTCCCACCTGTGGATAGTACTAGTGGTCTGGTCACTGCTTTCACATTCTTATTGAAAATATTAACATATTCTTAGTTAAGCCTGTATCATGTGCAGGTGGCCTGGTCATGGGTAACCTTGACCACTGCTCTGTGGAAGGGAATTCATACACATCAGTTGACTGAGTTTCCATGATACGGTGAATTGAGGACTCCATTGACCTGGTTTCTAGAGGACAGAACTTTCTGCAGAACCTTCCAATACTTTCAAATATACAAAGAATAGCTTGGGGTACTCTCAACCCACCATACATCTTTCATTTTTACAACTCACTGACCACGTGATGGAGGAAGGGGCAGGAAATATCTATGGATGAATACCTGTATTAACAGAACTCCAATCACAGATCCCTTCCTTGTTCAAGAGTCCGAGGACGACAGACCCCCCACAGTTAATTGATGAACCTAGCAATGTCTATTCCTTTGGTTTGAACACAATACCTATTTTTATTTGTCACTGAGTTGGTTACTGATCCACTCAGGTTATCAATGGCCAGTGACAGTTTCAGTTTAGGGACTTACAAAACTGTGTACAGAGGCTTAGTGGTTATTTCATAATTTCAACTGTGCACCACCAGTAGGCCCTTGAGAACCCCAGCTTGATACAAACCAAAAATGTGTACAAGAAACAAAAAACTATGACTAGAACAAGAATGTAAAACAAAATAAAATACACATGATAGACAATCATTAAATATATATATATATTTTTTAAAATAGAGAATACAAGCCTCCTGTTACAACATCCAATTCCTCAACACTCTATAGTCACTGTATACCTTGAAAACGAACTCTTTCTTGTTTTCAAACCACCACTCATAAAATTAGAATTCTGAAGTTTAACTTTCACCTGTCTGTATACTGTCCATCCACAGAGTGGTACACGTACGATACACCAGAAGAAGTGGCTGAGATGTTTTCGTCCTCCTTCTCTGCAAATATCGAATCTGCAAACCGGGATAAGTTAGGTGAAGGTACGAAAAGTCTTCTTTTAATCTATATTGCTGAACTATGTCTGATAAACTGGAATGCTAGAACTGATTTTTAAAAAAAAGAAATACATTTAAAGTGTTTGTCATGTTGTGTACTTTTAGCATGGTAAAATGATGTATCAAACTTTTGGCTACATGTTTTATTTAATTCCAAAAAAAAGCAGTGCCAAGTTTTTATTGTTTTAATGTACTCACTATTTCACTTTTATAATTTTTGGTCATCAGAGTTCATTACTTAATGGACAGCAGCTGTCACTCAAGAATAAAGCTATAAAAAGGACGGTTTAAACACAAGAAGTGAATTCATATATTAACTGAGCTTTACTGAGCCTTCAGAGATATGGGCTATGAAGAAGTAGTATTCAACTTGGGGATTAATTCAGATATGGATCAGATAAAAAACACAGTATGTAACACTCCATCATTCCCATAAAGAACACAATGTAAAGATACATATACATACATAAATAACAGGGCGCCACGGTCACTAGAATTAACAACTTCGCATGGAATATCTCAAAAGATGGAAAGAGAGAACAAAAAAAGATAATTAGTAAAAATAATATACAATTTATTGAAAGTAAAAAAATAATAATAATAAATAAATATATATATATGTATATATGGGTAATGGCACAAAACACAAATGTGTATTATTCACAATATGAAGCCTGAATAGGCTTAAACACCTTATGGCTAGCAGCTTTCTTTTAGCAGCACAAACTTAATAATACACAAAAACAAAGTGCAAGGGCTAACGTGCCAGTTGATTCAAGTAAAGGGTAGTATAACGTGCTTTAATAGCTGCTTAGATGGCAGCTGACACCACCGTTCCCTTCAGAGCACACAGTTCATAGCACAGGATTAAAGTGCAGAAATAGTTCAAAGGTGCTTCAAAATTCAGGGTTGTCTCAGCAGGGCCCAACGCGTTTCGTCGATCCGACTTCCTGAGGAACTTCTATCTTCTTTCCCGGTCTTCTTCCTTTTAAATCCGCAGGTGAACGTGCCTTTTAAATCAGGTGAACGTGTATGCTTGAACCACGCCAGGCATAACGTCATAAATCATGATGCACGGACGGTTGCTTTGCGCATGCGCAACAATCTAAGCTGGGACGCAAGCTAACTTTATTGACAATTTACACAGCTGCATCTCTGAACTTACGAACTTTGAAAAGTTCAGAATCTTTGCATTTGTGTTCACGTTCATGCCTATATTTGATCTTATTACTGACAGAGAGAATACTAGCACGGAGAAAAATGTATATAAATTGGTCCTGATGTTAAAAAGGAAATAAATTATGAAAATAAAAATCCATATATATGAATAAAGTATGTATGCAGAATAGTCAATTTATATATGTATATAATAGGCATATATTAAAACCTGATTGTGTAGTAACATGGAGTCATTGGAAAAAGACATCAGGAGCATTTTATGTAGAACAGGAATTTTTGAATTCGATCAAAAATAAAAATCATTATAAAATAATAATCATGGTAATTTCACAAATGAGGGATTGCATATTTAAAAAGAGACAGAGAGAATACTAGCACGGAATTCTTAATCATTAACATATATCTTTATAAATTGATGATTTTCTTATAATGTTAAAATGTATCTTATCGGAAAATCCAACTCAATGTTTAAATCAAATAATAAATAACAACAAAACAAATCAGTCAATCAGAGGTACCGGTATATAGTACCGTTCAAAAATACAAATTCACAAAATGTAAGAGATATCTAAAAATGCATAAAGAACGCGAAAAAATTATATATATATATATATAAAATTTCAAAAAGTGCATTTCTAAAATTCCATAAAAAACATTATAGGAAATCACATATAAAAGAAGTTGGAAGGGGGGAGAATAAAAGATGGTGAGATAAAAAAAGAGAAAATTAATGACATGGCATACAGTAGAGAATTCATTCTATAAAAGCCAGTATATCTAAATCTGTATTAAAACCCGAAGGTACAGAGGATTTTAATCAATAAATCCACTCTGTCTCCATCACGGTCAGCATTTTTTCTGTATCACCACCTCTCCAATCACAGGTGATGATGTCTATTCCCACAAATATAAAGTTGTGGAAATTAAAAACTTTACAAGTGGTGCAGTGTCTAGCAACGCTATGTTTTAAATTCCATTTATTAATACCATTAAAATGCTTTTAAAATCCTTACTTGTAATTTTCTAATGGTGCGTCCAACATATTGGAAATATGTAATAAACCCCATATTTGCTTTGACAATTAATAAAATTCTGTCGTTTTATTTGCTGGACACTTGCATGTACTGCATCCCACACATCTAAAAAAAAATCCTTAATTTCCGTGTTTGCATACTATACTGTTTTCTTATTTATCATCATTTATTTCTTATTTCTTATTTTTCTTATTTATCATAATTTTTTATCCATTCCTCCCCATACATTTTTTAAAATGTCTATTTATTTATTTTATTCCCAGAGATCTGATTCACCCTTTTTGTTCTGTTAACTTACTCTAGAGATTTGTTTATTAATATTGTTTTTTAATCCCGATCCATAGACTTTGTCTTATGTTCTTTTTTATGTATAATTTTTCAAATTGAAACATAATTGGCGATTAATGATACATCACACTGAAAAAAAAGCTGAATAATAGAGAAAAGAGAAAAAAAATAAAAGGAAAAGAAAAAGGAAAAAGAAGGAAAAAAGCAAAAGGGGAAGAGGAAAAATATAAAACAACTTGTTGATTCGAATACATTTTATTGATGTTCTACTGAATATTGTATACAAATATTTCATGTCTTGTACACGTCTCTTATTACAATAAAATTCTATAAAAAATTATCAGGTATAGAATAGCTTATAGCTGGATTTTGTGAAAGAGTTTTATTATGCCAAAATGAAATCATACATTAAATCACAATTTGTATGTGTAAGATCATAATTTGTTAATCTGGGTAAATAACTGACAATGAAACTGGACTATTCCACTTGTGTATGTTCTCTCATATATCTCTCCTAGTTTATAATGCTCTTTCTTTTCTACCAGATTTCACACCAAGAAAAATACACATAAAGAAAGGGGACCCCATGAACATATTTATACTTATGGATGCATCGAAAAGTGTTGGAGAAACAAATTTTGAGATAGCAAAAGAAAGTAGTAAAATATTCATTGAGAAGGTAAAATACAGCGATGGACTGAGAGGGGGAAATATTTTAGGGCTGAATAATTTATCCCATAATGTTTTTTTTTTTATTCTTTATCTGTGGCACCCCATATATACAGAATAGGGGGTGCTTCAGCAATAGTCAACTCATTTGACAGCTTCAATCAAAGCTTCAATCAGAGCGAGTGATCTATATAATATTTTACATACGGCACATTATCTGTCACTGGCATGCTATCCAATACAAAAATAATTTAACATAGATATAGCGAGTTTGTGGGTGTCATTGGTTTCGACTTCTCTTTCTCTGACATAGTGCATTCACTGCCAGGGGAAACCAGCCTGCCACATGTGATAATAAATATTACTGGTTTTTAAAATGACTCCCTAGGCAAACTGAAGTCAGCATGGCTATTTACATTGCTTAGTCAATCAAGGAGTATATATTAAGTGTTTTATATGAGTAATAAAGCGGACGGTTATATATGTGCAGTGGAATAAAGATATATATATATATATATGTAATGTAGTGGTGGGTTATATATGTGCAGAAGAATGGAGGGTAAAATAGGTATAACAAGATGGAGGTTATATATTGTACAGTGCTGCGGAATCTGATGGCGTTATATAAATAATAATAAAAAATAATAATACTAATATATGTGTAGTAGAATGGAGGCTTGATCCCATGTAGCTGACTGGAGGGTAAGTGGACATCTTGTATGTAAATGAACTGTACAAATATATTTCTGAAGGTTTCTTCTTTTGATATCGAACCCCGATACGCAATCGTTTCCTTTGCTTCCCTGGCAATCAGTATTGTGCGTCTGTCCGATGAAGAGAGTCTGGAGGCAGACGCGGTGATAGAAAAACTGACTGATTTCACCTATGAAGGTTAGTGCCATAAGATATAACTAGTAACATGTAACGAACGGTATAGTGTATCGTGTTACCCCTATGATAGACAGCTATACGATACAGTGTCATGTGTTGCATTTTAAGCGTTAGTTTATTTTCCACTTACAGACAACAATAGAAAATATCTGGATAGTGGAGATAGATAGGAAGTGATAGCAGGATTGAAGATTTTAGGTGTTTTATAACCTTTATAAGGCAGTATAGCGTGGCTACTGGATTCAGGATTTGAAACCTATGTGTCAAAGCAAAAGAACAATGTGATTGGCTGGAACAACCCAGCCAATCATATTATGCTTACAGCTATGACGCACTGACATACGTTCTTCGTGTTACACCTGCAGATGGTTTTTATGCGTTCACGTTTATATCGTAATAATTTGCATTAGACGTTTGACCATTTGTAATCTTAATTTACAATCTAAAAGATATGAATCCCAAGATTCAAACAGCATGTTTCTGTGTTTGTTATCTCTCTCCATCTGCCCGGTCCTTTGACATTATTTTATTTTAGCTTTTCTACCCATAATTTTTAAACAGATTTTGGTGTCAAATATTCGAGAGGGGCAGAGACTCAGAATGACTCGGTTGGAACTAGACACCTCATAGAGCCCGACAGCCACAATGTGGTCTCCTTAATATTAGCCAAAACATTAATTTTGCCCTGGGCCTACATTGTAAGCTGCGGAGAGTGGGGCATCTTGCCCTGTTCAGTGTGAATGGTAGATTTCTAGACCCCAATGTATTCACTCTCAGCCTATTCAGCTTTCCATGCCCATAAAGACATTACACGTTGGAGTATCAATTTAATGATGAAATAAGAAAGTGATAACACAATGAATTCACAACTATTTAATATATTTGTATACACTTTTAAAATATGGTAATATTTTAAAAATATTTGATATCTTTTTTATAAATAGATATTTTTATATAACAAAAAATAAATACATTTTAAAAATTTATCCAAAAATAGTAGATATTTGAAATTTGATAAAAAGTAATTTACATACAAAATAATATTGACAGAGACAAGAGGTAAAGAACAATCTAGTAAAGGGAGTACAATTGCAGAGATTGGAGACATGGGACTACTAGGTGTTGTTGCAGAACAAGATTTCCATCTGATCTCCTCTCATTCTCCAAGAACATGAAGATAAACGTGGAACAAACACGCGAGCTGCTCTTTATGCTGTGAATGAGATGCTGTCTTTGCAGCACCTGAGAGACAAGGAAAACTTCCTGAACATTCGAAATGTCATTCTGCTCATGACTGATGGTAAGAGCATTCACACTGTGCAATAATTACTCACTGCCCACAATTATCATTCGCTTCTTCCTCCGCTACAGAGTGATAGACTCTACCTTTCATTTCTTTACTGAATGATAGCCTCCATGATACTTCTCTAGGGAATGATAGCTTCCATCTCTTGTTCATCTGAATGATAGCTTCCATCATACTTCTCTACTGAATGATACCCACCATCTCTTGTTCCTCCGAATAATAGCCTCCATCATATTTCTCTAGGGAATGATAGCCTCCATCTCTTGTTCCTCTGAATGATAGCTTCCATCTCTTGTTCCTCTGAATGAGAGCCTCCATCATACTTCTCTAGTGAATGATAGCCTCCATCATACTTCTCTATTGAATGATAGCCTCCATCTCTTGTTCCTTTGAATGAAAGCCTCCATCACACTTCTCTAGTGAATGATAGCCTCCATCTCTTGTTCCTCTGAATGATAGCCTCCATCATACTTCTCTAGTGAATGATACCCACCATCTCTTGTTCCTCTGAATAATAGCCTCCATCATATTTCTCTAGTGAATGATAGCCTCCATCTCTTGTTCCTCTGAATGATAGCCTCCATCATACTTCTCTAGTGAATGATAGCCTCCATCTCTTGTTCCTCTGAAAGCCTCCATCACACTTCTCTAGTGAATGATAGCCTCCATCTCTTGTTCCTCTGAATGATAGCCTCCATCATACTTCTCTACTGAATGATAGCCTCCATCTCTTGTTCCTCTGAATGATAGCCTCCATCATACTTCTCTACTGAATGATAGCCTCCATCTCTTGTTCCTCTGAATGATAGCCTCCATCATACTTCTCTAGTGAATGATACCCACCATCTCTTGGTCCTCCGAATAATAGCCTCCATCATACTTCTCTAGTAAATTATAGCCTCCATCTCTTGTTCCTCTGAATGATAGACTCCATCATACTTCTCTAGTGAATGATAGCCTCCATCTCTTGTTCATCTGAATGACAGCCTCCATCATACTTCTCTACTGAATGATAGCCTCCATCTCTTGTTCCTCTGAATGACAGGCCTCCATCACACTTCTCTACTGAATGATAGCCTCCATCTCTTGTTCCTCTGAATGATAGCTTCCATCATACTTCTCTACTGAATGATACCCACCATCTCTTGTTCCTCCGAATAATAGCCTCCATCATACATCTCTAGGGAATGATACCCTCCATCTCTTGTTCCTCTGAATGAGAGCCTCCATCATACTTCTCTAGTGAATGATAGCCTCCATCTCTTGTTCCTCTGAATGAAAGCCTCCATCACACTTCTCTAGTGAATGATAGCCTCCATCTCTTGTTCCTCTGAATGATAGCCTCCATCATACTTCTCTACTGAATGATAGCCTCCATCTCTTGTTCCTCTGAATGATAGCCTCCATCATACTTCTCTACTGAATGATAGCCTCCATCTCTTGTTCCTCTGAATGATAGCCTCCATCATACTTCTCTAGTGAATGATACCCACCATCTCTTGTTCCTCCGAATAATAGCCTCCATCATATTTCTCTAGTGAATGATAGCCTCCATCTCTTGTTCCTCTGAATGATAGCCTCCATCATACTTCTCTAGTGAATGATAGCCTCCATCTCTTGTTCCTCTGAATGATAGCCTCCATCATACTTCTATAGTGAATGATAGCCTCCACCTTTTATTCTTCCATAGAATGGAGGTTCCACCTTTTACTATACAATCTATTACTCTACTGACTGATATAATTAAACTCTTACTCCTCAGCTGACTGGAAGCATCCACCTCTTATACATCTGAATGATAGCCTCCACCTCTTATTCCCCCATAGAATAGAGCTTCCACCTTTTACTTCACAGAGTAATAACCTCAAACTCTTACTCCTCTACTGACTGACAGCGTCCATCTCTTACTCCTTTACTGACTGATAGCCTCCACCTCTTAGTCCTCTACTGACTAACGGCCCCCACCTTTTACTCCTTTACTGTCTGATAGCCCCCACCTTTTACTCTTTTACTGTCTGATAGCCCCCACCTCTTCTGAGTTACAATATACATATCTCACTCCTCAGAGTGCCTCCTCCTCTTACAATATGTTGTCTACATCACTGTTTGTCTTTCTAGGAAAGTACAATATGGGTGGAGATCCAAAGGTAGAAATAGACAGCATCAGACATTTTCTGGATATCGGAATGAAAGACAATATACGAGAGGATTTCCTAGGTAAAAAAAACTATTTTGTACCAGAAATACAATATGTAATAATATAGCACAGCAACAGCATATACACTAAATTAACTTGACCTATTACCTATTAACTATACCTTGTATCCCACAGACACTGTGTATATTATATAAACTATATCAAGTAAAATCCAATACTATAGCCACACTGTGTACATCACATAAGCTATATCACGTACAATTCATTAGTACAGAAACACTGTGTATGTTATATAAACTATATCATGTACAATCCAATATATTATAAAAACTATACCACGTACAATCCTGTAGCATAAACCGCACTCTGTATATAATTCAAACTACACCACTTAGAATTCAATATATTTAATAAAGTGTACAACAAATAATTAACTACCACAACCACACTGTGTATAGTACTATGTCACATACAATCCAATAACATAGTCACATTATACATATTATGTAAAGTGCTGTGTACCAGTTGGCAACATCAGTAGTGTAACATGGAATGTACCCGTAAAACGCAGTGGAGTAATGTGTGTATTTGGTGAGTGTTACAGTATAGATTAATCCATGTCATGTTTACAGATGTGTATGTTTTTGGCCTTGGAGACGATGTCAGTCAAACTGAGCTTAATAATCTTGCGTCAAAGAAACCTCACGAACAGCATGTCTTCCATCTGGAAGATGTAAGCAGCATGAAAAAGGCTTTCGACCATATGTTAGGTACGAACTGTGTCACGCGTTTTCCCCCTCTGTATGCCCCCTGCTATCACTCGTTATTGTTCTACAGACACATTTTTTTTCTGATGATTCCAGTGTGAGGTTTCATTATGTTACTATCTTTTATATGATTATTATTATTATTATTATTTTTTTTTTATATCCGTGACCTTTACCCTTTAAAATATTGTTGACTCATTTAAGGGAACGCATGGTAATTAATGGGGGTACTACCTATATTCATGGGCAGATTTGTCAGAGAAAAAAGATCATAAATCATGAGACTAGATTCCCTAAGTTTGACCTCGATTTTATATTTTGGATAAACTTTTTAAATGATTTCATATTTTTAGATAAACGCTTAAAATATATATTTTTTCAAAATTTTTAAAATAAAATATTTTTCAAAATATTTGATAATTTTATGATGTTATATTTAATTTAACTATTTACCCTTTGCTCAGTCTCTCCTAGCTTACATTCACATTCCTTATTCACCCCATGTTCCCAGTTAGTATATAGAGATGTCGCGAACCGTCCGCGAACTTCTCGCGAACGGTTCGCCACGGTTCGCGGCGAACTCCGGTCAGCTGACACGTCTCGGCCAATTTCCAGCAGACCCTCCCTCCCAGACCCTTCTACTTCCTGGACAGCATCCATGTTTCAACGGACGGTTCGCGACATCTCTATTAGTATATACTTTCCTTCCTCAAACATTTCTATATTTTTACCCTACTAGAACCTCCACGTATATTAACTTAGTTTCCCCCCTAAAGCTCAGTATTACCCGGATTATTCTCTGGTCCCCTTTAAGGTGGCATTTTAAGAACACCCTGCAGTCTGTCACCTTACAAGCTCCATCTTACACATAATACGCTGTCTCTCATCACAAGCTCCTATTTTATACTCGTCCATCCCGTCTCCATCCAATCACATATGTGACCTCACCAACACTCTCATAGGAAAGCATGGCTGTCACAATACAGCCAAAGGTTTTAGAGCCTATTTTCGAATCTTCTGCCACTAACTGCGTTTCTTCCTTGCTCTCTCAGATGAGACAGAAGCTATGGACATGTGTGGACTCAACAAATATCATTCAAATGAACCAACTGAGCTGTTTCCCTGGATCACTAAGATAAAAATCACTGTAAGCATGGCTGTCGGTACATACTGTGAAACAGCACTAGGGAGTGTGAGGTCCAAATCTAGAGCCCCCAAATGTAAAGTAATAGGAGGGGGCAGAGGGGGAGGGCAAAATCCATAGATAATGAGTTATCTTGCTCACAGACAGATATTATTGAACTCTCTTACCAATAGACAGCCATTACTGAGCTCTCTTACCAATAGACAGCCATTACTGAGCTCTCTCACTGACATACAACCATAACTGAACTTTCTTGCTGACAGACAGACATTCTTAAGCTCTTTCATTAACAGACAAACATTATTGAGCTTTCTTGCTGACAGACAGACAGACATTACTAAGCTATCTCACTCATAGACAGTTATACTTTGTATCCTTTTATCCTCAATCCAGCGTCCAGGGGCACAAGAAATTTGCAAAGGATCCATTTTGACAAAAAACTTTATCCTGACGGCTGCGCACTGCTTTTACATTGACGACAAACTAGCTTATATCAAAGTCCAACTGGGAGATGGTAAGTGCTCGCTCTTTCTCAGCATTTTGTGAGCCGACATATCAGTCTATGAGGGATGGGTACGTATATAAACTTTAATAGTGTGAGATAATCATTTGATTTGTACTAAATGTATTATATTATAATTTACCCCTTATAACATACAAAAGTCCAGCACAGAAATATATGAACAAATGAGTAATATGGCACCACTAACACAACCTGTCTGATCCAATGGTATTTTTCATAAACCAGTCCATTTTCTAAAATAATTTAAAGGTCTCATTGCTTGGAATAACAGCTAGCTCTCTATGTCAGACTGTGGTAGGCTAGTCTTTGGTAATGATATTGATCATGTGATATTAGTGAGCTATATTCCTCTAGAATAATATTTGACTGGTCTCTCTGTGCGTTTTTCCATTTCTTTCCTCTTTTTGTTCCTCGACAGGCCGATTACTGAATGTAAAAAACTTTTATCGGCACCCCCTGTATGACCCAGATGCCAAGAAGGACAAATATATTCCAAAGAACTTTGATTATGACATAGCGATTCTTGAGATGGAAAAAAAGATTTCATATTCATCGAGTGTCAGGTGAGAGAATGGTCATGGTCAAAATTAACAAAATATTCTTTATGGAGAAGCGGCATCTCACAGAAAACAGGGTGATGGGAGATAATTGTATGCGCTACACTTGTTTTATAGTTTGTTGTGATGATGACTAAGGTGTTGTTGGAAAGTGAGCAACAAATAGCAGATTTAACCAGGTTCTCGGTATACCTCCCCCCAAAAAATCTGCCAACGTTTATTCAAAATCTATTTTACAGAACATAAAAGTCTGTCCCTGTCATGTCAAATTCTATATCCCGTACTACAATGAAATAGAATACTTTATAATAATAAAAAACTTTATAAAAATATTAATCATAATTTATCATTTAGAATGTACGAATAACCACTCATTTAAAAAGAAAATGCCACCAAGGTTGAATGTACATTTGCAAGTCATGTACATTTCTTATCACTGACTTCCCTTTTATCCAAGGGAACATGCTCCACTCCCTGCTTATTCATGCTGCTTACAGCATACCACTTCTGTATGGACTTCCTTACTTCTCCAGGTTCCCACCTAACCCCATCTTTTGTAAGCCAGTATTTGAGGCGAACTGTGCAGGAGTAGGAGAGATTTGATTGATTTAGGAGTAACAGCTTTACTACAGAGGGATCCTTTCTGTCCCAAGGCACTATTTTCTGTTTTCCTCGTTTTAGCCCATATTTCATCCATCTGCCCTCTAATTCAAACCTTCTTGATTTAGGTGTGCACCTTGCGAACCCCATATCTCAATTGTCCTTCTGAATAGCTGAAATGTACAGTCTTTTCCTAAAGTAGCCCTTAGGAATGTCCACAAGGTCTCTGCTGCTGTCTCACTAAACATGGCAAGAGTCAATATGTTTGGGGTCCGTTTTATGGGACAATTTGGGGAGCCAAAACATGCATCAGTCTGAGTCTATTGAATTAGATAATTTTGTCCACAAATGAAAATTGTCTTTGTAATCGTTAATCTGGCAATCATTAACTCTGTCTTTCAGGCCTATCTGTATTCCCTGCACTAAAAGCTCATCATGGGCGCTAAGGATGAAGGGAGATACGACAAAATGCAAAAACCACAGTGAGTCATGGAGGAGACAGAAATAGTGTGATCATTGTTAAAATTTAGAAGAGTTGTTTTAGCACAGCATGTAGAAGTCAGTGCATGATCTCAAATGAAAAATGGCTGCCTAGCAATAGAGAGAGGAAGAAGAGATAGACAGAAAGATAACACACCTCTTCTCTAGCACCAGAGAGACCATAGAGGATAGACATCCAAATGTTACAAAGTAACAGTAAGTCCTCAAACACATTCAGACTAGGCACTAGCGATTATTGCTAACAGCATATGGAAGAGATGAGAGACACAGAAAGAGAACGGATAGTTAAGAGATTGCATGAAACAGATACATGAAGGGAAAGTTAGATAATTAGTGGGACAAAAGAACGAAATAAGAAGCTCAGCAGACAGACAGGGGTTTTAGTCAAGATTAAATATTGTCAAAATCACAATATTTTCATCCACAGAGGACTTTTTATTCAAAGAAGAGTTGGTCAAGGCGATGTTTATTGCAGAGGAAGACCCAAAACCCATGGAGGCGATGACTGTAACAATCAAATTAGGGAATGCGGTATGAAGTTAGTTAACACAAACCTATGCTAAATGTAGTTTTTTTACTTGTATAAACCCGTATCACTTCATATTTAGTGGGTTTTTACATTTACTTTGTGGAACCATTCCAGGCTCATGGTGTCGGAGTAACCTTTTCTGACCCTGAATTCTCCTCGTTTCAATTACTCTGAGAGCAAAAATCTGATATTCTTATAAAGATATATTAATAAACCAAATAACAATATAACCAAGTTCCCATGAAACATAGGCAGAGATCAAGATGTTGGAGGTCATAAATAATAAGAGAAGTTCCCAACATGACATGGACGGTAGGTGTTCTTATATGTAGACGTTTAATACTTTTCGTTTGTTCCTCTCGTTTATCCTGATAGTATTTGAAAATCAATGTTCCCATAGTTTACTAACTGAAGCAGAATCCTGTGACTAGGGGATTAAGGAAACATTAATGTACTGTTTTTTTTTCTTCCACCTTCCCTAATCACACTAATTAACAACCTATTTATAGATCTCATCCTCTTATTCTTTGAACATATCTCCCAGTTTAAATTGATAGTATTTATGGTCCTCATCCTATCAAATTGCCTGGTTCCCTCATCTTTTCACTATCTTTCCACAATTGCACAGTTGGCCACAGTTCACTGTCCTCTACTAGCCCTCCATACTTCAACCTTTTCCCCCTACAAATGTACTTTGTCTTATCCTGTAGCGAGAATCCTGTCTCCAAGCTTCAGAAAGAATCGAGAAATTTCAAGATATAGCTGATATTCATGATATGGTGACTGATCAGTTCCTCTGTACAGGGGGGACAGAGCCATATGTGGAACCCCCAACATGTAAAGGTAACGCCTTCTATTTATTGTAACCAATCCTATTCTTACTGATCAATTGTTAGCCACACTGTTATACTTTTTCTTTCCTTTCATTAAATCTTCCTGTTAACCATTTTCTACCTGCACCTTTCTTCTCCCCTTATTCCATTAGATAACGCCGCTCTCCTATTTTTAAATACTTGATACACATTTATCTCCAAGTACTAACACAATGCTTTGTGCCCATATTATACAGGAGATTCGGGTGGTCCCCTCATCATTGAATATAAAAATCGATACATTCAGGTAAGGTGAAGCAAGGCTTTATGTATAATTGGTATAGTTCTCTCTCTCTAGCTGCAGGAGATAATTCCTCCATTAGAATTTGGTAGAGGAAACAAACCATCAGTAATGGGGCATATTATCTGACTTAGGTAACGGTAGTAAAAAGACAATCCAGGTACTCTAATGACTTCAAGTACATTTATTGGAACATGTGGAACATGTGATAAAGACTCTATCAGGGGTCAAAACGTTGCAGTGTTCCACATCTTCTAGTAAACGTGCTTGAAGTCATTGGAGTGCCTGGATTATCTCTCTACTTCTGGTATTTACTCCTTTGGACTAGTGCTGGCCCTTGGTCCAATTAAGCACCCTTTACTTTACGTGAATAGAGTGCGGTTCACTTTTCTATTTTTGCTAATTATCTGAATTAAGACATGAATAGTAAGACAGTATTATGGAAATCATACAAAGTGACCTTTCACGCTTTTTATAAATCTTTTTTTTAAACTTTTACATAATTCCTTTCTCCAGACATTTTTCACATCTCACCCTGATTACTCATCATTTATCCTTATCTCCATAAAGCAAGGCTTTTTATCCAGTCAAATTGTTCTTGTCCACTATCAAGCTCTTTTCTCCCCATTCCCCTGGATAAAACGTCGTAAAAGAAATAAAGCTCTGCGTGGTTAAACTCAGCTTCAGTTAGCTGAACATTCAGCTCCACAGAGAAAAAAAAGTTCTGCAAGGTTATACAGAGTATAATTGTAGATTATACTAGCTTTAGTGTAACTATAATCTTAATTTTATTAATGACAGGAGGCGAATATTTGCTTAAGTCTCTCTTTACTAGAACTCCACAGCAGCACATTAACATTGAGATAAAAACACCAGAGGAAAAAAAAAATCAGGAATCTATAAAAGGCTTCTCCCAACTAACTATTTCCTCTTTCACGCTGCGAAAAATAAAGTACATAAACAATACACAACAAATACAATAACAGGAGAAACAAACATAACATAACGATGAATGCCATCCGAAATTGAAACCGTGGAACCAGTGAAATGTACTGAGAAAACATGAATCCCCATCGTAAATACTGACAGTACAATATCCCAGATAGTGAAAAAACCTGAATCCCCATCATAAAATACTGACGGTACCATATCCCAGATAAACACCAACTCCCCCAGATAACCAACCTAGCCCAGGAGACCAGGTGAATAAACAACAAGTCAGTCAAACCAACAAACAACAAGGGGAGGGAGAAACTGGGAGGGAAATATTCGCCCTAGTATAATCTACAATTTTGTAGCATGACAGGAGGCTTCATATTTGCTGTTTTAACGTTCGGACAGCAAAGACCAAAGAAACATGATCCGCCGTACCAACCTAAACTCTGCAAAGATAGCTCCTCGTAACCGTCAGGAAAGCATACGATGTCTTTACCTGAAGTCGGTACCTGAAGTCGCAGTGTTACGGACTGAAGTGAACCGAAAAAACCTATACGCCCCGCCAATGCCAACCACAACCAAGCTGTACATGAAGGGCGAGAAAAAGGGAAAAACCATTTAAACAAACGGTGACGTTGAACACTGCCTAAGTGGGAGTGCTACCAAAGTAAGAATATGACCCTCGGGTCCGACTAAGGCTAGTAGACAACTAAGGTCCGAACCGCCGAACCTATCTGAAAGAAAAACAAGGTATAATAACTGAAATAAATCCAGAATCAGTGAATGGGCAAAACCCGACAGAACCCACCATAGGAGCATGACAAAAATGCGTGTACCCCTTGGGGAGATGAATACCCGTCCTCAGGAATCGTAAAGGGAATTCTAACCAGAGCGAGGCCCGCTGACAACGCGCTACCTAATCTAATTAATATGGCAGTCCCGGTAATAAAGTGACCGAACAATACCCGAACCCTGTAAAAGCGGTAGCAAAATTAGGTGATCCGTACCAGACCCAACTATGTCAGGGTCACCATGCAGACCAAAGTGTCACAATCCCCGAGATCAAATGAGCAAGGGTCCAGGGAATCCAGGAACTAGGTTCGACTCTGCTGAAGCGGAGATCATAATTCCAAAGTACCAGCAGACCGAGGCACCTGTAGAAAGGTCCTGAGACCAAACAAACGGAGGAGACTTGTCCGTGTCTCCGTGTCGAACACTCCTAGAGGGAAGCGTCCATCGCTGAGCAAACGGGTCCATCACCCAGCCGAACTGGTCAGGGCCTAATGGGTTCTCCTCCGTGGACTAAAGTCTTAACGCCGGGTCCTCCCAGAGAAAACTATTCCATACGTACGAGAACTCGGGCAGATGAGAGTGTAGAAGGCACCCCCGTGCGTCCAATCCGCCCTCCAGGACTCCACTCCTTGAGATGTAGAGGAGGTCGATATTTCCCTGGTTAAAAACTAAATACAGGGACTCGAACAAGGGAAAACGCAGGGAGCGTCTGACCTTTCGGTCTGGGAGGTACCTCGCAGGGGGTCCGGCAAGCCCGTCCAGGTAGACCGTACAGCAAATAAAAAGAGAGAGTAATAGGCGCTCACTATAAAAATAAGTGAATAAGCAGCAGTATACAAAACAAGGATTCCCAAAACCTTGTGGAATAGATAGAACAAAACCGCGCTGTTATAGATATGAATAATACATACATATACTTGTAGGTAATTCCAATGAGTCAGAGATCTCGGAATAAATAAAATGAAAAAAATAATAGTGCAATACAGTAACAATTAATAACATGAGATGGTGATTATAACTTGTAGTTCAATCCACTCACATTTGTATGAGCTATAACAGAGCTCAGCTGTAATGCGCTTGGACGGTATAATCCTCGTCTTAGGTCAAAATATTTTGAAGTACAGTATGCGTAAAAAAAAGGAAATAGCAGCCAATAGTGAAGTAAGTACTTGTGACGAAGTGCCCTTCGCCACTTGTGCCTGGAGAGGACTGCTTGCCCGCCTCTTGCCCTGTGACTATGGCCCCTGGGATGTATTGCCCTTTAAAGACATGATTTGGGCATAATGGATTTGTGTTGTGCTGCTGCTGGCCCTTTAAGAACCATCTGGGGACATACTGTGGAGTTACTGGGTGGCCACCATTTCCTGTATCAGAAGCACATGGTGAGAACAATGGATGGCGGCCATTTTAACTCACAGACACTGTGTGGACTTTTCAACACGGTGCCATCTCGCCAGTATTTGATGCACAGAGACATCGTGCAGTGGTTTTGGACTATACAGCAGGGGACACATTATAAAGTGATTGTTTTTCATTTAGCCTTTATATGTTCTGCAGAATCTGCATTAAACTGTATTTTCCAAAGTACTGAACGGATCTGGGTGAATTTTGGATATGTGGTTCACCCAGATCCCCCGGTTACAAGGATATACTTTTTATGGGGTTATTGCATGTTTTGGGGTCCCTGTGTGTTTTATAAAATTGTAATGTTTCTGGCCAGCAGATAATTGAGCTTTGTGTATTGTAGCAACTCAATTATCTAGCCTGGCCCAGAGGAGGAGTTTTGTGTTGCATAAATTGTGAGTTCTGTGTGCCACTAAATCAGTCTTGTTCCAGCATTAAGCCTTGGCTCATGTTTGGGGGAAGGGATACCTACACTCTGGGGATTGCTATAATCACTTACCCCCCAGAGGAAGCTCTTGCAATAGCTTGATTTGTTCCTGTTCCTGCTCTCTGGGGAAAGAGAGGTTCACCCACTGGAAGCTGGATCCTGGCCTTGGGTCCAGGGTGGGTGGAAACAGCAGAGACCCCGGCGCAGTTGCATCGCTGGAAGTGGGGTCTGCAGTGCTGATGGTGTCGGTTGGAGTGCTTGGAGTCCTCAGCGAGCACTAGGAGCATCGATTGGCGGAGGTACTCAGTCGGAGTGCCAGCGTTCCGTCACAGTACTATTGATGGAATTAGTAAAATTTGGTAATGTACTTACAATTTTCTGAGCATGTAACTTGCTCTAGTATAGACAGCTCAGCTGGTATAATCCCCACCAAGGATATGCAGGATCCAGGAAGTAAAAAAATGAATATAAAAGTAACTAATTAAAAGTATACTTTAATATAAAACAAAACATGGTATAAACATAAAATTTGTAAAAAAAAGTCCCACTTAACGCGTTTCGCCCGGTAGGCTTCCTCTGGGTTCCGTTTTTATGTGGTCCTAAATGTTCAAATTACTTCCTGGTGTGCTTCTTCCGTTTTCCTGGTTCCCGTGGAACGCATGTGTCATACCGGAAGTGACTCGGTGTACACGTCATACCAGAAATGACGCGGCGCCATATATTTACTGTTGTATTATTCTTGCGCCGCTCATGGAACGCACGTATCGCTGGAAAAAAACGTATGTTGCGTTCCAGGTGCTTACACAGAGTGTTCAAGCCCGTAAAGGATGGGCATGCCCATTTAACAAGAAATAGCAAAGCGGCCATATTTAATATGGGCATAGGAGAAAAAAGATAAGATAAAAACATATTTAATATGATGATTTAGTATATAGGTAAATATTTAACAGTGCTTCTGGTAAATATAAAGACAATACATACAAAAAAGGAGGAATCAGATAAAAAAACAATACTCACAGGTAATAGTGGGTATTTAGGCATAAAATCTCTGATATATAGTGGTGTTATATTGTGATAAAAAAGACATAGTAGAATTTTGGACATAGATTGTCTCTTACTATGTTCAAAAGTGATATAGACCAATAAATTAAAAATTATTGATGTGGCGAAACCAACCTCGCCACTGTGAACTGGAGAAGCCTGGTTGCTCGCCTGCTCCCTTTGGACTATGGCCCTGCAGGTTAAACTGTTTATTTCCCCTGCAGAAAGGCTTATTTGTGTGATCTGAGTGCCATTCATCTAATAATGTGCACTCAGATCCCAGCTATCTGGGGATATGTGAAATGTCTGTGTGTTATGTGTAAATGTGACTTTATGTATTTTAAAGTGTTTTGTGTCTTTTTGCAACCATGTGCTTAATGGAGTCTTGTGTCTGTCCTGGGAGATAATTGAATTACTTCTCAATTCAATCTCCAGGATAGAAGACTCAAACTGGTTTGGGCCAGAAAGCCATGCTTCATTTAGTCACAAAGTACTTTCCCTTAACTTTTGAACCCCTGGTCTGATTCGTGCCATTTTTTAATATGTTGTTCCCCTGAATGGATTGATTATGAAAATGTATGTTTTATGTTTGTGACATGTATATTTTAGAAGTTATAAATATTGTGTAAAAACTGTATTCCTCTGCCGGTGATAATGAGATTACCCATTGTGTTCAGTACTCATATCACATGCAGAGGGGAGGATTTTGTGTGGGAGTGTCTGGGTGTATTGTACGGATTGATTGGTTGTTTTGTAACGCCCTGTGGGCTGTATTATGTTTGTGGATTGGGAATAAAAGATACTGTATGTGACAGTACAGGGAGTTCCTGCTTAACCCTCAAAGTGAAGTGTCGTCTCATTATTGGGGGAAGGATTTATTGTATGCTGTTCCAGTTTGACTGCTAGGAGAGTAAACCTATTCGTATGGTTCCTACTCAACTGTCTACAGCATTCATATGCTTGAGAGCATTCATATGCTCCTACGGTTCGGTGGTTTTGGAGTCTGCCAGAGTGCTTGGAGTCCTCAGGAAGCGCTAGGAGCATTCTTCAACGGAGGTACCCAGTCGGGGTGCCAGGCGATCCGTTACAATTGACATGATTATTGACATTAATATAATATTCATATAATTCCGTGAAGAGGAGTAGTTGTAAAAGTTTGGTAAAAAGCATAAAACTATTTAAAAGAAAAAAACAAAACTCCATAGACAAATATAATAAAAAGACTTATACGTTATAAAATATATCTATATAAAAAAATATATAATATATATAAAATGAAAAATTTATAAAAAAAATTGTATAAATCAAAATCCACGTTGAGTCCATTTGGATGTAAACTATCTAACGGATATACCCACTGCATTTCTGTTCTTCCAATCTTCCAATCTTCCAACATCTCCTCCTCTCCAATGGTACAATCTTACAATTGCAATCCCAGTGAATGAGAGGTGCTTAGGGTCATTATTATGCATGCAAAAGTGAGCTGGTACAGAGTGATTGTTTAGACCTTTTTCTATATTTCTGCAGTGTTCTGCTATTCTTATTTTTAATGGTCTAATGGTCCTATCCACATATTGGAGGCCGCACGGGCATTCCAGTAGGTATATTAAGTTTTTACTGTTACATGTGATAACATCCTTAATATTATATATTTTACCGGTAATATTATTTTTAAAGACCGTACAGCAAGATGTCCTATATTGATGGAGAGTTGCGTCCGGGTCCCAACGCGTGGAAAACGAGAAAGATCTCTTCAGATAGTTCTGGTATTCCTGAATGTCCTCAATTCCTCCCAACCTGCAAATCAGTTTGTATTGTCGCCCAAATGACTGATTCACAAGATACCTATCTCACCAGAGAGAAAATAGAGGCCACCTTACCAGAACTGGGCCCGCGGTCCCTAGAAGTTTCTTGAGGGCCACGTCTAATTCAAAGTAACTAATGAATATAAGTTCAATCGTAGACTCGTGCCGGGACTCCAAGGGGCTCAGATCCCTTTATCCCAAGCACCTCCAGCGGTCCAAATTGCGTTTAGGATAGGGTCGTCTCCCACCCCAGACTCAGGGGCCCATCTGGGATGTCATCCGAAAGTGGAGGCAAGTGTGAAATTCCGGGTCAAGGGTCCAATCCCCTATAAAAGGTACAGGTTGGAGCTGAGATAAGCCTCTTTTCTCTATTTGGAGCTGAGATAAGCCTCCATCAAGTATTTCCATGTAAAAAAGGACACATCTTATACTTCCTCGTATGTTCCGCTAGCACAACTCACTCGTGTAGCGGAGAACAATCAGCTTGCCAGTGCAGACTTTAAAGTATAGGCACTGCAGTACACCTGTAATCAGGGAACTCACCAACTGAGTTAGCGCACAAGAGGTGCTCCATTGGTCAATATGATAAAACAGAGCGCTGCAAGCAATCATCTGAACAAACAAAAAAGGGGGTGGGGGGGTGAGTATAAGTGGTAACACTGCCAGTTGTGCCTGTAACCCTTGAGGGGTGGTGCACAGCTCTATATAGCATGCCTGTGATCTATATCATCCACTATGGTTCCCAGTAGCCTAACCTGCCAGCCACATGGGGCACAAAGCCAGGACAGCCTGAGGGTGCAATGCGACCAAGTCATAGCTGAGTCCCAGTCAAAGCTACAGCACATGTGCCTGCCATCGACGGAACTAATGCGGTAAGTCTGGAAACAGCACTCTGCCCGTCGCACTGCATGGGAAGGTAACCCCCCACCCATGCCGCGGGAGCAGTTATACCGCGAGCAGAAGCGTGGGTCGGGTGGGGGGTGGTGGCAGAGGATCTCGCTCGGTGGACGGAGCCGGCGGGATCCAACACGAGTCTTACTCCGGGGTCCTGGCGGTCGGCAACGGAAAGCAGTCAGAGGACTGCTTTCCGGCGGCCACAAAACGGACGAAAAGTGAAGGGGGCAAAGCTACCGGAAAAGGTAGAGGGAGGGAAAAAAGGAAACCCCCCCAAACCCGAGAAGAAAACGATCCACAGACAGGGGGCCCAAAACAGGAAAATTTAGAAAAGTCATAAGAGAAAATACATCCTTACAGCAAAAAAGTAGGGACAGAAAAATACAGTCTAAATAAATAAATAAATAAATGATAATGGCAGTAGGAAGGTAAACACATTCTAAACAAATACATTCCTGCAGCCATAAGAAGGTAGATGCAGAAAAACAGAGTAAATCAATCAATCAAGCAATCACTACAGCACCAGGCAGGTAGGTGTAAAAAATACAGTATAGCTAAATAAATCAATCACTACAGCACTAAGCAGGTAGATGTAGAAAATACCCTCTAAACAAATAAATCAATACAGTAATAAACATATAAATACAGGAAAATATCCACAACCACCCATATATAACAGGAGGCAGTGGTACTCTGATCTGTACTGACTGCGGAGCAGCAAAGAAAGAGGAAGTAGTTAGTTGGGAGAAGCCTTTTATAGATTCCTGATTTTTTTTGTCTCTGGTGTTTATCTCTCTATGTTAATGTGCTGCTGTGGAGTTTTAGTAAAAAGAGACTTAAGCAAATATGAAGCCTCCTGTCATTAATACAATTAAGTGTGGCATTCAGTTCTGCAGGGGAAATACATTCTATGATGTTTACTTGTTTAGTTAATATTTTTAGTTACTATATTAATATATTTAGTTACTTTTAATATTGTTACTGTTAATATCGTATCTTCCGCTTCCTCCTCACTACATGATTTTGAAGATTTTCATTACTATGTGGACAAACAACGTAAAACATTTGCTCAATAACAATCCAATGTTTTCTTCTAGTGAATTTTAAATGCTGTAAATGATCTACAGAGACCCGAGACTGCATATCATTAGACAGCTCTCATGTTTCCCTTATTACCAGTCTCTTGTCCCTTTCTTTAGGTGGGGGTTATCAGCTGGGGATCCATAAGCCATTGCAGAGGCCCCGTCAGACTCAAAACTCCAGTTCCAGAAGATTCCCGGGACTTCCATATCAGTATTTTCTCCATGTTGCCCTGGATAGAGGAGATTGTGAAAGAAGAACTTATCTACCTTCCCAACTGAAGCCCTCGATCTCGGTCGGAGTTTCAGGAATACAGAAGGGGGCTATGTAACAGGGGCGGCGGAATTGACGCTGTAAACCTTTTTTAAGTAGCTTCCAATAACCTTGAACCTCCTAGGGTAATATTAGAATTATACAAAGTATTCATAGTTTAGAAAACACCTACCAAGTTAACAGGTGGAGACTCCCATTGGCTGTATTCTATCTGCATTTGATAAAAAGTAAAAATTAAAGTGATTGGGCGGCATCATATTAAAGTGTAAAGTTTCATTATTCTACCGCCACATGGATCTGTTTCCCTAGCGTAAATGCTAATAACGCACAAGAACAGGTAAATAGCTAATGTAAGGCTGTCAGTTATAGCTGCAAACTGTGAAACGTTTTGCAGCTACAATCCGCTAATACTACAATCCGCTAACTGATCAGACCATAATAATAAATCAAAAAGTATAACGAAAACAAAAACACAAACAAATATGGGGACCACATTTGGATCAGAAGATGCCCAGTCTACTTGATCCAGTATATTATATGTGGGCCCAGGAGATGCCCAGTTTATTGGGTCCATATATCTAAATGATGGGTATCTGCCAACCTCCTTGCTCCCATCCTTGGTGGCTAGACTTCTCCCTGTCTCTCGTCAACCCAAATATTCCCCTACCTACCTCCTCTCACACTAATTGTAGTGTGGGTGGGTCAATCAATTTAAAATAATTACTAAAAAAAAACTTTAAAAATATATATATTTGTGTATTTTTAATTCTTTTTTGGGCTGTAAAATAGGCCAAAATAAATCATAATAAACCACTAAAACTGTTAAAAGAATAAGTGTGTCACAATATTGAGGGCTACTATGCACTCAAAGCGGGAAAGTCTTTTCTAAAGGCCTTCCCAAACTTTGAATGCCATTTAGAGCACTGTGATTGGTTGGCTTTGAATCCAACCAGGTTAGTTATAATTTCATCTCTTTATTGTTCAGCTGTCTGCATTATTTCTGCCCCTTATCAATTCACGTGGACACGTTCTCACCAATGCTCCCTTTTTCTTTTAAATGCTTTAACAAAATCATAAAGGATCATGTTCACCAAAGGACCCTGAAAAATATTTTACTCACCTTCCTCACAGAACAGGAGTAAAGGACCACTCCACGCTTAAAATCAATAAAAAGCATTATTTAGTAGATATACCCACAGTGAATAGATTCCTGAAAAATGCATGCAGTCATTGGGGGTATACCTTAAGGAGATTACAAAAACTTCTGTTCTTATGAACTTTGCTAACCCTCCCCTTTTTCCTGGCAGAGACTTTTGCCATTAATATGTTTCTGAAGCTATAGATAATGTTTGATTGACAGCCAGGAGGTGTTTAATAATTTATTATTTTTTACTTGGAAAATTGTTATTTATTTTATCATGCTATACGATATATTACAGTGGAATAGATCCACTTACATCATCATGATTTTACATGGTCAGACAATGATAGATTAAAGCAGTAACAGTCATCTTTCACACTTACATATGTTTCTCTTAACAAAGACTCTGTTAACGCTGTGATTTACTTTATCACGCCTAGTGTAGTGCTCAACTGGGTGTTCCATTCTGAATAACAATCAGGATGAGTATAACAGTTGGATTCATAACAAACATAAACCAAAATTAAAGTAACTGAAAAAGAGGGAGGGAGGCAGGTCAGAGGGGTAAGGCGTAGATGGAAGGATATTGAATAACTCTCTCTCTGTGATTTTCAACAACCCGAGTTTGCATTTTTATTTGTGATTTATACATCCCACATCTTACATGATTCTCGAGTCACGCACCCCAGCCGGAGCTGCTGCAAGACCATTTGTTCATATTTACAGTTAAAGGGACACCATAGTCACCAAATCAACTTTAGCTTAATGAAGCAGTTTTGGTGTATAGATCATGCTTCTGAAGTCTCACTGCTTAATTCTCTGCAGTTTAGGACTTAAATTACTTTGTTTATGCAGCCCTAGCCACCATCCTGGTTTTATCCTGGTTTTGTGCTGTTCTAGGCATGACAAAACCCAGGCACCCCCCCCCTTGTGGAGATTCTAAATACACATACACACTCACTGGCAGACACATATACTCACTGTCAGACACAAACATTCACTGACAGACACACATACACTAGCTAACAGGCCTACACACTCACTAACAGACACACACATTCACTAGCAGACACGCATACACTCTCCCTATCAGACACACACACTTACTAACAGACACACAGGCACACACTCACTAACAGACACACACACTCACTAACAGACACACACACACACACACACACTCACTAACAGACACACACACACACTAACAGACAGACACACACTCACTAACACATACTCACTAACACACACACACACACACACACACACACACACTCACTAACACACACACACATTAACACACTCACATTTTATTTTAGCTCAATGCCCCCAGCCTCCTTACCTTTGGGAATGCTGGGGTGGATTATCACTTTCCCTGGGGTCCAGTGGTGCTGCTGGGCAGCAGGCCAGTCACTGCAGGCGGCGAGGGAGCACTAATCCTCCTGTTCAGCTCCCTCGCACACCGCTTAGTGATGCCGGAGCCAGAATATTCCGGCTCCGGCATCATTGCAGTGCGTGCAAGGGAACTGAACAGGAGGATTAGTACTCCCTCGCCGCCCGCCCTGAAAGTGCCGCCGCTGCCAGCCTGGGGGGCTCTGAGGTGGCCAGCTGGCCATCTCCTGGGCCCCCCAGGACAAGAGTCTAGAAAGGCATTTGCCAGGGTGATTGGGGGGCAGCTTTTTTTGCTGCCCCCAGAAAGTGCCGCCCAAGGCAAATGCCTTGTTTGCCTTGGGGTAAATAACCCCTGCTAGCCACGCCTCCCTACATGTGACCTACAGAGCCTTCCTAAAAACTTTCTGTAATGAGAGATCTAATGTTTACACTTCCTTTATTGCAAATTCTGTTTCATTTAGAATTAGGGACCCTCCTGTTTGTAATTTTAAGTTTAAATCACAGGGTTATTCATCTAAGTGAGAATTCAAATTTTAGTTCAGAGTAGCTGAATGGAAAGCACAGCTGACTTAAAGAATTTTTCCGGTTCAACTATTTTGACCTTAAATTTAAAATCCACTTTGATTTCTCACTAGTGTTTGTTGCGGAACAGACCTCGCCACGTGTTCTTGGAGGGGGCTGCTTGCCCGCCTCCTACCTTCTGACTATGGCCCTGGGATATATGGCATTTGAAAACACTATTTGTGCCCTGTGACAAAACTGGAGATTGTGCACAAATATGACTATTGTCCATATTCTTTATGATTCCCTTTGTTTGTTGCACTGTTTCCCATGTGTTTCATCTGTTGGTCCAGCTGGATAGACTACCAGACAAACTGTGGAGTTACTGGGTGGCCACCATTTCATGTATCAGAGGCAGGCCCGGACTGGCCATCGTACACACCGGGCAAATGCCCCGTGGGCCGCGGAGCCGGCAGGGGAGGTCCCAGGATCTCCCCTGCCAGTCTATGCAGGGCTGGCACTCTCCTAGCACCGGCCCAGCTGTTTGCCACAACGGGCTGGCGGGGAGATCAAAGATCTCCCTCACCGGCCCAAATGCGGCCGCCGGCAGGGAGAGAGGGAGGGAGACAGCCGCTAGGAGAGGAGGACCCGGCGGAGCTCTAACTTGCAGCTCCGCTGGGTTCCTCTCGCGAGATCCGGCGCGTTGCCATGGCAACGACCGGATCTCGCGAGAGTGAACTCTAGCCTCACAGGCTATGCAGGCTAGAGTTCACTCACCCACGAGGACCACCAGGGAACACTGCCACCCCGCCTCCCAGTCACCAGTGTGCCGTTCCCCCCCTCCCAGGCTAAAGGTAAGAAGGGAGGGGGGGATTTAATGCCTATTTTTTGTTTTTGTTTACCCCCAACACACGCACAATCCATTCTAACATTTATACAGCACTCTCACACCCATCACACACAGCACTCTCTCACAGCACTCTCACACCCATCACACACAGCACTCTCTCACAACCATCACACACAGCACTCTCACACCCATCACACACAGCACTCTCTCACACAGCACTCTCACACCCATCACACACAGCACTCTCTCACACAGCACTCTCACACCCATCACTCTCTTACAGCACTCTCACACCGATCACACACAGCACTCTCACACACAGCACTCTCTCACACCCATCACTCTCACATCCATCACACACAGCACTCTCACACCCATCACACACAACACTCTCTCACAGCACTCTCTCACACCCATCACACACAGCACTCTCACACACACAGCACTCTCTCACAGCATTCTCACACACAGCACTCTCTCACACCCATCACACACAGCACTCTCACACCCATCACACACAGCACTCTCTCACACAGCACTCTCACACCCATCACTCACACACAGCACTCTCACACACATCACACACACACACCGCACCCCTCACATACACACAGAACCCCCCCAACACACTGCACCACACACACACACTACACTCTTAACATACACACTCTGGATCCCCTATAAACACACTAGATTCCTTGTAAGCAAACACATACTACACCCCTAAACACACACTATATCACCTATATATACACACACACACACTATAGCCTGTATGCACACACTTGCTATATCCCCAATACACATATTCTCTACAGCCCATAGCCACATATGCATCACATTACACCACTTTACACCACAAACACAACATGACTAAAACCAACCTTATTACACAATACCACACCACAATCAGCTCACTCTACACACACGCAATACCACAAGCAGGCTCCAAACACATGCACAATACTCTTTCCTGGCCCTTTTGTCCTCTGGTATCCATTTATAGAGACACCAGAGACAAGTTGCAAGGAAATACAGTGCAAGCATGTTATTAAATTTGCTTGCACTGTGCAGAACAAATACAGAGCTTTTTTCTCATGATAGAGCTCTTCAGCAGAGCTCTGCACATGGTCTGCCCTGGAAGCAGGGCCAGATTAAGAGCCCAGTAGGCCTGGTGCTGACAATTATGACGGGCCTAATTACAGAATCAAATCGACCAAAAACAGTAAAACACTCCCAAGCCTCATGTATCTGATGGAGATGGTGCTGGAGAGAAAAAAAACAGCAGCTATAAGAAAACACATACCCTAGGCTAATCTCTCACTAATTTATGTTTTCATCTTTCAAGTAAATCCATAACCCCTAACAGCAGTGTCCAGTCAGCAGGAAGTCAATGGGCACGGTAAAAGGGTGTGCCACTGACACAAATCACGTAACCTGCCAAAAGGGGCGAACATGCCCAAAAAGAGGATATGTCTGCTCAAAGAATTAGAAGGCCAGCCTGGTATGAATGCATGTCAGGCTGCCTGCCAATCGTGCAGCTGGCCAACTAAGGGCATACTATGCAGACAGCACCCTGAGCTTGGCATAAATGCATCTAATGATGCGCTCACTCAACGCTTTCTAAGGACTGTCCCCTAGCACTCGCTGGTCCACTTGTTTCCTTACCGTCTTACTAGCAGGCAGAAGCTCCTGGTATACAGTCTGGGACAGAGAAAAGCTGTATGTAGTGAGTGTAGAAGAAAGGGAACATGCCACAGTGTTAGAGAGACCAAAGTCAGCATTACCTTAAAG